GTAGTCCTTGAAGAGTGACTTGGTAACACTTCAGTAATTAATAATTTTATGACCATGTTTTGAGTAAAAAAAACAACAACAATCTTCAAGAACTACTAGTGATCTGGACCATTATTTTAAAGTGAAAAAGATGTTTTCACAGTGACTACACTTGAGTCATTAGTTAACGTTATGATGTTGAGAGTAACAAAAGACAATTGCTAATGTCTCAAAATGAAAATGTCCTGATAATTTACTCACCCAAATGACATCCAAGCTGTTCATGTCTTTCTTTCTTCAGTGGGAAAGAAATTAAGTTTTTTGAGGAAAACATTTCAGGATTTTTCTGCACACAATGGACTTCAATTGCAACCAACACGTTGAAGTCCAAATCAATGCAGTTTCAAAGGGCTATGAAGTGCTTCAAACGGCTCTGCACGTTCCCAGCTGAGGAATAGGGTCTTATCTAGCGAAACGATCGGTCATTTTCTAAAAAAAACAAAACATTTATATACTTTTTAACCACAATTGTTTGTCTTGTGCTGGTCTGCGACGCGCCAGGGATTACGTCATCACGTTGGAAACGTCACGCGTCACGTCATCCTATCATCTTCTAAGTTATGTGTCTGTGTAGTCCGTTCTCCGGTTCAAAAAGGCAGGGAAGGGCGAAAAATTCCATCTCATTTTCTCCCGTTTTCTCCTCCAACTTCAAAATCGTCTGACATTCTTTGTTTTAATTTAATATTATTATTATTTAGTAAAGTGAACTACTCCTTTAATAGTAGTAGCTGAAGTGTTAATTTAGTACTACTCATTAGTCCTGCAAAACTTCCTGCATAGTTACTTATTAATGACGGACCATTATTCTAAAGTGTTACCTAAAAAGGTCTCTATGGATATGTTTTGCAGCAATAACACATTTTCAGTCTGACATTCCCAATGGAAGCTGGCCTTTATACTGTTTTTTTTTTTCCACAAACAGCCTTCTAAAGTGCGTGTTTTAGTGCATAGACCCTTGTTGATTTGATGATCGTTATACTGTGATATTCTAAAATATTGAATAATTTATGCAAGATCTGCTATGTTCTAATATTATAGCTGATCAACTTGGAATGTAGTAGTTTTGAGTGCATCTTTCTGTCCTTTTTAGAGTTTGTCATTGAAAACTGTCCTCGTTTTTTCATAAATATGAGAGCGAGGGCAAGCATCAGATTTCACAAAGACCTTCATTTTCTCTTGATGCCGAGACTTTTTTGAGCTCATAATGCAGAGCACAATAACTGTGTTTCAATTTCAGACAAAGGGGCGTTGTTAAAATCCATGCAACTATAAAAGTAGTTTTATTGGGATTTTGTGGGATGATTTATAATCAGTTGAGGCACAAGTCAGACACCACATTCTACATTTATACACAGAATTAAATGTAGCCGATAGTAATGACGTAAACTTTTTTTTTAACCGAACAAAAACAGAGCAAACTAAGCCATGGGAACTTGATATGGGTGAAGCACAGTGCAACGCAAAATGATTGTTTTGGAGAGAACTGTAAACAGGAATCCTTCTGGTAGACCTGTAATCACCAGCCCTAAAGGCAACTGGACATCCATCTCATCCTAGCCAGTACTGACATCTGTCTGTCAAACTTTAACAAAGACATAAAGATTACTAACAATGCCAGTGTTCAGATTTTTCAGTTCATGAGTTGTTGTCCCACCCAAAATTTTAGCTAAAACCCAATGCTCCAGTGATGATTTGTTTGAACGCTTTGTCAAAACCGCTATGACTCGTCTGAAATTGTGCGGTTTTCATTGAAAGTAAAACAGTCACAGCATTTCAATGTCTTCCTCTTACCCCACTCCCTCCAGTGTCTGGATCTGCTCTGAATCTTGGCACAGACATGGTTTACGTCACTTTTGGCATGTGGGGGAGTTGAGGGAGTCAGAGTTTTACATGAAAAACAAGTTTTAAGTCTGTGCTCAAAAATGTCAGTTCTCTGCTTGAAAGGGTCTCATTTAATAGTTTATTTGACCTCTGGATATTTGGGAAATGCATGCGTAATTATTACTTCTTAGCGTACAATGTTTGTCTTTAAATCATAAAACAATGCAAATCTCCCCACTATTTCTTATCTCATCTAATCAAACAATCAGGCCACTGTTTTTTTTTCTTCTTCACTTTTTTTTCTGTTATAGTTAATTGCAAGAAATCATATTTTTTAAGCAGGTTCAAAGAAAACCTTCAACCACGTCAAATAGTTGTGTTAGAGTGCCACCTAGTGTTCTTAATGGGTTTAGCAGGATTAGAATGGTAAATTAATTCAAGTGTGGGTCTCTGCAGGTCGGAGCAATGGGCATGCCGAAAGGTCATTACAATTGGTCGCGAAAGCTGCCTATTCCACATAAAGGCTGGCAATAAGCTTAAACGCTATTGGCCTGCAGATTAAAAGGAAGTGATGTTGGTCAATGAAATGTGCCTTTTTTGACCCTATGGAACCCTGTGTCATGGAAACCTCTTTATTATTACACAACCAAACACGAGGCACATACAATTTGTTTAGCAAATACTATTTAAGTCTAAATACTGTTTAGCAAGTCCTGTTTTATTCAACATTGTACAATGATAAATAGGGGATTTACTATGATAATGATTTATCTGCAATCCTTGTAAATGCAATCCTTGAGTTCATCTGTCTAAATTGTTTGATTGTAAAAAGTGGTTTAGCACTTTGTAGTGTGTTCGAAAAACAAGGTTATCTACACTCGCAGCGATGCCACAGAAGAACTATTTTTGTTTCCCCAAAGAACATTTCAGTGGACAGTTTTTAAAAGAACCATTTTTCTTAGTGTGAACACTAAGAACCTTTTTCCTCTATAAATAACCTTATGTATTTGTATATAGGCTATTAATATATTAAAGGGGTGGTATAATGCCCCTTTTTACAAGATGTAAAATAAGTCTCTGATGTCCCCAGAGTGTGTATGTGAAGTTTTAGCTCAAAATACCCCACAGATATTTTTTTATAGCGTGTTAAAATGGTCCCTTTTTGAGGGTGAGCAACAGCGTGTCGTTTTGTGTCCCTTTAAATGCAAATGAGCAGCTGCTCCCGCCCCCTTACAAGAAGAGGGCGGAGCTTTCTTAGCAGCTTGCAGACACGCAGTCACGCACTAAAATGTCAGAAACTGTTCTGTCTTTTACGTTTAAACCGGAGTCGGACAATGGTGGAGAGACTCAATAAGAAGTGACAACATGTAGAATGCAACAGGACCTTTCTGAATGGTTAGTTGATGAATTTATGTACCTGATGTGGAGTTAACTATCTTCAAGTCATTGAATAGCATATTCTGTCATGATAATCTATAATCGCTTGTGTGGGAACTGTTGTAAGATGCCTACAGAGTGACATGCTATTGCATTTGTGTTACGTACTGTAGTGTAATAAATGTGAAAAGACGGATGCGACAGCTTGAGCAGACTCACAAATGTGCTCTACTACAACATCTCTTCCTCTTCTCAACATGGACTTACCCTCTTTGTTGCATATTCCTGGGGGCTGGGTTTATGTAAAATTTAGGGTTTGTGATGTCACTAACCCGGGAGGAAGCTCGTGAAGTCCCTATCAGGCGTTTGTTGTAATCCTTAAAGGTTCTCTAAGCGATCCTGGGTGACGTCACTTCTTGTTGACGTTCGAACTATTGTCAAACAAAATGGAGGCTAGCTAGACCCTCCCTCCTCCTCATCCGCACACTAGCCCCCCAAACCCTTCTTGTCGGTCATTGGCTGGAACAGTTTGTTATGTTTTGGGGAGCGGGTCGCCGCAGTTTGTTTTTGTTGCTGTTTGTGGAGCCTGGGCTGTCTACAGAGATCGCGTTTCTTTACAGTGTGTTCAGGGGACAGGCAGCCAGCGGATAGTGAGGAGATGTTTGCTGTATGTGACAAAAAATGTTTTGCCCTAAAAAACGCGTGACATCGCTTAGAGCACCTTTAAAAAACGATTTCTCTAAAATAAAATATCTCCCTTTGCTTTGAACTTTGAGTGTCGCAACTTTGCAGATGTTGTTTATGCTCAAACAGCAACTGAAGTTAGAAAAATGAAATCATAATCAACCACCCCTTTAAACAATGTAGAGACTTCAATATATAAACTATGATTAACTACAGTATAGTTTGCAAATGATTTTTAAGTACTTTATATTGTATTTTTGTGTAATGGAAAGGTTCCAAGGAAGTTAAATGTTCTTCATGGAACCATATGCCAATAAATAACCTTTATTTTTAGGTAGAATGTGTAGTATCAGATATCCTGAGAACAAATTTTGAAAGGTGCTGGCTTTTAAATGGGGAGTTATTGGAGTTAAAGATAACCAGCTTCACAGTATGCATTATAGCCTTCTATGTCTGAGGTTGCAATGACACATTATTCTTACATGTTTTACCGTAGTGTTGTTGGAGATACTTAATTCTTGAGTACTTTGAGGCTGTATAATGTATAGATGTCATATGAGTGATATTCAAATACACATTATTTGTGCATTTGTGTATGGTTTTATTTAAAATATTTGATTCTGTGGTTCAACATAAAACAAAACAAAAAACCCTGGTTTGATCAATTGGAACAGATGCAAGCTTTATTCAAGAAAATGATTGATTTCAATGCACTGACACGATTGGATGAGAACTGAACTAAGCTGGACAATCACATCATTGTTTTATGCAGAACTGCTTTATAGATGTAATTAACTAATTTAAGAAATTTATGATCTTTACAAAGGAACTGAATCAACGCTGAACTGACTTCAGCTGAACAATGACACTATTTTCTTTACAGCAGAAATGAACTCTGTATGCATCATTGAATCATTTTTCTGTTATCACTGTAAAGCTGCTTTGAAACAATCTGTATTGTATTAAGCACTATATAATTAAAGGTGACTTGACTTGACATGCAAGCATTTTGAAAAAAGTTCTAAAAAGATTTTTAAAAAGCATCTTATCTATTCAGTTTTTTTGCATGACACAATCAGTGCAAGTTAGTATTTCAGTCAACTTTATTTAAAATGTAGTGGTGTTTATCAAAGAAAAATCCTTGATCACAATGTGAAGAGTATCTTGTAAAGAATGTCCAGTGCATGACTGCATGAGCTGTCTAGTAGCGTTTACAGCTCATCATGCCCATAAACATTGTACTCCGTGAGTGATAAGGTCCCATCAGCATTGTGATCATTCTTTTGGAACACATCTGCCACAACATCGTCAAAATAGGATTCATCTTTCTGCGAATTTAACTTCTGTGCTTCCATTTTCAAGTATTCTTTAATCTGTAAATCCAAAATAACAATATATGTAAATAATAATAAATAAAAAAATTCAGGAAAGCAAAAGTAAATTCCTGATACAACAGTATGACATATTTACCTCATCTTTTGTCAGAGCCTTGTCGTCGTCAGCATCAATTTCTTTGAAGGCTTCTATGCTGCGAGGTCCTCTGGTTATGAACAAAAGCTCCACCTCAAAGATCACTGTTGCATTTGGTGGTACAGGACCTATTCCACCACAGAAAGGTGATTGTTAATGGTTTATTAACTTAACTTTTTAATTGCTGCATAATTTATATTTTAATGTATTTGATTATTTTAATAATTTAAATTAGGGGCCTGTAGAAGAGAAAACAAAAAGATTTTATATCATTTTTCACCTTACTAAGTAGCCTATGTAAGTTCATGAGGCCATGCTTAAAAATATTCTTGTTTGCCGTAACCCGACCGACCCTGTCAAATTAGGACCGACCCAATTATTTATTTTTTTCCCCTTTTAGTCCGACCGACTTGCCGGTTGTAAACTTGCATTAAGACCGACCGATTTTTTTTTTACTCTTCAAACAACTAATACAAATGCAATAAAATAATATACATTTATTATAGTAAGTATTGTGAATATAAATTGCGTAGGCTACGTTCTTTCTTTTAAATAAAAACCCGTGGCGTCATCTATTATGATTATGTTTACACCATTGGTTTACGCATGTCACACTATGGCCTGTGCGTTCGCTTCGTTTCATTCACTGTCAATGGTTCGCGCTCGGTGATGATGGCTGCGGCGCGGCTGCTTGTGAAATACGTCTGTATGAGCCTACATTTAGTCGCTCATTATTCGAAATTCTTAATGGTCAAATAGGGAATCGATGTTAACGGCCTTTTATCGGAGCCCGTCATGACATGCCCACCGCGAACGCGCGTCACACAGCAACTGCAGGCTCTGACAAACAAACACACATAAGTGTGGGAAGCCAAACACACCGAAAGGGGGACGAAACGGCGCGGTGTGTTACAGAGTTCGCGCTGCGCTGACTTGTAATCTGCGTGGCTCAATGGACCGAGACGCGCGAGCGCGACAGACTCGACAGCGCAGGAGAAGTGTTTGCTTGCGCCAGCCAATGGTCAGAGCGGCGCGAACTAATCTCACCAGCGCCGCGCTGACCAATAAAACAGCACATCCCATACCGAAATGTACTAAATTGCACAAAAGAAAATCGACCATTCCATAATATGTCAGGACTACTTAATCGGCCTATAGTTTCCTACAATGCGCCTAGCTATTTGACCACACTGATTTCCGTTAATAATAGCAGATGTTTATGGGTCAAATCTCTCACTCTCTCCCTGCAACTTTTTGTTACCCTCCTTTCCTGCCCCTAGACCAGAAAGGGGGCTTGTAACAGTATGGGTCAAATGTAAACGAATGGTGCCAAACGCGCTGTTTTATTGGTCGGCGCGGCGCTGGTGAGATTAGTCATTTTAATTTATTTGTTTCCCTCTGAAAATCCACTTTCATTGAAATCTAGTGGCTCCTTTTTTTCTTTTGATTCTGCCTATTTTTTTCCAAATGAATGCAGCTGGAATTAATGCAATAAATATGTTTTTTTTTTTTACAAAGATTTCAAATTGTTTGTGGTCTATAACCTGTATCAGAATGAGGTTCGCAATGGTGCGCCCGAAGGCATGGGGGTTGAAGACCCAGTCAGTGACGTCACGATATGCAAATTTGTTTAAATTCATACCGACCTAATCACCATGACCAAAATTATCCTTTTTTTTTTACATTTAATCTTGAAAAAAAAATATATAGACCTACCTACCGACCCTTTTTTTTTTTTTTTTTTGCTGTTACTGCAAACCAAAATATTTTTAAGGATGGCCTGAGTAGCATTTAGGCCTATGTTTCTTTCATCGCCACTGTCCAGCACCATCCTAAACTCATTTTTGTTGTATTGTTGTACTTAAAGTAAACTTTCTTATTTTTAGTTTAAAATAAGTATACTATAGCACACTTGAATAAACTTCTTTTTCGTAAGGGCGCACAGAGAGAGAGAGAGAGAGAGAGAGAGAGAGAGAGAGAGAGAGAGAGAGAGAGAGAGAGAGAGAGAGAGAGAGAGAGAGAGAGAGAGAGAATGCAAAACAGCGCCACACGTGTAAGCAAGGGCTGTATTGATTCTCTACTACGTATATGAAGTAATAGACCTACCTTTTCCTTTCTCGCCATATGCCAGAGGAGGAGGAATTGTAACTTTTCTCTTCTCACCGGGACACATGTCTTTCAGCCCTAAATCCAGCCCCTTGATAACTTCTCCAACGCCTAACACAAACCAGTGTGGGTGACCCGTGTTTGTCGAACGACTTGAAAATGAAAACAAACACTGGTTTAGGTTGGAAATAAAATTACGTTACTAAATACACTGCTATTACTCTACCTTGAAGCAGATAAATATAACCTGCAATACATATTTAATGCAATAACTTTATGTGTAAAAAAATGCGTTTACCTGCAATAGAACTGAGATCCGTCTTTAACTAGATATCCATCATAATGGGCATTCAGCATGTCTCCTCTCTTGGATTTCTGGCTGCAGTTTTCAGGCAGAAACGTAACCTCAATTTTAACATTTGATTCATTTGCACGAATTAATACGATGAAGAGATTGAGCGTTTGCAGAGTTAAAATCAAACAAAAGTAAAACGTAGATCGCTGGGACATCTTGCACATCTGTCGTCGTGGCGTCGGAGGCCGGAACGCTGACGCGGCAGTGCCGCCCAGTTCTCAGATTTCTCACTTGACGTTTAAGGTGCTCAAGGTTTTTTTTTTTTTTTTTTTTTGCAATAGATTTAGAATAGATTCAGATGTCCTTGTGGGGACATTTGGTTCTCACAATGTTGGGATATATATTATACATGTGTATCACAGCAAGAAGAAAATTCAGAGAAGCACTTCTAGAACTAGGGAAAATAATTAAGATGCTGTTTTAGACAGAGCATGTCATAAAGCAGGTCACTGCAGGACACGTTTGTGTGCGTGATAAAAAATAATGTTCCTATTTGCTACTGGACATTACTTTATGGGTTTATTTTAACACGTTAAAGTGTGTTTTTAACTAGTGCAAGAAACAGAAAGGATGACGTGTTACTGATTCAAACAGGCTATATCCTATTAAATATCAGCTGAAATGAGATAAAACCGAAAAGGAACCTGCTTTCTATGAAAACAAATTTAGTTTTGTAACCATACTATTGAAGACATGAAGCTGTTATTCAATGACTGAGTAAACATGTTTCATACAGTAAGTAGCATGGAATACAGACAGACAATTTATGGTGCTGAAAACATGCTTTATTAAATCAGTAATTCATAAAACTCAAGGAGGCTGAATATATGTGTAATACTACATAAATTAGTTCTAATAAATCAATGTGCAGGGTATTACAGTAATGTATTTTTCTTTTCTTCGCACAACACATGAAATCTCTGTGGTACATAGCTTGATGGATACCCTGGCTGCTGACAAAGTGAGATTCTAATGCTAACACACACACACAAACACACAAAATATAACCTAGCAATCCTCCAAGAGTTGGCACAGCTTCTGCAAAGAAGCACTTGAACTGATTTTACAACTATTGGCCAGGTGATGTTACTTTAATAAAATCAGAATTCAAACAGTCCTTTGCCAGAAACCGTGCACAAACATTATAATTAACTCATTGTGCAGGCCGCTCGCACATTGAGCTTGTCATTAAAATGGCGGTATGACTTCGTCAGTCTGAACACAAGGCCTAGTTGTCCTGCTTACATGAGGGTAATGCAAACAGCACTCAATGCCTTATGTTCAAGTCATAAATTCTTGTGTACTGCATTACTGCACGCACAAATGTACAGTGTATAACTTTGTCTCTTTGATTTTAGTAAACTTCAACAGGGAGCCTCTCTACCTGTTGAGGCAATCTTAAGACTTCAACTTATTGTTGAGGCACATAGTTTTGTTTCGTTTCAAGTTTTACAGGGTATTCGTTCCATGTGAAACTTTCTCCTGTTAAACATTTAGTTCCATTTGTTAATATTGTCATAAATAACAATGCATACATTTTCCATAACCGGTAAATTCGGCTATATACATTATGTACATGTCACAAAATGGTGCAGAACTTCTGGTCATAATTATCCAATATGGCACATTTTATAACAGCTTTAGACTTTAGTCTAGTTTGGCATAAATTAACGTCAAGTTTGGTATAAAAATAGTTCATATTTACAAGAACAGAAATCCAGGTCTTTATCAAGAACAGAGTATTTTTTTCTCATTCTATAAATAAAAAGGTTTTGAATGAGGGAAATGGGGTGAGGATTGGATTACTATTATATAATAATTATTATAATTTAACTTTTTTTTTTTTACATGGATCGAATGTTGACATTGACAGTAGTGGTATCAGATCCAAACTCGTTAACAAGTTTTAAGGTGTATGCACCAGCATCAGTCTCTTTCACTCCACTTATAACAAGAGTGGTGACATCCTGAGAAGTCTCAATCTGCAATCGTCCACTCTCCTCCTTGCTGGACAGTGTCTTCCCTGAATGTGACCATTCTATGCAAGGACTTGGGTCTCCAATGAAAGCACAGGCTACAGTCAGGACCTTCCCTGACTCGATACTGATATCTTGAGGGGCAGCCTCAATCTTTGGTGGTATACCTGGTTAAAAAACAAATATGTTATTATTATGGAATATAGCCCTGCTGATATCTGTTTTGTTGCACTGTAAATGCTTTTTTTTTTTTTTTTTTGGCAAAGATGCATGTATTTTCCATCTCACCTTTGCGGGAATGAGAAATGGCTTTGATGGATGACCCCTCAACATGCGAGTGACTGGACATTGCCACCATACTGCTGGAGCTCAAAGCCATCATTCTTTCAGAAGTCATAGAGGTCATGCTAGACGCTGACATGCTCTCAAATTTAACCTCAGCCATGCTGGAACTGCTGAAGGATTTCTCTTGCATTTTTGAAACCACATGCTTGGCAGCATAACTGCCCTGCATGCTCGTAGCATCAGATGTTTTCTCCATAATTATCATTTTGGCAGGTTCCTCAACCAGAGCTGTGAGAGTGCAGTAAATAATTACCATGTCACTGAAGCAACTGATTTCATAAAAAGGTACAACAGTCAATTCAAATGGCATTACTGGTCTCTGTTTTCTGTTTAAAACATTTGAGGATATTCAATGTAAATTATACTGGAACATTTGTGATGGCATTGGTATTACTACAATACAAAAATATTTAAGTTGCACCACTTGTACAATGTACCTTTTAAGAAAATTCATTTGGTAAGGCTAAATCAAAGAACAGATTTCTGATCATTTTGACTATATTTTAAATACGGAGTTATTTTGTTGAACATAAATGTTTGTATACATAAAATGATTCAAACTATGCCTTGAATATACATGCAGTTACATGCAATGCTTCATCATCATATAGTGTGGTAATTAATTCAGTAGACGACCAAGGATGCAAATCAAGCTAACAAAGTAAAAAAAAAAAAAAAGATAAAAATAACATAGTTCCAATTGTAGAAGGGAGATTTTGTTAATTGTTATTTTGTGAGCACTGATGATTAGTGAGTATGATCTTTTAAGTTAGAGTTTAAATCAAGAGGTGTGTTTGTGTTTGGAATGTGTTTGGTTTGACCATGCATTTTATGTACTGTAATGGACAGGATGCTCATACTTGGTAAGAGTGCAAATTTATTCTTAGGAATGGATCAAACACTTACTGAGGACATTCAGTGATGATGTTGCAGAGCACTGTCCAAATTTATTCTTAGCTTTTACTGTGTATTTTCCACTGTCTTCAATGGTAGCGTTGTGAATCTCAAGTGTGTACACATTCTTAGAGCAGCTGAATTTCATGTTTGATGTAATAGACATCTGAAAGGAAATGTAAACAAAGTTAACAGACTGCTATGAGTGAAACACAAATAAGTTTTTTTTTTCTTCCCCCAAAATATAATGACAAACCACTCACGACTGCATTATCCTTGAGCCACTCGATTTCTGGAGAAGGTTCACCAGTGATTTCGCATGTGAATGTGACATTTTGTCCCTCGTTAACATTCTGGGAGCGTGGTTGCACAAGGAAACTTGGTGCTTCTGAACACATTGCACTGACTGTCATATCAAACTGGCACTTGACCACACCCTGTTCAGTTTTGGCCTCACATGTGAGAACTCCCTGGTCATGGTAGCTGATGGTTTTAATTGTCAGGGTGTGATCATTGCCTGACACACCATATCTGTAGTTCTCTGAATTTGATAGCTCAGCTCCATTCATGATCCATTTCACATCAGAGACTTCAGGGATGTTTGCTCGTAGTGTGACAGTCTGACCTTGATTTATTGTTAATTGGGTTTTTGATGCTTTAATTTCTGTGAAGGACTGCACTTCCTCATAGGCAGTCTCCTTTTTCGCTATTTGTTCTGGAAACTCTGCTTTTCTTTCCACGGCAACTGCTGTTGTTCGTGCTGGAGCAGAAGGAGTAGATACTTTTTTTATTAAAGTACAACTGTACATACAAAATTATTCTTACTAAAATTATATTGTATGTGTATTTTGAGACCTGAAATGTGCTAAATAATACCTTGAACTGTAACAGTACAGTTTGTAGTAACAGATCCAGCACTGTTTTTGGCTGTACATGTGTATACTCCACTATCAGAGACATCAGCTTCATAGATTTCAAGATGTGCTGAACCATGTTCTTCAAAGATTTTATATTTTCCACCTTGAGAGAGGTTCTGGGAGAAAAATGTTCAAATTAATTAGTAAATCAATCCATTCAACTATATATTTTTATAAAGTAAGTAAAAATATCTTTCTTACCTTTCCATCCTTCATCCAGAAGATTGTTGGTTTAGGCTCACCAGACAGTTTCACTGTCAGCTTTATAATAGTATCTGCAGAGGCTGAGATGTCTTTTAGTTCTGCGGAGAAGGTTGGCTTGGATGTTTTTTCTTTTGGAGTAGGTGATTTTACCATGGGTGGGGACTTAACTCTTGGTGGAGATTTGATTGGTTCAGGTGATTTAATTCTCTGCGGAGACCTAATTCCAAATGGTGACTTTATACGAGGAGACTCTGGAGACTTTACTCTTGGAGGTGAAGCAACAACTTTCTGTACAGGTGTTGGTTTACGAATAGTTAGACTGAACTGTGCCTCCTGTGTACCATCAGAGTTCTCTACCACTACAGTGTAATTACCTCCATCTGACATTTCTACTTGGGTTATCTCAAAAGTAGATGTATATTCAGTTGAGGTAACATGGTGACGACGAGATGACACAATGACTTGTCCCTCTCGCATCCATGTTACAGTGGGTGCAGGTTCACCATCAACATCACATGTGAATTTGACCGATTCTCCCTCTGATACTGTGAGTGACTGTGGTTTAGTCAGAATTGTAGCTGGAGTCGATTTCTTTTTCTCAACCACTTCTTCCACTACTGTTGTCACTTCTGTAGCTTCAAGTTTGGTCTCTGACAATTTCTCAACCACAACTTCCTCAACTGCAGTCACTTCCGTAGCTTCAAGTTTGATCTCAGATGTCTTAATTGTCTCTTCTATCCTCTCTGTTTTAGTTTCAGATATTTCCACTTGTGTTTCTGATGCAGTTGCTGCTGTTATGGATGAAACATGATACACATCTGTTTTAGTCATCTCAGGGACAAAGGGGGTAGGTGGCTCCTCATCTTTGCGTTGTGAGGCATATGCAGAGAATCCACCCCCAGCAACATCGAGAGTGGCATAGTCAGAAGCTTCTCCCTTTGCATTTGTACAGACGACACGGTAGGTGCCACTGTCCTCTTCCTGGCAATCAATGATTTGAAGAGACAAAACACCACTCATGTTAAACATACGATATTTTCTGCTTTCTTCAATCTGCTGCCCATTGTGGTACCATTTAATCTGTGCTTCTGGCTTAGATTGGACATTCAGTGTGAATTTGGTGTTTTGACCAATTGGCACACGGTGAGAGCGCATTCTTACAGTCACCCTGGGAGCATGGTCAAGAGTAAAAGGCTGCTGGGTCACAATTTCAAACTTCCTCTCAGTTTTCAAGGCTTTCTTTCTTGACTCATACCTTGACATATAATCAATTTGTGTTGACAAGTCTTGTGTAGTGATTCTTTTCTCAGTAGAATCAAGGCTGGGTGAACGTGGGCGTGTCTTTTCAGGTGAAGCCGTTTTAATCACTTTTTCTGCCACAGTTGCAGAGGATTTTTTGGAATGGCTTACTGTAGCATAGCCAGGTGAGAATGCTGTTGTAGGTATATCAGTTATGACTGCTGACACAGAAACTCTTGTTTTTTCCTTTCTTTTGACCTTTGTTTTCTCCTCAAACTCAATGTGTTGCAGTTGGCTCTTGTAGGAAGTTAATTTTGTTGTGGTAGTTACTGACCTAAGCAGTTCATGGTCTTCTTTTTCCTCATACAGCCTTTGCTTTTGCCTTGGAGGTCTGTATGTTGCCCTTTCGTGACGCTGACGCAAGTCAATATAGCTTGGACCAGCCTCATATTTAGATGGAATACGATATGAGTCATACGTTGGAACTTCCTCCCCCTCCTCCTCGTCGTATGTAGCTCTCTTAGGTGATGGGTGACGCAGTGCAGAAAGTTCAAAGCGTACAGGGCTCAGACTTGGTGGAGAAGCAGAATAGCCTAACTCAAGTTCATCCTCAAGTTTGAGTCTTTCTTCCTCTGTTCTCTTCATTGAGAGGTATTCTTTAACTGGCAGAAGCAGTTCCTCATCAGAAAGATCACCAAGAGAGCGTCTCCTGATTCTGTAGTAAGCCTCCATTTCTGGAGAAGGTGTGCGATGTCTTGCTGGTCTTACAGTCTCAAGGTCATCTTGTGAAACAGGAATATGCCATTTTGGCTTGTATTGGTCTTTAATTCTTGGCAGGGGTACTTCATAGAACTGGTCCCACCTTGACAGCCGGATGCGCTTAAGTCTTTTCTGGGGGAACTTTTCCATTGGCTCCGGGAACTCATATTGATCTCTGAGTTTCTTGTACCACTTCATATCAGAGAATGGCACAAAGTGTTTGATTTCCATGTCCTCATCAAGGGTAGTAGGAGCAACAACGCGAGGCGGAGGGATAACATATGGCATTCTCAATCTCTTTTCTTCTGCTCTCTTCTTTTTCTCTTCTTTCTCTTTGGCTTCATCAGCTTCACTCTTGACTTTCTTGGTAGTGATTGCTGGCTTGTACATGGTTGCAGCTTCTCTTAGTGCTTGCTGTGCGACTGGAGTAAGTGGGGTAACGTCTGTACCTGCTAGTATCTGAGTTAGTCTTACTTTCTTGTCCATCTCTTGCTGATCAAGATCGTGTTGTTTCTTCTTTCCTTCCTCACTCACCTCTTTCTTGATGTGTGTCACACGTTCGACCTTGAGTGTGGCTTGACAACTTGCAGACCCTGCCGAGTTAGTTGCAATGACTCTGTATATGCCAGAATCCTCTGGAAGAGTATCTCTTACATGTAAGACATAGTAATCTAAGCCTTCATGCACAATCTCAATTTGTGGACCAAATGCCAAAGGCATGCCATCTTTCTCCCATTTCAATGAAGGATGTCCTGACACACGCATTTCAAAACGTACACTCTGGCCTTCTCTGCATTCCAAATTAGCAAGAAGACGTTTGAACATAGGTCTCAAGGTGTTATCAGCAGGAGCAGGACGAGGGACCACTTTGAGACGAGCCTTGCAACTGTCATCACCAAATCGGTTCCGTGCCACAACAGTGTATTCCGCATCATCATCTGGGTCAAGTTTGTGAATCACTAACTGATACAGGCCCTTGTCACTAATAAAAGTGTATTTCTTGTCATCATCTCCTGGCATAATCTTTTGACCCGTTTTCAACCACATTACACGAGGTTCAGGATGCACTGTGATGGTGACACCAAAGCGCACATCCTCTCCAATGTAAGCAGTGCGGTTGCACAATGGCAAAGTAAATTCAGGAGGTCTTTGGAGTAGTCTTGATGTGTCAACTCTGCGTTTTACTTTCTTTACCACACGTGTAGTGAAGAACTCACGATAGGATCTTACCCCTTTGACAAAGAGCTCAGCATAGGCACTGTCCTCACCATACTCATTGACAACTTTACATCTGTATGTTCCATCATCTGTTCTGTTGATTCCCTTGATAGTTATGGTAGCAAGCCCATCTTCGTAAGTAATTTCGTATCTAGCACCTTCTTCTAGTTGTCTTACTCCACAGTACCATGTTACTTCGGTAGTGCTGTCGTAATTGTCAATGTTGCAAATAAACTTGACATCATCGCCTTCATCGGCAACACTGTGTTTAATTTGTCCTGCAACTGGTCCATGTTCAAATGGTGCAATCTTCACTTTAGAGACTGTTACTCCTCGCTGACTTCTGATAGCACCACCAATGGCAACACGAGCAGAAGAGACAACAGTGTTCCATTCTTTCTTCACCATGGCTTGGTAATATCTCGTATGGCGTGTAATCTTGATGGACCTAGTGCTTAGCTGCTCTGAGTTCATCGTCAGCCAAGGATGATTCAAAGCCTCAGTAGCAGTCATACGATGTTTGCGCTCTTTGGTTAGTAGGCGGTCCACAAAGTCTAATGCCTCAACACTAACATGCTTGAAGGCATCATCGTCAAAACTGTACTCAGCATTGTAAATGCTCTCAATCATTTGCTGATTAGTTTCAGCGGCGAATGGATTAAGTCCACTAAGAAGAACATAAACAAGGACACCGACAGACCACATATCTGTCACAGAGCTAACCATCTCATTTTGATGAATTTCCGGTGCCGCAAACTCAGCTGTTGTGTACTGAAGCTTAATTTGGTCCCCAGGTGTAAGGTGTCTAGATTGTCCAAGCTCAATGATCTTGACATTAGTTCCCTTTCTTGTGGTGTACACTATATTTTCAGGCCTGATATCAAAGTGGCCATAACTCTTGCTGTGAAGGAATTCAAGAGCTTCACACACTTGTCTGATATAGTTAACAATTTCTCGCTCGCTGAGCTCAAAGTTGGCTGTACCAAGGCGCTCAAATATGTCGACACCAGAGATGAACTCATAAATCATGACTAGCTCTTCAGGGCTGTCAAATGACTCATGCAGCAACAGGAAGTTCTTGTGGCGTGCCACATTCAGTGTTGCAATTTCTTTTTTCACTAGTGCCTGATCCGCACCTCTAACTTTGAAAAATTTAGCCATGTAAGTTTTCTCAGAGCTAGTCTCAATACACCGGTGAACAATACCAAACTGTCCGCGGCCAAGCTCTTCAGCAATCATGTACTTGTTATGAACATTCTTAGTCTCTGAATGAGGAGCTTTGCTTTTGGAAACTGGTCTGGTGTCATCAACCTCTTCATCATAGTTAAGAACCCTTGATTTGTCTTCCTTTGTCACAACAGGTCCACTTGTCTCAGATGGTAGACTCTGACCAAATTTATTTTCAGCTATGATACGGAATTGATAACTTGTCTTTCCAAACAGATTGACAACAGTGTAGTGGGTGTCACGAGACTGGCCAACACGTATCCACCTTTCTGCTGTGGTGGCACACTTCTCTATGATGTAGTTTGTGACTTTACTTCCACCATCACTGGCAGGTGCTACCCAGTGGAGTGTTACAGAATCTCTCGAAACATCACTGGCTTTGATGCCACGTGGTGGATCAGGCACATCTGCAACATCAAGCTCAACTGTTTGCTGGTCAATTCCAAATCTATTTTTGGCACACACAATATAGAAACCAGCATCATTCCTTTCTACTCCATTCAAAAATACAAGAGATGTGAAGGATCGTGTGACAATAACTTGATAGTGTCCATCATTATCAAGAAGGTCTTGTCCTTTCTGCCAAGTGATAACTGGATCTGGTTTTCCACTGAATGGAATCTTGATGTTCACTACTTCACCACGAAGGGCAGGGATAGCTTCCTTTTCTTGCAGATTCTTAGGTAGATTTATCTTAGCAGGGACTGAAAAAACAGAAACATTTTAATACATAATTTGGAAATAGCTTGTATAGCCAAGTAAAGTACAGTATAAAACTTTGGAAGCTTACCTTCAACATCTAAAGAAACAGTAGCAGAAATTGATCCACCCTGGTTTGTTGCTCTGATCTGATATACAGTTGAGTCTTCTGCCTCGCAATCAGCAATAACAAGCTGATGATAGCCTCCCTTGAATTCTTGGATCTTGATTTTGGTACAATCAGCTTGAATTTCCTTTCCACGCTTAAACCATTTTATTACAGGCTTGGGCTGTCCTGTTATCTTGCAGACAAATGTTGCATTGCTTTTGAATTTTACACTCATGTTTCTGAGGTCTTCCTTGAAGGCAGGAGCACGCACATCAACATCAGTCTTTGGAATGGCAGGGTCAGATACTTCACTGTATTCACTTTCTCCACCAATGTTTTCACATTTCACCCGGAATTCATACTCTACACCTTCTGTCAGGCCCTTGACAGAATAAACAGTCTGGTGGATTTCATCTGTTGTAACTGCAGCCCATTCACCCTTCTTATCTCGCTTTTCAAGACAGTAGTTCTTAATTTTAGAACCTCCATCACTGAGAGGTGGCTTCCAAGACACAACAAAGGAGTTTTTGGTAATTCCAGACACAACTGGTTTTAATGGAGCTCCTGGCCTCTCTGCAAAACATACATTTTCATTTGAATAATAACACTAAATAATAACAACAAAACTGTGATTACTTCTTTAATAGATATTAAAGAATATCTATTAATAGATCATATTTCTTTATAACTTACCTAGCTGACTCTTGATGAGGATAGCAGAAGGAGTCTCCAGTGATTCACTATTACCATAACGATTTTGTGCTGAAACACGGAAGTAGTATCCCTCATTTTCAACAAGGTTAGGAATTCTGCATGAAATGCCTGAGATGGATGATGATACAAGTTCCCACTCTGCTCCTTCCTTGTCTTCACGCTTTTCCACAATATAATTAGTAATCATAGATCCTCCATCATCTTTGGGTGCTTTCCAGCTAATAATCACAGAATTCTTCAACAGAGCATCAAGAACAAGAGGACCCTCTGGCATAGCAGGTTTTTCTGAAAACACAAAAATATATATGTTAATTACTCTTATTTCCCCTACTTAGTACAAAAAAAGACACATTATGAAGCATATACCTAAGATTTCAACGTGAGTTACAGTATCTGCAGACCCAAAATGGTTGTTGATCCTGATTCTGTATTTTCCTCCATTTACGCTGCGCTGTACATTCTTGAGAATCAAATGAGTGTAATGCTCTGTATTTTCAATGATCACATTCTCAGAGGGCTCCAAAGCCTTGGCTCCATAAAGCCACATGATTTTAGGTTGAGGTCGGCCAATGTAAACAACATGAATGCGCACTGTGCTACCACATGTTGTAAAGAATTTGTCTTTCAGCGGCACTGGGAACTGTGGTGCTGCTTCAAGGACCAGAGTTCCACTGGTCTCACAGTCACCTGCTTCATTCACTGCCTTGCAAGTGTACAGACCCTCATCTTCCTGTTGATCTGTTGAAATGGTCAATGTATGGTTGCGACCATCAGAGGTTGCTGCATATTTGCGACCTTCTTTGATTTCCTTTCCGCCCTTGTACCATTTCATTTCTGGAACAGGTCGTCCAATAATCTGACATTTGAGAGTTGCAGTTTGTCCAAGTTTGGCAGTGACTTCATCCATCTCTTTCCTAAGAGCTGGTTTAGATCCAACTAAGAAAAAGGACAGAAGGGACAGCTATAGTGAAATTTATTTTAGTCAAACACCCCAAAAAATGCATTGGGATAAATATTGGATATCATTATTCTATCGACAAATCACAATACAAACAACAATCCTTCTAATGTTATTTCAAAATGTGCTTACCACCCAGTTTAGTTTTGATGCCAGTTGCTGTTCTGCGTGGTCTGCTGATTCCGGTTTCATTCTCAGCAAATACTCTGAATTCATATTCAGTTGCCTCTTGTAGACCACTCTGAGTGTACTGCTTGTCTTTTGTGCGCTCCTTATTGCATTTCTTCCAAGCACTCTCTCCAGACTTTCGGTATTCAATCCAGTAGCCAAGGACTGGTTTTCCACCATCACATGCTGGAGCCTCCCATTTAATTGTAATGTAGTCTTTGGTTACAGTCATAGTGTCAATTTCTCCTGGCTGGCTTGGTTTATCTAAATAAATAAAGAGTGTAATAATAAATGTTTTCCATAAATCAAGGCAACAATTCTGAATCAATTACTTAATGAACAGATGACATATTCTGAATACATAATAAGAATGAGGTCATACCAAATGGATCTTTGCAGATTACTGAATCTGATGCAGGTCCTGGTTCACTCTCTCCAATGTCATTCACAGCAATTACACGGAACTGATACTCAGCATCAGTAGTGAGCTGACTAAGAGTATACATTGTTGAGGTAATCTTTGTCTCATGACGAATCCACTTATCAGACGCCACTTCTTTGTACTCAATAAAGTAACCAGTAATGCGAGATCCACCATCATCCTTAGGTTTAGTCCAAGCCAAAGCAGCAGAACTCTTAGTAACATCCATGATTTCTGGTGGAGTGCCTGAAGCCTCTGGGACACCTAAAATACAAGAAAAAAAAAAGAAAAAAATGTTTTATTATGTTTAATAACAAACATGCAATGCCTAGAAATTAGACAAATGACAAGCACTTACAAATGGGAGTCTTTGGTATAACAGTTCCTTCTGATTTCAGGGAGTTGCTGATTCCAAACTGGTTCTCCGCTGTCACCTTAAAGTGGTATTCAACATTTTCTTCTAGTCCTTTAACCACAAGGGATGTGTCAACCACCCGTGAGTCAACAGTGTACCAAGCTGCTTTTGTTACTTCACGTCTCTCCACAATGTAGCCAACAATTTCAGAAGCACCATCTTCAGTTGGTGGTTTCCAGCTAACTCTTACAGAATGTGCTTGTATATCATCAAATCCAAGAGGGCCTTCAGGTGCAGATGGGCGGCCAATAACCTTGACCTTGATAGGAAGCATCTTTTTGCCACACTTATTTTCCAGATGGAGATAGTAAACGCCAGAATCAGACCTTTCAGCCTGTTTGATTACAAGCTCGGATACGTCTTCATTAGAGGCAATCATTGCACGGTTGGACACCTCTGATCCATCCTTGGTCCATTTGCTGGTAGGAGTAGGTTTACCTTTGATGGGCACTGAAAGTTTGATTACACCTCCAGATCTGACTACAAGTACATCTTTGTATTTTGCTTCAAGGTCATAACTTGGAGGATCTGAAACACAGAACATTTTAAATTATTAAATTATTCCATAAATGTAACACTTTACACATTTAAGTAAAAGGAGTTAATGACAGGGTCATGAGATCTTACCAAGCATCTCTGTTATGGTCACCACTCCAGGTACTTCAGCTGGTTCACCTGGACCACCAGCATTGCAAGCCATGACACGGAATTTGAATTCCTCTCCTTGTGGCATTTGTGTCAAAGTATATTCACAGATCAGTGAAGGTGTAGTGTTGCACTTCATCCAGGTTACTGAACCAATTTTTTGCATCTCAATTAGATAGCCTGTAACCTTAGCACCACCCTCCTCATCTGGAGGACTCCAGGCCAAAGACACAGACGATTTTGTGGTATCTGTGACTCGTGGGTTTTGAGGTGATCCAGGTGGATCTGTAAGGGTTATGCAATAGATTAATAAGTGATAATAAGTTGAATGCACCAAAATTCTACAGTATTTTAGCTAAATTTTTCTTACCAACTGGATCATTTGCTACTGCTGGTTTAGAAAGAAGGCTAGGTTTGCCAACACCACGAGCATTGACGGCTGTCACTCTGTGCTCATATTCCAGGCCTTCGATTAAACCAGTGGATCTGTATCTTGTCATTGTTACTGGATTTTTATTAGCACGGATCCACCTGTCAGCTCTGACCTCCTTGCGTTCAATAATGTAGCCAGACACCTCTAATCCTCCATCCTCATCTGGTGGCTCCCATGCAACAGTCATGCCATCACGTGATACATCAAAGACAATGGGTCTTCCAGGCGGCCCGGGAATGGCTGTAACAACAATTCAATATTGCGATCATGTAGGTCCAATATATGTGTTACATAATAATAATAATATATATATATATATATATATCTAAGATATATATGTGCATATGCTATTTTGTAAAAACATGTTTTTCTTACATTTGGAGCTCTTGCACATCACGACTTCTGACTGTAAGTACTCCCCAGTGCCATAACGATTGGTTGCTGCAACCCGGAACACATATTCATCGCCCTCTGTCAATCTGTTAAATTTGAATGTTGGTCTGCTAACTGATTCTGAAACAGGTACCCATCCTGGGCGATGAGCATCACGTTGTTCAACCACATAGTTGCTAATTGGTGCACCACCATCTCTCATAGGTGGATCCCAGCTTATCGTGACTGATGTTGCATCAATTTCATCTAATCTAATTGGTCCTTGAGGCTCATCAGGTTTAGCTAAAGAGAGAAGAGGGTTATTAATAATATTATTTCTCAATCATTTTAAAATATTCATTTTAATGTAGGGAGTGGGTACTTACAAAGAATGATGACTTTGATGTTTTCAGTAATTACTCCTGTTACGTTTTTCACCTCTAGAGTATACAGTCCACTGTCATCAATGGTGGTGTCAAGAATAGTTAATTTAGAGAATTTTCCAGTTGACTTCATCTTCACACGCTCCACAATCTTTATCCTATTGTCATTGAAGAACCAAGAGCAAACTGGTGGTGGTCTTCCTATGATTGGCAAGTCAAGCTCAAGGGGTTTGCCTGCCAAAACACTGATCATCTTTTGTGGAATAGTTGATAGATCAACCTTTGGCATAACTGAAAGAGAATAAACAAAAAAAAAAACAGTGAGACACAACAAACTAATAACACCATCTTGTGACTATTATTGTAATTATCATAATACATACCTCTTTGTTCTTGAACTGTCACAGCTGTCACAGTTTCTTTTGGCTCACCAGCTCCTCTGCTGTTGACAGCACGTACCCTGAAGAGGTACTGCTCATTCTCATTCAGTGACACGATAGTGAACTCAAAGTCTGTAAGTTTCAAAGTTGCCACCTTCATCCACTTGTCAGTACCAGCCTTACAAGCCTCAACAATGTAGCCAGTGAGTCTGCTGCCTCCATCATGTAAAGGTTTCTCCCATGCAAGTGAAACACTGGATTTGGTTACATCTACAACTTCAAGCTTGGCTGGTGGCAGTGGAACTTCGCACACCAACACAACATCGCCTGTCTCACAAGGTTCACCAACACCATAGATATTCTCTGGTAAGACTCTGAAATAATACAGCATTCCTTCTGTCAGACCAGCAATTTTGTAGGATGTCTTGCTGCATTTTGATGTGACCGTTTTGTAAGCTCTCATTGATGCCTCTCGTCTTTCAATGATGTAATTGTTGACAGGTGCTCCACCATCAACCTCAGGAGCATCCCAAGTAATATGAGCAGAGTCTTTTGTGAGCTCTTTCATCTTAATTGGACCAGGTGGACCAGGTGTATCTGAGAAAGAATGCACAAACATGCTGGTTAGACACCATTTCATGGTATGCCGTTATATGCACTATAAATAATTTACATGATTTAATATGAGAAAACATACCATAGATTTTCACAAGGATGCTTGCATCCTTCTTCCCAGCAGAATTGGAAGCTTCAATTGTATATCTACCAGCATCATAGCGGTGCACCTTGTCAATAATGAGAGTTGTGGCAGTATTGGTCACTTCAATAAAGCCACGATTTTGGAGGTCCACACCAGGTTTGCTCCAGGTTACAGTTGGGATTGGTCTACCAGTAACAGTAATATGTAGGCGCAGAGAACTTCCTGCTCTCAGACAAATTGTCTTTGTCAGTTCATCAGGCAGCTCAAGGTCAGGAATTTCTAGAATAAATAATAAAACAATTAGAGAATTTATTAGAGAATACACTGACTGAATATTGGACATTACTTCTTTCTTGCATTTGTATATACAGTATATCAAACTTCAGTACCATACAAACATTTAGAAGTTGTTTGAACTTACCAATTCTTTCTACAGGCTCAGTCTCTGCACAAGGATCACTGACGTCACCGATCCCATTTACATTGACTGCTGCAACTCTGAAACAGTACTTTTTGCCAGCAGAAAGGCCTGTAACTATGTGTTCTGTAACTCTAAGATTCTTTTCATGCACTTTTGTCCATTCCTCTGCACCAGCTTCTTGCATCTCAAGAACATAACCAATAACATCAGCACCACCATCTTCAACTGGTCGTGTCCAAGCAAGACTAACACTCTCTTTGTGTGTGTCAGTAACCCGTGGAATTGAGGGTGGACCTGAAGTGCCTAAAATGAGGATTAAACATAATAAGGTAAACATGTTTTACTTTAGTAATATAAACACTTAAATGTTATAAATTATGTTATTTCGGAAACATACCGGTTGGTACTCTACATACTGCATACATTGACACCTCACTAGGTTCACTATCTCCAGCTGCATTCATGGCTGTAATGCGGAACTGGTAAATGTTGCCTTCATGGAGACCAGTGACTTTGAAAGATGTGTCCTTGAGAATAGAATCTCTGTTAACCTTGATCCATCTAACACTCTTTCTTTCATGAAACTCAATTAAGTAGTTTGTGACTTCACTGCCACCATCGCTCTCAGGCTTCAGCCACTCGATCGTTGCAAAGTCTTTTCCAACTGCAAGGATTTCTGGGGCCCCAGGGGGTGATGGGACAGCTGCAATTGGAAATAAAGGTGCAACATTTTTATTTTACCATGCAAAATCTCTCATCTAAAGGTTTTTAAAATTAATCATGGTACTTACTGAATGAATTTCTGGCAAAGATGGGGGTAGACTGTACAACCACGCCAGAGCCATACTTGTTCACACCTCTCACACGGAATATATATTCGTTGTTCTTGAAAAGTCTTTTAATTTCGTATGTTAAGGTTTTGCATTCAGCCTCCATGATAACCCAGGTAAGTCTATTGGTATCTCTTCTTTCAACAATGTAATGTGTGATTGGGTCACCACCATCCTCCAGTGGCTCTTTCCAAGACACTGTGCATTTTTCCTCAGATACATTGCTGACTGTAATCTCCAGACAAGGACCAGGTGTATCTTGTAAAAGAAGAAAGATTATTGTATGAATGAATTTACAACATATTTAAAACTGAAGATCATGTTTGTTTATGTTATGGCTGTATGTTTAGAACACCTACCAAGCACTTTAACATTGACCTCAGCGGTTTTTGTTCCACTAGCATTCTTAACTGTCAGAACATACTTCCCAGTGTCATCTCTGTCACAGAACTTGATGATTGCCAGAGCTCGGGTACTAGAGTACTGGAGAGAATATTTTTCACAAAGTTCTAGCTCTTTCGTACCCTTGGCCCAGCTTACTTTTGGCTCAGGTTTTCCACCAACAGCAGCATCTAGCACTAAATCAGATCCAGCTCTGATAGTAACTGTGTCCACAAGGAGTTTGCTGTCCAGCTCTGCTTTAGGAGGAGCTAAAAAATAATTCAAGTGTAATGAGTATTTAGGTTCTCATTAATAAAACAATGTTAGTCTTGTGTGTATTGTGACAGAACCATGTATGATACATACTGTATTCTGCTTTGCAGGTCACTGGTCCTGTTGAAACTGATGGCTGGCTCAATACTCCATTAGCATTTTTAGCAATGACACGGAATTCATATTCCTCTCCTTCTCCCAGTGCAGTGACAGTGAAATTTGTGTCAGTAACATTAGTGTAGTTACACTTAAGCCAGCGACCTTCTCCAGTGACGGTATATGGCTTTCGCTCAACAATGTAGCCTGTGATTTGGCTTCCACCATCGTTTAGAGGCACAGACCACTTGATTGAGACTGTTGATCTTGATACATTTGTAACTTCTGGTTTTCCTGGAGGATCTATATATTTGTATCATCACAAACAAAAAAAACCAACATATATCAGTATTGTTTTTTTCTAAACTGGTATGAATTACTTTTTGATTGTAATATACTTACCAACTGGATTTTGTGCCACAGATTTCTTTGATGCTTCACTTGCTTTGCTGAGGCCAGCACTATTCATTGCATACACTCTGAACTGATATTCAAGACCCTCAACAAGGCCTTCCACCCTGTAGTAGCATTCAAAGCAGGGAATCTTGTTTTCTCTCACCCAGAGAATTGTGTTACGCTCCTTCTTTTCGATCCAGTATCCAGTGACCTTGCTGCCACCATCATGGTATGGTTCCTCCCAACGAATGCTCATGCTGTTGGCGGTTACAGAGAACACTTCTGGTTTTGTTGGAGGGCCTGAAGGAACTGTGAAAATAATAACATGTAATAAGATACTTGATATTTCATACAGTATATAAAAACTGCTAATTTCTTATTAGCTATTACATACCAAATGGATGCTCTGCAACAATCGTCTCAGATTCTGTTGGTTTGCTCACACCGAAACGGTTTTCAGCACAGACACGGAAAGTGTACTGCATGTATTTAGTTAGATGTGAAACATGGAAAGAAGTTTGCTTTACACTTGAGTTAATAAGCTGCCAAGCAGTGGAGCCAGATTCACGCTTCTCGACAATGTAGTTTGTGATGTCTGTTCCACCATCATCCTCAGGTGGATTCCATGATAGTACGCATGACTCTGATGTAATTGAGGAAATCTCAATAGGGCCCTCTGGAGGGCTTGGTCTGCCAATAACATTGACAGTGACACTGAAAGTCTTTGACCCTGTGACATTCTCAAGAGTTAGGAAATATCTGCCTCCATCACCTCTCATGCTGTCTTTAACTGAGAGAGTGGTCCTGTTTTTGGTAGTCTTGATTGACACCCTGTCAGTTTCTTTTAGCTTCATTTCCTCAAGCTTCCAGGATACCTTTGGAGCAGGTCTTCCACTAATTGGAACATCAATCTCAAACAATTCACCAATCCTGCTAATAATGAGTTGGTTGGTGATGCCACTGAGGTCGGCGGTAGGTTCAATTCGTGGCTCTTTAATGATGACTGAGGAGAAAGCTTCCCTTGGCACACTGAACCCAGCATCATTCTTTGCCTTTACACGGAATTCATACTCACTGTTTTCTATAAGTCCTTCAATTACAAGGCTTAGGTTTTTCGTTGTGCCACAAACAACCCATTTATCTGAGTCTTTAGCCTTTGACTCCACACAGTAGCCTGTGATACGGCTTCCTCCATCATGCTCCGGCTTGAGCCAGGCCAGGGTTGCTGATGTGTCAGTTGTATCAATAATATCAACTCTCTTCGGTGCAGAAGGTTCAGCTGTGGCAATAACTGGGTCCGGCATTTCATATGCTTCACCAAGACCATACTGATTCTCAGCCATGACTTTAAAGAAATAAGGTACACCTTCCAGGAGATCAGAAATTCTCAGGCTTGTTTGAGTGGTCTTGGGTGCTGCCTCTGTCCATGTACGACGGCTAGCCTCACGTTTCTCAACAATGTAATGATGAACACGTGCACCACCATCGTTGATAGGAGGTTCCCAAGCAATTGTGAGAGCTCCTCTCGTTACTTCCTTGATGGAGAGAGCCCCTGGTACACCAGGTGTGTCTAACACTTTGACTGCAATAGTAATAGATTTATTGCCACTACTGTTCTCAAGAGTGAGAGTGTATTTTCCAGTATCATTTCTAGTGCAATTTTCCAGTGTCAAAGCCGTGAATGTCTCAGTAGTGGCGATGTCTGTCATAACACCAAGTTCTCCATCCACTTTTGTCCATGAAGCTGTAGGTGTTGGCTTTCCCTTAAAGGCAATATGGATACATACACTTCCTCCACTTTTTACAATATGTGTCTGTTTAAAGGATGCATCTATGTCAATTTCTGGTGCCAAGAACCTGTCTACTGCCTGTACAGACTCAGATATTTCTTTGGCTTCGCCCTTTCCAACAGAATTGACTGCACAAATACGGAACTTGTACTCTGCCGTGGTTTCCAAACCAATGACAGTGTATTTTGTGACAGCACAAAGATCCTCATTGACTCTGCGCCATTCCTCTTCGGATCCCTTGCACATTTCAATAATGTAGCCATGGATTTCCATTCCACCATCATAGGCAGGTCTGGTCCATTCCAAGCTGACAGACGTATTGGTAGTGTCAGTCACATTGACAATAGATGGGGCATCAGGTTCTTCTGTTGGCTCAGTACATTTAATTGCCATTGAAATGTTGCTTGGTGCTCCAATTCCAGCATCATTTACAGCATACACACGGAATTCATACTCCACATTCTCAGTTAGATGAGTCACTCTGTGTGCAGCCTCAACAATGGGTTTCCTTGTTAGGACTTTCAGCCAACGACCAGTCTTCTTTTCACGCCTTTCCACAATGTAATATTTTATTGGGTTTCCACCATCATGTGTTGGAGGAGCCCAGTTGATTGTGATACTTTCTCCATCGACATCTGTTGCATCTGGAGTTCCAGGAGAATCTGGAACACCTGCAGGAATGAAAAAGAAAGAAATTACAGAAAAAATCTTTTTACAGTGTTGTATATATAAAATTTGAGAAAAAAATATTTATTTTAATATAAGCTTTTTATTATCTTACTGTATTGCATCTGTGCAATCACAGGAGCTGAATCCAGTGGTCTGCTAACACCAAACCTATTGACTGCAGAAACACGGAACTGGTACTCGTTTGTCTTGATCAGTTTGGTGGAAGTGTATGTGCATCCCAAGCACTCATCTGTGACAAGTGCCCATGAAAGTTTCGAAGTTTCACGCTTCTCAACAATGTAATGAGTGACCTCAGAACAGCCATCATTCTCAGGTGGATTCCATGAAAGTGTTACTTTGCCCTCAGAGATATCTGAGAATGTGACTGGACCAACAGGCTCTCCGGGTGTATCTGAAAAATAGAAATTATTGAAGCATATGGTATGATATGAAATGATATGGTATTATATGATATGGACATTAAGAAAATCTACTGATTAAAGGGTAGGATGAATAAATAAGATGGATAAGGCACAAAAAGTATTCATACCAAAGACTTCAACTTTCATTGATTCTTTTTTACTTCCTAAGGGATTTGTGGCTTCCACAGTATAAAGACCACGGTTTCTACGGTCAGCATCTCTTATAAAGAGGGTACTTGATCCAGAAACTGTTGTGATATCAACCATTTTCTTGGTTAATTCAATATTATCCCTGAACCAGGTAACTTTTGGTGTTGGTCTTCCAGTGATAGCAACTTTGAGCCTGATGTTTTCTCCAGCTTTAATAGAGACTCCCTCAAAGTACTCTTGGCCAAACTGAATGTTTGGAGGAACTGAAAGAGAAAAGAATTTGTACTTTTTAATATATACAGACCAGCATAACATTGCATGTAAAATGTTGACCACTGAACAATAAGAAACACAATATAAACTGCATGAACTTACAGCTCTCATCTCTGATGACGACATAACCAGAAGACTGAGAGGGTGGGCTCACTGTGCCGATAGCATTTCTTGCTATGACTCTAAATTCATAGCGTTCACCGCAAGCAAGACCAGTCACTGTAAATTCTGTGTCAGTCACATTTGTAAAATTGCTCTTCAACCACCGTCCTTTGCCCTGCCGTTTCTCCACATTATAGGCAACAATTTTGCTTCCACCATCATGCTTGGGTGCTTCCCATTTAAGTTGAACTGATTCACTTGTTACATCAACATAGTCAGGGGTACCAGGAGGATCTGAAGTTAAAATTCACAAGTTTATTAATATTTAGCTACTGTAAATTGTCATATTTTTAACTTGCAAGATTGGTGTGAAAAATATGTGTTAAAGTTGAACTTACCAACTGGAGAAACAGCCATAATAGGTTTGCTTGCATCACCCATGCGACTATATCCAGCATCATTCTGGGCGTAGACTCTGAACTGGTATTCCAAGCCTTCAATAAGACCAAGAATCCTGTACTCCCTTTCTTTCACTAAAACTGTGTTGACTTTTTGCCACATTATGCTGTTCTTCTCCTTCTTTTCAACATGGAACCCAAGGACTGGACAACCTCCATCAAAGACTGGTTCATCCCACTGAATAGTCATGCCATCGTTTGTAACATTGTAAACCACTGGAATGCCTGGTGGGCCGGGTGGTCTGAACTCATGCTTGGCAATGACATTTTGTGAAACCGAAGGTTCACTTGCACCATATCTATTTTCAGCACAGACTCTGAACTGATATTGAATACCCTTGATCAGGTTGGGGACCTTAAACGATGTTCCAGTTACACTTGAACAAGCCATTTTCCAGTCTGTCTGAGATGTGTCATGTTTCTCAACAGTGTAGCAAGTGATTTCTCCACCTCCATTATCATTTGGTTCATCCCAAGATATAGCGATACTTTCTGCTCTGACCTCATCTAAGCGGATAGGTCCAATAGGTTTAGAGGGTGGTCCAAGGGTAATAACATGTACGTGAAATGATTTTCTGAAGAATGTGTTGTCAAGAGTAAGTGTGTATTTGCCTCCATTCTCTTTCACCACATTTTTTATCATAAGAGTGGCCTTGTTTTCAGTCTTCTTGAAGCGGACCTTTTCACTCTCCTTCAGTGGTAAGTTGTCCTTTAACCAAAGAATGGTTGGTCTCGGCTTACCCTTGTATGGCAATTCAATGTGTACATTGTGTCCCAAACGCACACTGATCTGTCCACCAGGATACTCTTCAAGGTTTGCTTCTGGTGGAATAATGTAGTCCTTTACTTTAATTGGCCCAATTTCAACAAAGTCACTAGTACCCTTTTCATTCTTGGAGCTAACTCTGAAAAACATTTCAGTGAGTTCCTTAAGCTTTTTAACTTCATGTTCACAGTGCTTGTTTGTGCCAGCAGGAGCCCATTCTTCTTGACCTTGGAGTTTTTGTTCAATTATGTAGTCTGTAATGATGCTACCACCATCATAATCTGGTTTGTTCCATTGTAGTGTTACTGAAGTCTTGGTGGAGTCTTTCATAGAAAGGTCTTTTACTGGACCAGGGGTCTCAGTGGCTTTAATCGGCTCTGCTGTATCACATGGATCTCCAACTCCATTCTCATTTTCTGCTAATACACGGAAGAAGAACAATGCCTTCTCAGAGAGTTCTTCAATTACACATGTGGTTTCTTTGCATTTACTTGTTACACAGGCATATGTACGCTTTGAAGAGTCTCTTTTCTCAACAACATAATTGGTAATTTCAGCACCACCATCCAGTAGAGGGGGCTCCCAACAAAGAGTAACTTTTCCACGAGTGACATCTTTCAAGATCAAATTCCTACAAGCAGCTGGAGTGTCCTGTACTTTAACAGACACAGTTAGTGTCTTTGGTTCTCCTACACCATTTGATATATTAATGGTATATTTACTTGTGTCACTTCGAGTTACTTGTGTAATTATGAGACATGATGAAGAGTCTGTGTTGTGAATGTCGTATTTAGGATCATTGTCAATGTTCTGGTCTTTCTTTTTCCAAGAGATGCTTGGAGCAGGTCTGCCTTTGAGGGGAACCATGATTTCAACATCTTTACCAGCTTTCACAATGTAGTGAGTTCTCATTGCAACATCTGTATCAACCTGGGCTTCCTCTGCAAAATAGGAATTAAAGTGATTTATGATGTCTGTTGTTACAGAAAACATTATTATAAAATATACAAAGATATTCCAAGCATTTCAACATGAATACATACCAAGAATATCCTTGGCTTGTACTGGCTCTTCCATTTCTATTGGGTCTCCACGGCCAGCACAATTAACAGCAGATACACGGAAGTAGTAGTCCATATCTGGTTTAAGATCTGAAGCTACATACTCTGTAGTTCTCACTTCTCCCTTATGGCTAATCACTGTCCATTCCCCTTCTTTGCCAACTCTTTTTTCTACAACATAGCTGGTGATTTCACTGCCTCCATCATACTCTGGCTTTGACCATCCAAGTGTGATTGATGTTTTAGTTGAGTCAACCACCTTCAGTTTAGTTGGTTCATATGGTGGGTCTTGGGAGAAAAAAAAACCTCGGTTAAAACTCAAAAAATTATATAAAATTATAAAAAGATTCAAAATGATATATGAATTTAGTAAAATTAACAGTTGAGCAAAAATTATACAGTAATACATACCAACTGGATCAGCAGCTTTGTAGAAGTCAGAAACATCTGTGTATGGACCTTCCCCAGCTTTATTGATTGCACATACACGATACTGATATTCATTTCCTTCTGTAAGATGATGGACCTTTGATTTTGTATCACTAATGGGGTCCTTGTACACTTTTACCCAGCGCAGACTCTTCTTGTCACGTCTCTCCAAATAGTATCCTGTAACCATGCTACCACCATCTACACTAGGTTTATTCCAAATGATCTGCATTGATGTTCTGGTGATATCTGTTGCTTCAGGTGTAGAAGGTTGTCCAGGAGTAACTGAAAAAATAGCATTGATTTAATAATTGTGGTGTTACATAAATAATCTAATTTACCAAAAGTATATATTATCTAGTTTAATAATTTTGATTTTCGATTGACTATTTCCTTACCGAATGCATTTTTGGCAATAACAGGCTCAGACTCCAGAGGATCTCCAGCTCCAAATTTGTTAGCACCTCTGACACGGAATACATATTCATTTCCTCTGGCCAACTTTTGGACAGTAACAGTACGTGCTTCCATTGCCTCAGAAACTGTAGACCACACTACTCTACTTGTCTCTCGTTTTTCTACAATGTAATGAGTTACTTTGGCACCTCCTTCATCAGTCACTGGTTCCCATGCAATTGTTATCTTGTCAGCAGTGACAGTTTTGAATTCAATGTGTCCAGCTGGAGGTCCAGGTTTGTCTATTTATGGAATGAAAATATATTAATTTACAATTAGGAAATGGATAATCATTGAAAGAGGTGGATAAGACATTGAAATTACATTTATATACATATTTATTTTTGACAGAAATGATTACATACCTAAAATCTGTATTCTGATAGAAGCAGATGCTGTGCCAAACACATTCTTGATTTTGAGCTCATAGGTTCCAGTATTACGACGAGTAGAATCTTTAATGATGATGGCTGATGAGTCAGTTGTGTTCTCAATTGACAGATGTGCGCTTGACACTAATTCCTTTTCGTCTTTAAGCCATTCAATAGTTGGCAAGGGTTTAGCAAATATTCCCAATTTGATTTTGAATGATGCACCAGCTTTGTATTGCACAACATCCAAATACTCTGGGGGCAGGTCAATTACTGGAGCACCTAGAATTAGGGAAAAATGGAAAAGTGTGTGTAATAAAGAGTAAGACCCGTTGCTAGGAATGGCATTAAATAAACAAGCAATGTAGAAGCAATGCACTTACCAGAAATGTCAACACAAGTTACTGGTCCTGCAATTAGAGATGGGTTGCTAACTGAGCCAACTACATTTTTGGCGAAAATCCTAAATTCATATGACTGATCCTGAGTCAAGCCTGACACAGTGAAATTAGTATCAATGACATTGGTAAAGTTTGCCTTTGTCCATCTGCCATTTGGAGCATCTCTTCGCTCAACCATGTAGCCAGTGATTTTGCTTCCACCATCAAATGGAGGCTTCTGCCACACAAGGCTTACTGAATTTTTTGTAACCTCAGAAATTCTCACATTTGCCGGTGGTTCTAAAATAAAACAAGGATTATTTGGCACAGAAATTTAGAGAAACTTGACACATCTCCTTTGCACAGAAATTTCTTTTTTTTATTATTATTATTTAAGCTTACCACAGGCATCGATCGCCAGCACTTCATCTGATGTCTTGCTGAACTTTCCAATACCAGCTGCATTTTCTGCAGCTACTTTGAATTCGTAAATCATTCCAGGACATATATTTGTCACTCTAATTTGAGTTGCAGGGATTGCTATTTTGTTCACCGTCTGCCAAAGGATGCTGCTTCTTTCTTTCATTTGGATGTGGTATCCAAATACCGAGCTTCCACCATCTACTACTGGGTCATTCCAGCAAACAGTGAGGCTTTCCCTTGACACATAGCTCAGCCATGGTGTTGATGGTGGACCAGGAATAGCTAAAACATACAGTAAACCAGCAGAGGTTTAGACAAAAAAATTGAGACATAACTAGAAACAATTGCAAATGTACAGTATCCAAGTACTCACTGTATGGAAGCTTAACTGTAACTGACTGAGAATCAATATGGTCACTGATGCCAAAGCGATTCTCAGCTTTAACCCTGAACTGGTATCCTTCTCCCTTTGTAAGTTTGGTGACTTTAATAGCACTTCTTGCAATTGTGGATGACACTTCTGTCCAGGCTGGAGTACTTGTTTCACGTTTAAGAACAACATAGTTCGTGACAGGACTGCCACCATCATACAGAGGTGGGAGCCATTTGAGACACAAGCTTGTCTCTCCCACACCACTAACTTCAACAGGACCAACTGGAGGACCTGGTCTGTCCAGGACCAGTATGTTTACAAACATCTTGGTTGTTCCACTTGTGTTTGAGGCGACAATGTCATATCTTCCAGCATCACTTGCAATACTTTCCTTGAGGTTGACATTAAGGCTTTCAGGGGTTACTTCAAAGCTGAATCTTTTGCCGCACTTAACTGGAACATTGCCTCTTGTCATTGTGACCTTTGGCATTGGTTTACCAGAGAGAGGAAGCTCAAATTTAAGATTTGATCCTGCTCTCACATAAACAGTGTTGTGTGGGAAGTTCTTTATATCAAACTCAGGGGCATCTGTTAAGAACAATGAAAGAAAATTTTATTACAAGATTAATAGATTATTTGAATATAATAAACATGGAATAAATTAAATTAATTAAGACTCACCCAACTGATCTTTCACAACCACAGGGATTATCATTTCTTTTGGTTCACTGAGTCCAGCGTGATTCTCAGCGCGAACTCTGAACAAGTATTCTGCATTTTCCCTCAGGCCCTTAATTATGTGGGTGTTGGATTTAACATTGGCACATTTAACCCACTTCTGTTGTCCTTTTTCAAGGGCATCAATGAGGTAGCTTGTAATTCGGCTTCCACCATCATGCTCTGGCTTTGACCATGCAATGGTGATGCTATTCTTTGTTACTGCAGTAACGCCGAGTCTAGCAGGTGGACTTGGTTTTTCTGTTGGTACAAAGTTAAAATCATATTTAAAACAGAAAGAATACATATATTCTGAAACCTATTACTTTCTAATTTTAAGACAAATAAATGTGGTAATGGTTTATACCTGTGATCTTGGTTCCATCTTTAGTTTCAGTTGGTACACCTGTCCCAAACTCATTTTCTCCAGTAACTCTGAAGTAGTACATTGCACCTTCTAACAAGTCTTCAACCTTGTATGTTAGACTGTGACAGTTGCTTGTTACACATACCCAGGCCTTTTTGCTTGCTTCACGTTTCTCAACATGATAAGCCTTAACAGCATCTCCTCCATCATTCTCTGGAGGTGCCCAAGTAACTGTAGCAGAGTCTTTTGTGACTTCTGTAATCTTCACGTTAGTTGGTGGTCCTGGGGTATCAAGGACTTTGACCACCATGGGCAAAGATGCAGTTCCAACACCATTGTCCAAAGTAACAATGTATTGTCCAGAGTCATTTCTTGTTGCTTTCTCAATAGTAATAGATGTGTATGTTTCCGTTGTTTCTATGCTTGCCCTTGCTTTCAGATCAATTTCCTCTTTATTCCACGTAATTGAAGGAACTGGCTTTCCCTTAAATGGTGCCGTTAAAGTGAACGAATTGCCATGCTTGACTAATAAAGTCTTTCGCATCTCAATGTCAACGTCAAACTCAGGTTCCTCCTTTCTCTCAGTTGCTGACTGGGGCTCAGAGACAGGTGACTGCTCACTGACACCAACTTTGTTGATTGCTTTAACAGCAAATACATACTCTACATCAGCTGCAAGACCAGAAATGGTGAATTCATTGCTCTTTGTCATCTGAATAGCCACTATCCATTCCTCATCCTCAGATTTCTTATATTCTACAGTGTATCCTAGGATCTGTGCACCACCGTCAGATAATGGCTTTTTCCAGGCAATAGTGATAGAATTCTTGGTATGATCCAGAATCCTTGGTTTAGTTGGTGGGGATGGCACCAAAAGCTCATCCTCTGCTCTTGCTGAAGGAGATGGGTCACTGGCTGGACCTAAACCTGCCGCATTTTCAGCATAAACTCTAAACTCATATTCACATCCTCTTCTTACTTTTGATATCACAGCTGTTAGGTCTGTCACAAGCTCCCTGTTCACACGAACCCAGTGAAGACCAGATTTCTCTCGCCTTTCAATTATATATCCAAGGATCTCACTGCCTCCATCAGATGCAGGCTTTGTCCAAGTTAGATTAATTTCCTCACTGGTTACACTTGTAATTTCAACATTTGATGGGGCTGTTGGGATAGTGTATGGATCATTGACCTTGACAATTTCACTTTCAAGGGCTTCACCAAGTCCAAACTTGTTGACAGCTAATACTCTGAATATGTACTCATTTCCTTTCAGGAGCTTAGTGACCTTAAATGTTGTGGTTTTGACCTCTCCATGTACAAGTGTCCATGCCAGTCGGCTGGTCTCTCTTTTCTGAATAACATAATGCATTATTTCAGAGCCACCAATTTCTTGCGGTGGTCCCCATGACAATGTGCACTCCTCTGCTGTGAGGCCCGTTACTGACAATGGCCCTGCTGAAGGTCCTGGTTTATCAAGAATAACACAGTTTACTGGTGTTGTGACACTTCCTGCAACATTCTGCAATGTCAAAGCATACTGCCCAGAGTCACTCCTTTTGCAGTCTTTAATTAATATCATAGTACTAGTATCTGATCCAGTTATCTGAATTCTTGCCTTGTGTTCAATTGCATGTCCATCTTTTGACCAAGCTGCAACTGGAAGAGGGCGCCCTGCAATGTCAGCATTAATCTTCAGGGTTTCCCCAGATTTTACCACCACAACATCTCTGAACTTGACATCCATCATAATGCGTGGTGGATCTACATTATCTTTAACTGTAATAGGACCAGTGTTGTAGGATGGCTCACTGAATAGTCCAGCAGCATTCTTTGCAATAACACGGAAATCATATTGCTCATCCAATGTAAGGCCAGTAACATCAAAGTAAGTCTCTACAACATTGGTAAAATTGCATCTTATCCAGCGACCCTCTGGGAGATCTCTACGTTCAATTATGTAACCAGTGACTTTGGCTCCACCATCATATTCAGGCTTTGTCCAAGAAAGAGATACAGAAGATTTGGTAATGCTAGTTATCTCAGGTTGACCTGGAGGATCACAAGGATCTCGTGCAGCTATGGCCTCGCTGGCTTTGCTTGCCTTGCCAATTCCAGCAATATTTTCAGCATAGATCCGGAATTCATACATCATACCTGCCTCAATACCCGTTACTTTGAATTCAGTATCCTTGATGAGTGTCCTGTTCACCTTTGTCCAAAGAATACTGCTTCTCTCCTTGCGTTCTAAATGATAGCCAAGGACTGTGCTACCACCATCATTAACTGGCTCATTCCATGTGACAAGCATGAAGACCTTGGTGGCATGAGCAACACGGGGCGTAGAAGGTGGGCCAGGCTGTTTGAATGTGTACTCCGCAGTAATGCCTGGAGAGTCAATTGGCTTGCCCTTTCCATACCGATTCACTGCATAGATGCGGAACTGGTACTCAGAACCTTGTGTCAATCGAGGTACCTTGATTGAGGTTCTGGCAACATTTGTTGAAACAATCTGCCACTCTGTTGTGTTGGTATCTCTCTTCTCAACAATATAATTATTGATGGAGCATCCACCATCATATTCTGGAGGGGCCCATGACAATGTAATACTGTCAGAAGTCACAGCGTCAACCTTCACTGAAGCTGGTGGCCCAGGTTTATCAAGAACAACAATGCCGATATCTGTGGACATGGTGCCTGCTGTATTAGCAAGAGTGAATTCATATTTACCAACATGTTCAATAGCAGCTTCTTTGATGACAATTTTGCTTGACACGATAGTGTTGACAATTGAAAGAGAGGTTGTTTGCCTCAAAGGAAGGCCATCCTTCTTCCATGAGACAACTGGCTTAGGCCTGCCTCTCACAGGAACTTCCACAGTAAGATCAGCTCCAGCTTTAACACTGTAAGTATTAAACAACAGATGAACAGAGGGTTCAATTTCAATATCTTTAGCTACAACAGGTACACCAAGTTCTTGAGGCTCACTCTTGCCTTTCTCATTCAATGCAATAACTCTGAATGAATATGTTTCACCAGGTGTTAGGTTGCTCACAGTAGCCTCTGGAACCTTAACTGTGCAGCTTACACCCCATTTGTCACTAGTCTTGGTTTGCATCTCTACATTGTAGCAGATGATTTTACTGCCTCCATCATGGACAGGCTTCACCCAAGTAAGTGTCACACTATTCTTTGTGACATCCACAATAGTTACTTTTCCTGGAGGCATAGGTACCTGTGCAACCTTAATAGGATTCTTTGTTCCTGCCATCACACCAAAGCCATACTCATTAACAGCACACACACGGAAGTAGAAAATGCCTCCTTCCTGCATTTCCTCAACTTTAAAGGAGGTCTGTGTGCAGTTGCTTGTGACAGTTGTATAAGCTTTTCTTATAGATTCTCTCTTCTCAACCACGTAATTGGTTATTTTAGCCCCGCCATCTGTAAGTGGTGGGTCCCAGCAGAGAGTCACTGAATCTTTCTTTACATCTTTCACTTCAAAATTCTGTGGAGAACTTGGTGTATCAAGCACCCTGACATTCACGAATGCAGATTTTGTGCCACTCTTATTCTCAAGTGTTAAGACATATTTTCCACTGTCAAATCGGTTGACATTGTCAATTACAAGCATGGTGTATGAACTTGTGGACTCAATCTGAGCACGCTCAGTTAGAGTTCCATCATCCTTTTCCCATTTGACGGATGGCTCAGGTCGACCTCTAATTGTAATGAAAAGACGAAGGGATCCTCCTGCACGAACAGAGACAACTTTTCTGAGGTCAGCATCAAGTTCAATCTCAGGTGCTTCAATTTTTTCAGATGCAGTCACCGATCCATGGACATCAGCAGGCTCACCAACGCCTTCAGAATTAATTGCACAAATACGGAAGTTATATTCAGCATTTTCCTTCAGGTTTTCAACTGTGAGGCGTGTTGCTTGAATACCAGCTGCAGGTGTGCATATGATCCATTCCTCTGAAGAAATCTCTTTGATCTCAACAATATAACCTTTAATATATGAACCACCATCTGTAGCGGGTTTTCCCCAAGACAGAGAGACAGATGAGTTTGTGTGATCTGTCACTTTAGGGTGATGAGGTGGACCTGGGGGAGTTGTGGCATTTATTGCTCTATAAAACAGTGATAAGTCACTAGATTCTCCCACACCAGCTTCATTCTCAGCAGACACACGGAATTCATAGAAATGTCCCTCTGACAGACCAGTTACTTTGAAATGCAGATCTGAAAGCTTCTGCCGGTTGCATTTTGTCCATCTTACACCATCTTTGTCACGCTTCTCTAAGTGATAACATGTAATTTCTGTTCCACCATTGCTCTCTGGGGCACCCCATGACAAAGTTATTGAATCCTTTGTTATCTCACTTGCCTCTGGTGTTGATGGTGCACTTGGTGGCTTGTAAGGATTGCATGCAATAATTGCCTCAGATTCCAGAGGTTCACCAATGCCATATTTATTGACAGCCATAACTCTAAAGATATACTCATCACCAGACAGGAGCTTGGTCACTTTATAACTCACAGTAGGAATGTTGGAATCAACAACAGTCCATGATAGCCTGCTAGTTTCCCTTTTCTCAAGGATGTAATGAGAAATATTAGCACCTCCATTCTGAGATGGCTCAGACCAGGACAGATGACATTTATCAGACATGATGCCAGCTACTTGTAGCGGTCCAGCTGGTGGACCTGGTCTATCAAGAACTTTTACTGTTATTGGAATTGTTTTTGTTCCACCACTGTTGCTTAAAATTAGGTCATAGTGTCCACCATCCAATCTAGTACAGTCTTTTATTGTAATAGAAGCATGTTTTTGTGTACTTCTTACTTCAATGCGCAGTGTCTTATCCATTTCCTTTCCTTCTTTTAGCCATTGAATATCAGGTGTGGGTTTTCCATGTATATCTGCATCCAAAACTAAGTTGTCTCCAGAATTGACAACAATGACATCCTTGTACTTAGGATCCATTGAAACACTAGGAGGTTCAATTTCATCTGTAGCAGTAATTGTCCCAGTGCTGTCCGAAGGCTCACTGAAGACACCCACTGCATTTCTTGCAATTACTCTAAATTCATACTGATTGTTTACTGTTAAGCCTGTGATTGTAAATTCTGTCTCAATTACATTGGTAAAGTTTGCCCTCATCCATCGGCCCTCAGGCAAATCTCTTCTTTCAACAATATATCCAGTAACTTTGCTGCCACCATCATACTGAGGCTTTGTCCACTGAATCTTAATGTGGTTCTTAGATATTGCAACAGCCTCAGGCGTTCCAGGGGGATCACATGGGTCACGGGCAACAAAGCTCTCTGAAACTTTGCTTGCTCTGCCAATACCAACAATGTTTTCAGCATATACTCTGAATTCATATCCAATGCCTTCTTCAAGATTGCATATTTTGAAAAGAGTATCAGTGATAAGGGTTTTGTTTAGTTTTGTCCATAGAATACTTGTTCTTTCTTTACTTTCAAGGTGGTATCCAATCACTGAACTGCCACCATCATTGACTGGTTCATTCCACTCAATTGTCATTTGATCCTTGGTGGCAGATTTCACATGTGGAGTACCAGGTGGCCCAGGTGGTTTGTAAGGATACTGCACAACAATGGACTTTGAATCTAAAGGAGCACCCTTACCATATCTGTTCTCAGCAATGACTCTAAACTGATACTCAGCACCAGTTTTCAGCTTGGTAATTTTGAGGGATGTCCTGGCAACTGATCCAGCCACAACTTGCCAAGTAGTTTCAGTGTTGTCTCGCTTTTCAACAATGTAATGCTTTACTTGGCAGCCCCCTGTATACTCTGGAGGTTCCCATGAGATGGACACAGAAATGTTGCTTACTTCGTTCACTTTTATTGGTCCTGTGGGTGGACCAGGTTTATCCAGGATAATAATACTGATATCTTCTGTAACTGAACAAACACTGTTTGTTGCAGTAACTGCATACTTTCCAAGGTCATCTTTACAGGCTTCAGTTACCTGTAGTATTGTCGATGTTGGTGTGTTGGAAGTAGTAATTCTCGATGTTACTTTAAGTGACTGCCCATCCTTTGACCAAGTGATCTTTGGTTTTGGACGTCCAAAAAGAGGTATTTCAAGTTTTAAATCCTTTCCAGATTTGACACTATATGTATTGAACTGCAACTTGAAGCTTGGTTCAATTGTGAGGTCATTGGCAATAACTGGAGCAGCAAGGGGCTTTGGCTCACTTTTGCCTTTCTCATTGTAGGCCAGAACACGGAACAAATATTCCTGACCACCAGTTAGTCCAGTGACTGTTCCTTCACATGTTTTTACATTTGTTGCTACACCCCATTTGTCAGTTCCCTTTGGCTGCATTTCAATCAAGTAGCCTGCAATCCTACTACCTCCATCATGCTCTGGTTTTTCCCAGGCCAGCGATGCGCTTACTTTTGTCACATCAGTCAACATAACCTTTCCAACTGGCTGAGGTACTTCAGATGCCTTTGAAGCAGTTTTTGTTTCAACTGACAAACCAACACCAAATTCATTTTCAGCCATAACTCTGAAGTAATACATGGCTCCCTCTGCAAGATTTTCCACCTTATAAGTTGTCTTGCTGCACTTGGTTGTTACATTTGCATAGGCCTTTCTTGTGGATTCACGCTTGTCAATAACATAATTCTTGATCTTTGCTCCTCCATCAATAAGTGGTGGTTCCCAAACAAGTGTGACAGAGTCTTTCTTGACATCCTTAACTACAAGGTTTAGTGGTGCTCCAGGTGTATCTAACACCTTAACAGCAACAAAATCAGATACAGAGCCACTGCTATTCTGTAGAGTCACAGTGTATTTTCCAGAGTCCCTTCTATCACATGAGTCAATTGAAAGCTGGGTGAAGTTAAGACCCTTTTCAAGCACTGTCTTTTCTGACAATTCACCTTCATCTTTAGTCCATTTCATATCTGGTACTGGTCTACCTCTAAATGGTACATTGATTCTTACTGATCCTCCAGCGCGGACAACAATGCCTTTCCTCAGCTCTGAATCAAGGTGAATTTCAGGGGTCTCCAGCTTGTCCTCAGGCTTGGAAGTTCCTGCAATAACCGCAGGCTCTCCAACACCTAATTTATTAATGGCACATATTTGAATCTTATATTCTTGTTGTTCTGTTAGCTTAGTGATTTCAAATTTGTTGACACGTAAGCCAGTAGGGGGAGTGCACATAATCCATTCTTCCTCTTCAGCTTTGCAGATCTCAACAATATATCCTTGAATTGCACATCTGCCATCATTAAGCGGTTTTCCCCATGCTACTGTAATTGAAGTCTTGGTGGTATCAACAACATGTGCATGCATGGGTGAGCCAGGTTTGTATTTGGGATCACAAGCCTTGTAGTATGAAGTTGGCAAGCTTGGTTCTCCAATTCCAGCTGCATTTTCAGATGACACTCTGAATTCATACTCATGATCCTCAATGAGGCCATGCACTCTGAAGCATACATCAGTTACTTTTTGTCTGTTGCATCTTGTCCATCTAATTCCAGACCGGTCTCTCTTCTCAATTATGTATCCAAGAATTTCACTTCCACCATCAGTATCTGGTGCACTCCAGCAAACAGTCATGGAGTCCTTTGCAATATTTGTTACCTCAATAATTTGTGGTGATCCAGGGTGACTAAATGGATCTTTCATTATTACAGATGGTGCGCTAATTGGCTCACCAACACCATAACTGTTGGCAGCCATGACACGGAATATATATTCATTACCTTCAAGGAGCTTTGTCACTTTGTATGTTGTTGTTTTGCAGTCATTACAGACCACAGTCCAAGCAAGTCGACTTGTCTCACGTCTCTCAATAATGTAATGAGTTATAGTGTTTCCTCCATCATCAAGTGGAGCACGCCATATTAGTGTGCATTTATCACTGGACACACCTCTGACATGAAGACCATCTGGTGGGCCTGGTTTATCAAGCACTTTCACATTGAATTGAACATTCTGAGAGCCAGCAATATTAGTGAGCTGAAGAGTGTAGTTTCCACCATCTTGTCTGACTGCATCTTTTACTATAATTAGTGCTCTGTTGTCAGTGTATTTGATGTCACATCTAATTGTGTTTTCAAGCTCTTTGTCATTCTTAAACCACTGGATTGTGGGAACTGGCTTACCATGGACATCAGCATCAAGTTTGAATGTATCTCCTGCATTCACATTAAGAGTCTGTGTGTATTCTGGGTCAATTGAGAACTTTGGTGGCTCTACCTCATCCAATGCAGCAATTGGTCCACTATTATATGATGGTTTGCTGATAGTTCCAACCGCATTCTTTGCGATTACCCTGAAGTCGTACTTGGCACCTTCTGTCAGCCCAGTGACAGTAAAATTGGTTTCAATAACATTTATGAAACTTGCTTTCATCCAGCGTCCCTCTGGAAGATCACGTTTCTCAACAGTATAACCAGTGATAACACTTCCACCATCATACTCTGGCTTTGTCCATTGGATAGTTATGGAATTTTTGCTCACATGGACAGCTTCTGGGGTTCCAGGAGGATCACATGGATCACGAGCAAAGAAGCCCTCTGAGATTTTGCTGCATCTGCCAATGCCAACAATATTTTCAGCATAGACTCTGAACTCATATTCGATACCTTCCTCTAAAGGACTGGTTTTGAATCTTGTTTCTTGAATCAGTGTCTTATTTATCTTTGTCCAAAGAATGCTGTTTCTCTCCTTCCTTTCAAGATGATATCCAATAATGTTACTGCCTCCATCTGAAACTGGCTCATGCCACTCAACAACCATATGGTCCTTTGATAGGCATGACACAAATGGAGTTCCTGGAGGTCCTGGTTCTCTGTATGGGTACTGAGCAACAACAGCTGAAGAGTCCAAAGCATAGCTCTTGCCATACCTGTTTTGAGCAATGATTCTGAATTGATATTCAGATCCAGTCTTCAGTCGTTGTACTTTAAGTGTTGTTCTTGCCAATGAAATTGCAACGTTCTCCCATGTTGTAGTAGTTGTGTCTCTCTTTTGCACAATGTAATTTGAAATTGGGCAACCACCAGTATACTTTGGAGGATCCCATGACAATGTAACAGTTGACACAGTTATCTCATCAAATCGCACAGGGCCAGTTGGTGGGCCAGGTTTATCAAGAGTGATGATTTCAATGGTTGCATCCTTTTGTCCAACAATATTGGACACATTTATTCCATACATTCCGCCATCTTCTCTTGCTGCTTCTTTGATGTTAAGAACAGTGGTGTGTGCTGTATTAGAAATGTTAACCCTTGTTGTGAATTTCAGGGCTGCACCATCCTTTGTCCATGTGATTTTTGGCTTTGGACGACCAGAAACTGGGATTTCAACTTGAAGGTCCTTTCCAACAAGAACACTGTAGTTGCTAAATGCAGGTCTCGCATCAGGCCCAAAGACAAGGTCTTTTGCTTCCACAGGGACAGCAAGTGTTCTTGGGTCACTCTTTCCTTTGTCATTGACTGCAACTACTCTAAAAGTGTACTCCTCTCCAGGGTTCAAATTTTTGATTACAGCTTCCAATGTTTTTACGTTGGCACAACCAGACCATTTATCATTACCCTTGACCTGCATTTCAACGAGGTATTGAAGTATTCTACTGCCACCATCATGAACTGGCTTTTCCCAAGAAAGAGACACACTTGTTTTAGTAACATCTACAACACTTAATTTTCCAGGACACTGTGGGACCTCTGAAACCTTCAAAGGATCTGTGATATCTGCAGGTAGCCCTACACCATATTCATTTTCTGCAAGCACTCTGAAATAGTAACTGCAACCTTCTTGAAGTGGTTCAACTTTCCATGAGAGTTTGTGGCAATTTGTTACAACGGCAGAGAATGTTTTTCTTGTACTCTCACGTTTCTCAACAATGTAATTTTTTATTTTTGCTCCACCATCTAAAAATGGAGGCTCCCATGTAAGAGTAACAGATTCCTTTGTAATTTCTTTCACTTTGAAGTTGAGTGGAGCGCTTGGAGTGTCAAGGACTTTCACAATAATTGTTTCAGATTTTGCACCCGCAGAGTTTTCTGCAGTCACAATATATTTACCACTGTCTGCCCTGTTGACTTTATCAATAACAAGAGAAGTGTGACTGCTGGTGGTCTCAGTCTGTGCTGTTTCCTTAATCTGCTCACCATCTTTTTCCCATTTGATTTGTGGGGTTGGTCTTCCTTTGAAAGGGATGAACATCCTAAGAGAACCTCCAGCTTTAATACGTACAAGCTTTCTAAACTCAGCATCAATATCAAGATCTGGATCCTCTGTTTTGTCCTCTGGCAGAATGGGCCCGGTGACATCAGCATGCTCCCCAACACCAACCTTGTTAACGGCACAAACCCTGAATTTGTATTCCTGTTTTTCTTTCAGATTTTCCACAGTAAAGCGTGTGAGTTTAACACCTGTTGGTGGAGTGCACATTGTCCATTCTTCGGCAACTGCTGATTCACCTGCAGCCTTTCCTTCTTCTATTGGAGTCTTTACCTCCTCAATGACTGCTTTTACTTCACATGCTTCAACAATATATCCCTGGACTTCACAGCCACCATCATAAATAGGCTTTCCCCATGCAAGTGCAACAGATGATTTTGTCATATCTAACACTTTTGGATTATGGGGAGGACCTGGCTTGAATACAGGATCCAGGGCTTTATAGAATACAGTTGCAGAACTTGCCTCACTAACTCCAGCAGTATTCTCAGCAGAAACTCTGAATTCATATAGATGCTTCTCCATGAGTCCAGTAACTTTAAATGTGAGGTTAGTAACTGTTTTCATGTTGCATCTGGTCCATCTAATGCCTTCCTTGTCATGTTTCTCAATAATATAACCAGTGATAGGAGTACCCCCATCATTTGTTGGGGCCTCCCAGGTTAATACCATTGAATCTTTCTTGACATTATAAACTTCTACTCCTTTTGGTGCATCTGCGGGTGTAAATGGATTCTTGATAACAACTGCACTTGATTGGAGGGGCTCACCAACACCAAATTTGTTCACTGGAAAAACTCTGAAGATATATTCATTTCCTTCTAGGAGTTTTGTTATTTTAAGATTTACAGCTTGGACTTTGGGTTCAACAACTGTCCAAAGCAGTCTGCTAGTCTCTCTTTTTTCAACAATATAATGACTGATCTTGCTGCCACCATCTTGTTTAGGTGGATTCCAAGCAAGGCAGCACTGCTCACTGGTTACACCTGTGATAGAGATGGGTCCCTCAGGTGGTCCAGGCTTATCCAGGACACATATATTGACTTGCACAGCTTTCTCTCCTCCTGGATTTTGCAGCAGTAGAGTATATTGACCTCCATCAGCAAGTTTGGCCTCCTTTACAGTCAAACAGGAATAGTTATTTGTGCTTTTAATTTCACGATATATGGTGTTTCCAAGTTCTTGCTCACCCTTCATCCAACAAATTGCTGGTATTGGTTTTCCATGAACATCTGCATCAATCTTGAAGTTGTCTCCTGCATTTACAACAATTGTTTGAGTGTACTCTGGATCTATGCTGATACGTGGTGGTTCAATCTCATCCTTTGCCATGATAGGTCCAGTACTATATGAAGGATCACTGAAAACTCCAGCAGCATTTCTTGCAATGACACGGAGCTCATATTTCTGGTCCTCTGTAAGACCTGTTGCAGTATACTCAGTCTCTATGACATTGGTGAAGTTTGCTTTCATCCAGCGTCCTGCAGGTAATTCCTTCTTTTCTACAATATATCCAGTGACTTTGCTTCCACCATCATACTCTGGCTTGGTCCATGCAATTGTAATAGAATCTTTTGTGATTCTAACGGCTTCTGGTGTTCCAGGAGGATCACAAGGATCTCTGGCAACATAGCCCTCAGAGATCTTACTAGCCTTCCCAATGCCAACAATGTTTTCAGCATAAACTCTGAATTCATACTCCATGCCTTCTTCAAGCCCTGTGGTCTTTAAAGTTGTGTCTTGGATTAGGCTTTTGTTTAATTTCATCCAAAGAATGCTATTTCTCTCTTTTTTCTCAAGGTGATATCCTAAGATTGTTGCTCCACCATCAATGACAGGTTCATTCCACACTATCACCATACTATCTTTTGTGGAAGACTGCAAGAAAGGTGTTCCAGGAGGGCCCGGTAGTTTGTAAGGATACTGTGCAACAACACATTCAGACACGAGCAGAGAGCTTTTTCCATATCTGTTCTCTGCTGCAATTCTAAATTGATATTCAGAGCCTGTCTTCAGTCTTCCTGCCTTAATTTGAGTTCTTGCTATATTTGCTGCTACAACCTGCCAATTAGTTGTTGATGTGTCCTTCTTTTCTACTATGTAATTATTAATGGTGCAGCCCCCATCATACTCTGGTGGCTTCCAAGAAATGGTAACACTGTCGGATGTTACTTTATCAACTTTAACAGGGCCTGTTGGTGGACCAGGTTTGTCAAGAACAACGATTCCAATATCCACTGTTGTCTCACCAGCTGTATTTGATAGTTTGACATTATACTGGCCAACATCATCTCTACAGGCCTCTTTGATTACTAAATTCAGCTGTGTATCCGTAGAGGAAAAGTTAACCCTGGTTGTTCGTTTAAGTGGAACACATTCCTTTAGCCATGAAATGGCAGCTTTGGGACGAGCATTATATGGAATATCAATTGTCAAATCCTCTCCTGCCAGGACACTGAATGTGGAGAACAACATCTTAGCGGATGGAGCAATTACAAGGTCCTTTGCAATCACAGGCACACCAATTTGACGAGGATCACTGGTTCCCTTTTCATTTCTTGCAGAAACACGGAACATATACTCTTCACCAGGTGCAAGTCCAGTAATAACTGCTTCAGGTACCTTGACAATCATAGCTTGTGTCCATTTTTCACTCCCTTTGCTCTGCATCTCTACAACATATGCAACCACTCTACTTCCTCCATCATGTTCAGGTTTTTCCCATGATAATGTTACACTCATCTTTGTGACATCCTGAAGTGTAATCTTGCCAGGGGGAAGTGGCTTCTCAGACACTTTAACAGATTCACCGGTCTCAATAGGAAGACCAATGCCATATTCATTTTCTGCTAGAACTCTGAAGTAGTAGTTGCATCCTTCTTGGAGCTGGTCAACTGTCCAAGTAGTTTTGTGACAATTGGCATTTACTGTAGCATATGCCTTTCTTGTAGCCTCACGCTTCTCAACAATGTAATTCTTAATTTTTGTGCCACCATCGTTAAGTGGAGGATCCCAAACAAGTGAAACAGATTCTTTAGTAATCTGACTTATTTTAAAGTTTTGTGGTGCTCCAGGTGTATCTAGAACTCTAACTATCACAGAGACTGTCTTTGTTCCAGAGCTATTTTCTACAGTCAAATTGTATTTGCCACTGTCAAATCTATTCACATTTCCAATAACCAGTGATGTAAAAGATGATGTAGTTTCAATGGTAGCTCTGTCTAAAGGCTCATCATTCTCTCTTGACCATTTGGCCTCCGGTGTTGGTCTACCTCTAATTGGCACAAAAAGTCTTAATGTATTGCAAGCTCTGATGCTCACAATCTTACGAAGTTCAGCATCAAGGTCAGCCTCTGGTGGTATGAGTCGTTCCTCAGCTTTGGGTGAACCTGGTACAGGTGCTACATCTCCAATACCCTCGCTATTTAAAGCTGACACATTGATTTTGTATTCCTGATTTTCTTTAAGATTTTTAATTGTAAATGATGTTCCTTTTACACCATCTTTAGGAGAGACAATTGTCCATTCCTCCTCTTCAGTTCCAGGGAGACAGGTCTCAACAATATAGCCAGTAATTTCAGAACCACCATCATAAACTGGTTTGTTCCATGCAAGCGTGATGGAAGAACTTGTTGTGTCCAGGATTCTTGGATTGCCAGGTGGACCTGGTTTGAAAAGACTATCTGTGGCCTTGACAAATGGTGATGAAGGACTGGGTTCACTTATTCCTGCTGCATTTTCAGCAAAAACTCTGAATTCATATTCATGGCCTGGAACAAGAGCAGTAACCTTGAAATGCAAGTCAGTAACATTCTTCTTGTTGCATTTTACCCAGCGCAAACTAATCCTGTCTCTTTTCTCAATGCGATAGTTGGTGATTTCACTTCCCCCATTGCTAGCTGGTGCACCCCAACAGAGAACTGCTGAATCTTTAGTGACTGCTGTTATCTCAGGTGTTTGTGGAGGATCTGGTGGTACATATGGATTTTCTGCAATTATTGCTTCAGACTCAAGAGGTTCTCCAACACCATACTTGTTAACAGCCATAACTCTGAAAATGTATTCATTTCCTTTGAGCAACCTTGTTGCTTGGTACTGATTAACCCGCAATTCGGATGCCACATTTGTCCAAGCAAGTCTGCTTGACTCACGTTTTTCAATAACATAGTGTTCAATGTTTGCACCGCCATCATCTGTAGGTGGATTCCATGTGAGCACACACTTTTCGGCTGTAACATCAGAAACTGCCAGAGGTCCTCTAGGTGGTCCTGGTCTATCAAGAACCTTCACATTGAAAACATGCTTAACAAAGCCACCAATGTTTGTTGCTGTCAGAATAAACTCACCGCCATCCCTTCTGACAGAATCCTTGTTGATCAAGACTGATGTCATTTCTGTCATTTTAATCTGTAGTTTATATGTGTTTTCAACATCTTTTCCATCTTTTGTCCAAACCATGGATGGTAATGGCTGGCCTGCAACATCAGCTTCAAGTTTGAACAGTTCTCCGGCTTTGACAAGGACAATATCTTTAAATTTAGCATCAACCATAATTCTTGGTTCTTTAATGTCATCTTTGCAAATAATTGGGTCTGATGGATCTGATGGGTTACTAATAGAACCTGCTGAATTTCTTGCAAGTACACGGAATTCATAAGATGCTTCTTGTGTTAGACCACTTATTGTGAAAGTGGTTTCAATGATATTTGTAAAGTTAGCTCTTATCCAGCGCCCAGCTGGAATATCTCTTTTTTCTACAGTATAGCCAGTAATTTTGAAACCACCATCATACTCTGGCTTTGTCCACTGAATAGTGATGGCGTTTTTCGACACATGTATTGGGACAGGTTGACCAGGTGGATCCACTGGATCAAGAGCAAGCATTGGTTCAGAAGCTTTGCTTGGTTTTCCAATTCCAGCTATGTTTTCCGCAATCACACGGAATTCATATGCCACACCATCCTCTAGTCCTGTAGATTTGAATAGATTTCCGACCACAAGTGCCTTGCTAATTCTGTGCCAAACAATACTGTTTCTCTCTTTCCTTTCAACATGGTAACCAATGACGTCGCTTCCCCCATCAGAAACAGGCTCATTCCAGCCAACTGTTATTGTATCCTTAGTGAAAGCAACAACATTAGGTGTTCCAGGTGGCCCAGGCACCTTAAATGGATATGCAGCAACCACTGACTCTGAGGTTATTGGAGGCCCTGTACCATATCTGTTTTTGGCCTTGACACGGAATTGATATTCAACTCCTGTAGTTAAACGAGTTGCTTTAAATGTTGTACGAATAATTAAAGAGGAAAGTTCTACCCATGTCTGGCTGGTAGTTTCCCTTATTTCAACTACATAGTTATTGATTGGTACACCTCCATCATTTTCAGGAGATTCCCATGAGAACTCAATGAAAGTACGAGATATTTTGTCCAGTTTAATTGGTCCCTTTGGTGGTCCAGGCACATCATGCACCTTTACTCTGATGCTGTCTGTGACTGAGCCAACAATGTTCTTTCCTGTCATTGAGTATATTCCACTGTCACTTCTTAAACATTCATTTATGATCAAGATAGTTGAGGTAGAAGTAGTTTCAATCATTGTTCTTTGTGTTAATTTGAGGGCTTGACTGTCTTTCTGCCAGGAAACTGTTGGTTTAGGACGTCCAGAAACAGGCACCTCAACCTTTATATCAGCACCGGCCTTGGCAATAACTGTCTTCTGACACACACCACGGAGGTCGAATTCTGGTTCTGAACTTTGTTCTCTGATAACAACAGACTTGCTTACACGAGGATGACTTCGCCCAGAGCTGTTTACGGCCATCACACGGAATACATACTCTTCATTTTCATTAAGATTTTTTACAATAAAGTTCAAAGTCTTCACAGTTGTCACATGGGCCCACTGATCTGTACCTTTCTTTTGTGCCTCAATTACATACCCAGTAACTCTACTTCCACCATCATGTTTTGGTTTAGTCCATGCAAGATTAACTGTGTGCTTTGTGACATCAGTAAAAATGACATTTTCTGGTGGAGTTGGTGCTTGAGATACTCTGACTGGGTCTGGGGTTTCAACTGCTTCACCAATGCCATACTCATTTTCAGCAAAAACTCTGAAATAATATTCCAAACCCTCTCCCAGATCAGAAACTCTGACAGAGCATGTCTCACATTGTGTGATCACGGCAGCATATGCCTTGCGAGTAGACTCTCTCTTCTCAATGATGTAATTGGTGATCTTGGCACCTCCATCAATAAGAGGCATTTCCCATTCCAATGTGATACTCTCTTTGTCAATTGCTTTAGGTTTCAGACTGAGTGGAGGCCCAGGGGAGTCCAAAACCCTTACAACCACCGAAGCTGTCTTCTTTCCAGCAGCATTCTCTAATGTTAAATCATATTTGCCTGCATCACGTCTATTACAGTCAGGAATGACCAACAGGGTGTATGATTCAGTACTGTCAATGATTGCACGAGTTTTCAATGGTGAGTCCTCTTTTGTCCAAGTCACTGCAGGGGTTGGGCGTCCTTTAATAGGAACAAATATACGAATAGAGGCACCTGCCCTAACAACTAACGTTCTTCTGAGTTCTGCATCAAGTTCTAAATCAGGGATTTCTTCACGTTCCACAATTTCAACAAGATCCTCTGTTTGTGCCGGTTCACTGACACCTATTGTATTCATTGCACTAATTCTGAAATGATACTTCACTCCAGCTTGCAAATTGGGGACAACAAACTCAGTTATCCTCAAAGGCGTAGTTGTATCTTTGATCCATTCTTCTTCTCCCTCCTTTTTGTGTTCAATAAAGTATCCTGTGACTTCCATGCCACCGTCACTAAGTGGTTTGCCCCAGTGCAATTCAGCTGTTGTTTTTGTTGTGTCGGTGACTCTTGGGTTGACTGGAGGACCAGGTACATCTGGAAAGTAATAAAACACACGTAAGGAACATATTTGTTATCATATCAAATAATCATAAAACAATAAATAATCACTTACCTGCAACAAGCTTTGTCCTCACAGGCACTGAAGGTTCACTTGGCTCACCAAAACCAGCCTTATTCTCAGCAGTTACTCTAAATTCATATTCAACTCCCTCTTTCAGCCCTTTCACTTCAAAGTGGAGGTCAGCAATTGTTTTCTTTGATGCTCGTGTCCATCTCATGCCCTTCTTTTCTTTCCTCTCAACCATGTACCCTGTTATATCACTTCCTCCATCATCGGCTGGTCTTTTCCAAGCAATGGTAACAGAATTTCCATAAACATTTTCAACTTCTGGCTTGGCTGGCGGTCCTGGGGGACCTGAAATAATGAATATATCTTTTGAGAACCTTATTGCATTACATATGCAGTTGTGCAGCATCACACACAAAGGAGAAGTAAGGAAGTAATATATGAGAGAAAGAGTTTTTAAAAATAAACATACCATATCTATCCACCATTTTCACTGGCTCAGAATGAGAGGCATCACCAGCTCCAGAATTATTGACAGCAGAAACCCGGAAGATGTACTCATTTCCCTGAATAAGTTTATTGGCAACAAAGTGGCAGTCAATAACCTTTTCGGCAAGAATGGTCCAAAGGAGACGGCTTGTTTCTCTTTTCTCCAATGTGTAATATTTGATTGGAGATCCTCCATTCTCATGAGGTGGTGTCCATGTCAAAGTGACCTTTTCAGAAGAAATTCCGCTTGCTTCAACTGGCCCTGGTGGACCAGGAACATCTAAAATTGTTACTTTCACATTTTCCTCTTTGACACCAAATGGGTTACTTGCTGTGATTGTGTACTCTCCTGAATCCTTCCTACTGGCATACTTGATAGAAAGAGTAGAAGAAGAAGTTGTAGTTTCTATCTGACACACATCTGAAGGCTTGAAATACTTTCCACACTTTGACCACATAGAGGTTGGTTGGGGTTTGCCCAGAATGCTTGTTGCAGTAATCACAATTGTATCTCCAGCTTTGACAGTAAGCCCCTCCTTGACTGTTGGATCGATTATAATTGTTGGTGCCGCTGCAAAATAATCAGTATACACTAATCAGCATAATTATTTTCCATATTTTCCAGGTCGAATGATATGAAACATCATTTACTCACAATGCATGCACTAGAAAGAGCAATTGAGACTTACCATATTCATCCGTGCACATAAGGGTATCTGTTTGTTCAGAGGGTTGACTTATTGCTCCAGCACCATTCTTTGCTCTGATTCTAAATTCATACTTGCAACCCTCTTGCAAGTCTGCTACAGTATATGCACAGTCGACAACATTTACTGTATTAGCCTTCACCCAGACCTTGGCTGGGAGATCACGTCTCTCAACAATGTAGCCTGTTAGCCTGTGTCCACCATCATACTGAGGTTCAGTCCATTGAAGTGTTACAGTGCTTCTAGTGATGCTAATCACATCTGGTTTCCCAGGTGCATCTATAATGAAATATGCTCAAATAAATTAATAAATCAACCATACACACATTGGGGTGGGTATATAGTATAATGACTCAAGCTTTTAAAATAACATTAACTTACCAATTGCATCCAAGGCAACCATTGGCTCAGTGGCAGGACTTGGTCTTCCAACACCAGCCAAATTAATAGCCATAACTCTGAACTCATACTCTAGACCCTCTGTTAAGCCAGTCACTTTGAAATCTCTCATCTTCAAAGGGGTTGGATTTGCTCTTTTCCATAACATGCTGTTTCTTTCCTTGAATTCAACATGGTAGCCTGTAAGCAAATAATACTGTTTATTTATCTAATTGTTCTAGCATTGTTTTACTCCTAGCTATATTTTTATGAAAAAGGATGATTATTGTCTCATATTCATTTAATTATTTCTGTACCTGTGATTGGTGAGCCTCCAGTTTTCCTTGGATCTAACCATGTAAGAGTTGCTGAATCATGACGCATAATCATGACTTGTGGGGGAGGAGGTGAATCTGGTACATCTGAGGAAATAATCATGATTAAGAAAGAGAGATTTTTACACTTTGATATTATCTATAGTATATATTAAATATATAAATTTAAAGTCCACTCACTGAATGGATGCTTGGCAACCATAGGCTCTGATTTGAGGCCTTCGCCAATTCCATATTTGTTTTCTGCACTCACTCTAAAGATGTATTCAGTTCCCTCATGGAGACCAGTCACTCTGAAAGTGTTTGTGTCCACAGATGAAAACACTGTAACCCACATGTTAGTAATGGAATCACGTTTCTCAAGAATGTAGTTGGTAACTTCTGATCCACCATCATCTTTAGGAGCACCCCATTTTAGGGTTGCACCATCTGCAGTCACTTCTTTGAATTTTATTGGTGCAGTTGGAATTCCTGGTTTACCAACAACTCTGACGAAAATTGTGGACTCTTTAGTCCCAGCAGTGTTGCGAAGAGTGATGGTGTATTTTGAGGCATCTGTCCTTTGGCAGTCACGTATCAAGAGAGTTGTGTTTACAGCTGTCGATTCTACACACACTCTTCCTGTGTCTGTGAGATTTTCATCCTCTCCCTTCTTCCATGTGACAACAGGGACAGGCTTTCCACTAATAGGAATCTTGAGACGAACATTGCTTCCTTCTTTTGCAATGTAGTTCAAGTTAGGCAATTCCCGCAAGTCACATCTTGGATAAACTATAATAGTATAGAAAAGAAATGGATAAGGAGCAGATTTGAAACACAATATAACAGAAAGAGCTCAAGGGCATTTTTATACAAATACAAAATGTGAAATCTCACCATTGACATCTTTTGCGATCACAGCGAGTTCTTTCACGGGACCATCACCAGAATCATTTGTTGCAAATACTCTGTATTTATATTCCCTTCCTTCAACAAGATCTTTTGCACTATATTGCATGTTCTTTGATCGAAGAAGCTCCTTCCATTTGTCTTCGCCATTAAGGACCTCAAGCACATATGCAATGATGCGACTTCCACCATCACTGAATGGTTTTTTCCAGGAAAGAGTACAAGAGTCCTTGGTTACCAGCAAGGTCTTGAAGTCCATAACTGGTCCAGGTTGTTCTGGAAGATATAGATACGTTTACTTAATAATAGATATCAGCAAAACTGTTATAAAATATATATTGAAATGATTGTTTTTTGCAATTGAGGATTACTTGATCAAAAATGATCTTCCCTTACCAGAAGCTCTAACAGCATCCACAGTTTCACATGGTTCACCAATTCCATACTGATTTTGAGCCAGAACCCTGAAGCAATAAGATCTACCAGCCTCTAAACCATCAATCTTGAAAGATGTTTTAGTACAAGTGTTTGAAACATTTGACCATGCTTTCCTTTCTGCATCTCTTTTGTCAACAATGTAACCTGTAATCTCACTTCCACCATCAATTAGAGGTGCATCCCATAGGATGGAGGCACTGTCCTTTGATGACTCTTTTACCATCAGATTAAGTGGAGGTCCAGGGGTATCTGTTTAATTGTATAAGAGTTATATATAGTTTAGTTAATATAAAATATTAAGAAAACTGTATCTGAATAAAAATAAAACTCTTAATATCACAGAACTCACCAAGGACCTTGACAATAACTGTGTACATCTTCATTCCGCTTACACTGTCAAGATTCAGAATGTATTTCCCTGCGTCGTATCTGTTTACTTTCTCAACACAAACCAATGTATCAGTGTCTGTCGTCTTGATTATGATTCCTTGTCTGTCCTTAATGTTGGTGTTCATCTTGGCCCAGATGACCCTGGGGGTTGGTCGACCCTTAATTGTGGCATGAAGTTTCATTTTACTTCCAGCCGTTAGCACAACAATGTCCTTCAGCTCTGCGTCAAGCTCAGCCTCAGGAGCAACTGGAATAACATACATTTATATATTTCAGGAATAAGTTACACAATATTTTAATAATGTACTGTATTTTCATTTTTCATAAAATATATTAGAATTAACAAAATATACAATAAATGATTTTAAAGCTAGTACCAAAAACATCCTTGGCAATGTGTTTTTCAGGAACTTCACAAGGCAGGCTGAATCCAACTTTATTTACAGCAGTAACACGAAGTTGGTACTCTGAGTTCTCCAAGAGTCCAGTCACAACATAATTGGTATCCTGAAGGTTCTTTGGTACATTGCATCTTATCCAGTCTGTTGTATTAGTTCTCTTGCATTCAACAAGGTATCCCAAAATTTCACTTCCACCATCATTTGCAGGCTTAGCCCAAGTTAGTCTAATTGTGCTGCTGGTGGTGTCTGTGACCTTGGGAGAAATGGGTGGGCCTGGAGGATCTGTAAATAAGTAAGAGGTACTGATAAAAGCTCTCACATATTTGTTGATATACAAGATATTGTGAATGGATTCTGATACTCACACAAAGGATCAAGAGCAGAGGCAGCATTAGATGGTTCACTGGGTTTGCCAAGGCCAGCTTTATTAACAGCAATGACTCTAAACTCATACTGAGCTCCCTCTGAGAGACCTCCAACCTCAAGTGTTCTCTCCAGCAAGGGTTTTCTGTTCAGTTTGGTCCAGTTCACTTCCTTGGTTTCACGTTTCTCAACCATGTATCCAAGGATAGGGGATTTTCCATCATCAGATGGTTCCTTCCAGCTTACAGTCATACACTCCTTTGTGATGTTTGTAAGGACCGGTGGGTCACATGCTCCAGGAACAGCTGTAAATGACAAGTACATTACAACATAGAAATGATATATCCAAGCAATAAAATACATAAACCAATAGTAAGGCCTTACTGAAGGGATTCCTTGCCACAACAGGATCGGATACAATGGCATCACCAGTACCATAGTGGTTCTCAGCACGAACACGGAACTGGTACTCGTGCCCCTCAATTAGTCTCTCCACTGAACATTCCGTTGTATCACCACTGATTTTAGCAGAAAACTGGGCCCAGTTTGCCCTACTTGTCTCCCGTTTATCAACAACATAATTTGTTATTGGAGAACCACCATCGGCAAGTGGAGCCTCCCAGCACAACTTAATCCGATCTGAAACTATCTCGTCAAATTTGATAGAGGCTGGTGGGCCAGGTATATCTATGTAAGGGGAAAGCATGATTATTATTTTGCAAAAAGGACACGAATATGCTATATGTCCAATTCACTTAGTAGTATTTAGGCTAAACAATAAAAATATAATTTTACTCACCTAAAACTTTGAGTTGTATTTCTGCAGTCGTAGAACCACTTGCATTTGCTGCAAGAATTCCATAATTTCCAGTATGAAGTTTAGTAACTGCATCAAGGCTCAGAGAAAAGAGATGTCTCTTTTGAGACATCTTGAATTCTTTGTCAGCCTTTAACAATTCTCCATTTTTGCTCCATGTAACCTTGGGCATTGGTTTGCCAAAAACTTCAGCTTCAAGACAAACATCTGACCCAGCCTTTACTGACAACATCTTTTTCATCTGTATTGAAAGCTCTATTCTTGGAGGCACTATAGACAAGGAAACATGACAGAAAATCAATAAGACAAATAGCAATTGAATAGCCATTTAGAAAACATTTAAAAAAATAATTTAAAAAAAACATAAAAATACTTACCATTTTCTGCAGACACCAGAATGGGGTCAGTGATTTCAGATGGCCTGCTAATGTTAACTGCTGTCTTGGCAATTACCCTAAACTGGTACTTAGCACCCTCTTCTAACCCAGTTGCGGTGTACTCCTCACGAGGCACATTTTGACTACTTATGTTGCAACGCACCCAAGTGTCTCCTGGAAGCCTTAAGGCCTCAACATAGTATCCAATTATCTTGCTTCCACCATCATTCTTTGGTTTAGTCCAAACCAGTGTAACTGTGTTCTTAGCAACATCAAGCACCTCTGGCTTTCCAGGAGCATCTAGAATTTAAAAACGAAACAACAACAAAATATAGAACATAAATATCTAATACGCAAACATGTATACCTAAAAAAAATATTTTACATGCACATACCAACAGGTGTTCTTGCTGTGATGAACTCCGTTTTCTTGCTTGGTTTACCCTGTCCAGCTCGGTTTATAGCAGACACTCTGAAAGTGTACTCCAGACCCTCAATTAGGCCAGCACAAGGATATTCTGTTGTGCGAACAACAGAATCATTAGCCTTCACCCAAAGGAGACTGTTCCTCTCTTTGCGTTCAATGTAGTATCCAGTAACTGGACTGCCACCATCAGACTCAGGCTTATCCCAAGCCACAAACATGCAGTCCTTGTTCACTTTGTTGATGCGGCAGTTCAAAGGTTCACCAGGAACATCTAAAAAAAATTTAATTGTTAGACACTGACAAATAGGTCTCATCATTTTTGTCATCAGTTACATGTTGACAGACACTGCTGATGCTTGCATTTCAACTTACCAAAGGGGAATTTAGCAACCATCCTTTCAGATGTAAGGGGGTCTGAAATACCAAATCTATTCTCAGCACGAACACGGAAGGCATATTCCTTTCCAGGAATAAGCTTTCCGATTCTGCAGCCAGCTTTCCCACAACTGGAAAGAGCAGTAACCCAGTCACCTCTGCTTACATCACACTTCTCAACCACATAATTAGTGATATTGCTACCACCATCTTCAGTAGGTTTGTTCCAAGAGAGTGTGCAGGCATCAGAATCGATGTCACTGATCTCAAATGGTGGCTCAGGTGGTCCAGGAATATCTGACACAAAAGAATGTTTGTAGAAAAATTAACTGCATGTTCACATAGCCCATTCTTATTACATAAGCTATTGTGGTGATGAAGACAAGTTCTAACCTCTGATGATGATTTTCAAAGTCTGGTCAACTTTTCCAGTGCTGTTCTCAGCAACAAGGCTGTATTCAGCACTGTCTTGTCTCGAAACATCCTTAATAATGAGCACACACATGTTCTGAGATTTGTGCACAGCAAGACGGCTTGATGAAACTACATTATTTTCTCCCCGTTTCCATTGGCACACTGGTGCTGGCTTTCCAGATACAAGAGCCTCAACCCTCAGTTTTGCTCCTGCCTTTGCAGTGACAAGTTCAGGCATGATGATTTTGGGCTCCACTGGGAAAAAAACACACAAAATTGAACAGGTTTTTAGTTGAAGTCTATTAATTCAAATGACTGAGTAACACATTAATTTTATAACTTACGCATCTGCTCCTTGATCTCATAAGCTTCTCTTGTCTCTGTGGGAAGACTAGAACCCATGGCATTTCTTGCTGCAACTCTGAAACGATATTTTCTTCCTTCCTTTAGTCCAGCAACAGAGATGCTCAAATCTTTTACGACTGTGTATGGTGTCCATTCCTCCTTCTTCTCCTCCTTCTCCTCCTTGTCCTCAACCACAGGTTCAGGTGAAGGAGGAGCCACAGGCTCTACGCCAGGCTCAGCCTCAGCTTCACCCTCTACTGGTTTCTTGGGAGGTTTAGGCATTGGTAGCTCAAGATAGTCAATAATGTAGCCATCAATTTTAGCTCCGCCATCCCGCAATGGTTTCACCCATCCCACAGTTGCACTGTTCTTAGTAATCTCAAGAATATCAACCTTTTGTGGTGGGTCAGGCTTGCCTTAAGGAAGGAGACACAATTGTTATAGTAATACTGTTTCAACGAAGCCTTTAAAAATGGTTCTGGCTAAGAATGCACTTACTGATAGGATCAGAGGCCAGATAAGATTTTGGTGTAACTCTTGGGACTCCGGGACCATACTCGTTTACAGCTATGACCCGGAAGTAATACTCTGTTCCTGGGACGAGATTGCTTACTTTAAATGTGGTGTTTTCAACATTAGCTTTCACTGTTGCCCAAGTCTTGCGATCAATTTGTCGTTTTTCAACCATGTAATGAGTGATGTTACTGCCACCATCATTTTCAGGTGGAGACCATGTGAGGTTGCAAGAGGACATTGTGATGTCAGTAACCTCAAGACCAACAACAGGTCCAGGTGTATCTGTTTTTAAAATGCAAAAACAAAATACATATATATATATATTTGAATGAAAAGTTGGATATTTTAAGTATTTTCATAGATTCATATATTACTTTATTCATCTGTTTCAGTCATGTTTTTTCCCCACTAATTCCCCTTATATAAAAATAATCAGAAGTTACGTGACTGAAACACTGAATAAACGGGAGCTTGTTTTTTTTTACTTACCAAGTACTTTGACATTCACAAACACTGCCTTTTCTCCAGCTGGACTGGATACAGTCAATGAATATTTGCCTGAATCATCACGAGAACTTTCAGATATGACAAGGAATGTCATAGTGTCAATGAGATCAACATGGCCCTTCTGAACAACATTATCTATACCCATTCTCCTCCATAAGACCTTGGGAGCGGGTCTTCCTCTAATTGTTGCAACTAATCTTATTGGACATCCAGCCCTAACTGTCAACCCTTTCTTCAGGTCTGCATCCAAATCAATCTCGGGGGCCTCTGAAGATTGGGGGGAAAAAAGGATAAAAACACAAGAAATTAGGACATAGAAGGGAATGTTGCTGAAAAGTTTATAGAAAAGTGTATGGAAACTCACCCAAGACTTCTCTTGGTGTCACAGCTCCCTCGAGATTTGTTGGCTGACTCAAGCCAACCTGATTTTGGGCAGAAACACGGAATTCATATTCAAGCTTCTCATCCAGGCTTGAGACAGTGAATTCTGTTCCGATCAACTGGGCAGCAACATTGCACCTTTTCCAGCCTTCATCCCCCTTCTTGCCTGTGCCCTTGACTCTGAGCTCAACTACATATCCAATAAGAGGAGCACCTCCGTCATATGTAGGCTTTGTCCATGCAAGAGTGACTGATGTCTTTGAGCTGTCAGCCACCTTTAAGTTACTAACGGGACCAGGAGGCTCTGCAAATAGAAAACCAAATAATAAATGTGGCTGTAAAGACAAATAAAAATTTCATCAAATATTTTAATTGGACATACCAACTGGATCTCTTGCAGTAAATGATCTGGATGGCTTGCTTGCATCACCAACCCCAATTTCATTTTCAGCCTTAACACGGAACTGGTATTCATGATTAGGCAGTAAACCTGTAACAGTCATCTGTGTCCCTGCAATTGGGGACTTAACAACAGGGCCCCACCGAATGGCATGCTCTTCTTTTTTCTCAAGAATATAACCAGTGATAGGTTTCCCACCATCATTATCAGGAGAGCACCACATAACAACCATTTCTTCTTTTGAAATTTTAGTCACTTCTGGAGCATCTGGTGCACCAGGTCTGTTAAACTGGGTCCTTGCAACAATAGACTCAGTTTCAACAGCAGGGCCAGCACCCATTTTGTTTTCAGCTCTCACTCGGAATATGTATTCATTTCCTTCGATAAGGCGAGTAACTTTAGCTGAATTGGTAATTACAGCTGCTGAATGAATTGACCAAACTCCTCTCTTTGTCTCACATTTTTCTATGATGTAGTTATAGATCTCACAACCACCATCATCTTCTGGTACTTCCCATGTAAGCTTGCATCGGTCCACAGAAATCTCTGACACTTTCAGATCTCTAATAGGACCTGGTCTATCAAGAACATTCACCTTGGCCTCAGCAGTACAGGTTCCAGCAGCATTTGTTCCAGTAATTATGTATTTTCCAGTATCTCCACGTCTTGAACTTGTGAGCAGGAATTTAGTGAAGTTGGTGCCAGTTTCAACTTGCACTCTTGGGCTTTTGGTGATATCTCCAGTAACACCTTCTTTAGACCATTTTATATCAGGCTGAGGTTTACCTATAACATCTGCCTCAATTGGAACTGCATCTCCAGCTTTAACAACAAGAACTCCCATCAGTTTGATTTTGAGCTCTGGCTGTACAAGTTCCTCCTTTACAAGAACTTCATCTGTTGTCACCCAGTTACTCTCTCCTCCCTCATTCTTTGTTTGAACTCTAAATTGATAAATTTGGTTCTCAATACATCTGTCAGCCATAAAATAGGTTTCCTTTATGGCACCTTTGTGTAATCTTTCCCATTCATCTGCTTCTTTAGGTTTCTTTTCAATATGGTAAGCAAGGTTACGACTACCACCATCATATTCTGGTTTCTTCCATTTGAGGAAGACAAATGTCTTGCCAATTTCAGTGATTTGGAAGTTCTCTGGCTCACCAGGTTTCTCAACTGGGTCAACAGCAAGGACTGGTGCTTTTGTTTCAGTTGGTGGACCAACACCAATTTTATTCTCTGCACTCACACGGAAGAAATATTCGCAATTCTCAACAAGTGGAGCTTTGACAAGTCGTTTGGTGCAGTCAGATGAAACAACTGTCCATCCCCTTTGACTTGGTTGTCGGCACTCAATTTTATAATTAGTAATTTCAGTGCCACCGTTATCCTCTGGATTTTCCCAAGACACCATACATGACTCTTTAGTCACATAAGCAACCTTCAAATTCTGACAGGCTCCAGGAATATCAAGTACATTAACAATAATTGTAGCATGTGCTTGACCACTGCTGTTCTTTGCTTGAATTGCATACTTTCCATAATCAGCTCTAACAGCTTCCTGAATAACCAGCTCAACAAGAGGGAAGTTATTGTTCATCTCAGTGCGTTTATCTCTGCCTAAAGCTCTTGCATCTTTAGTCCAAGTGATTTCTGGATCAGGTCTGCCCTTTACACGGGTCACAAGGTTGATGATTTGCCCTGCTCTTACTGTTAGGAGGTCACGGCAAGCAACATCAACAGTTACGTCGGGGGGAACAAGAATGTCCTTGGCCAGCACAGTTTCTGTGAGTTCTCTTGGCTCACCATCTCCAACTTTGTTTGAGGCTCTAATACGGAATCTGTACTCTGTGCCTTCACTAAGTCCAGGTACTCTAAATGCACAAAACTTAATTAGATCCTTATTTATTCTGTCCCACTGTGCAGAACCTGATTTCTGGCATTCAACAACATAGCCTAAGATGGGGCTGCCACCATCTCTGGAAGGTTTGGTCCATACCACATCTGCATATGACTTGCTCCAGTCCTTCAGCTTAATGTTACTTGGAGGCCCTGGAGGACTAATTGGACGTTTAGCTTTCACAGGGTCTGATGGATATGAAGGCTCACTTACACCAGCAACATTTTCAGCAAATATTCTAAATTCATAGCTGTTGCCTTCAAACAGACCGCACACCCTGTATCTAACATCCAAGACTGGTGTTTTATTGACACGTATCCATTTTCCGGTCATCTCCCTGCGCTCAACAATGTAGCCACTCACAGGGCTTCCACCATCTGTTTCTGGTTCAGTCCATGACACTGTTACAGCATTTTCTGTTATATCAGAACATGTTGGTTGGCCAGGAGGGCCTGGTGGATCAAACATATGCTTGGCAATAGTGGGAGGACTTTCAAGGGCAGCTCCAATGCCAATTTTGTTCTCGGCACGTACACACACAATATATTCACGTCCCTTCTCCAAACGTGGGACTTTGGCCTTTGTACTGGAACTTCCAGAACTCACAACTGACCATGGCTCCCAAGGCTTCTTGACATCCTTCTTCTCTACAACATAGTTCATTAAAGGTGAACCCCCATCATCTTTTGGTGGACGCCACTGGATTGTCATATGATCAGGGGTAACCTCAAGGATATTTACAGGACCAACTGGAGCAGATGGAACATCAAGGACTGTGACATGTAGAGCAACAGATTTGCTTCCAGCAGGATTTGCCACAGTAAGTATAAACTCTCCACTGTCATTTCTGACGCATTCACTAATAGTCAAGACAGTTGAATTTCCTTCAGTAACAATCTTAAATGTGCCCTCAGTTTTAAGCTCATTTCCTTCACTTTGCCACTTGGCTGTTGGAGTTGGGATTCCATGCATGACTGCTGGGAGGACAATTGTACTTCCAGCCTTGACAACAAGACCCTCAATAAGCTTCACATCAACTTCAATAGTTGGAGCCACTGAAAAAGAATATTAGCATAATAAAATGTATATTATTGTATATATATAAATGTATATAAGATATTGTATATAAAATGTATTTAAGAATATTAGCATAATAAAATGTAAATTATGTTGTAATTTTTCTGTTAAAAAATAAAATTATATAATAAAATATTTTATATATCTTACAGGTTTTTTCCTGGCAAGTAATTGGCACAGTGGTGTCTGGCCGACTAATGCCAATTGCATTTTGTGATTTTACACGGAATCTATAGGTTTTGCCCTCCACAAGTCCAGTTACATGGCATTGAGGATTGCTGACAGTCTTGAAGGTCACCCAGTCTGTGGAACCTTCTTCTTGATGCTCAACAATGAATCCAGTGATCTCACTTCCACCTGTACGTTCAGGCCACTCCCACTGAAGCCATACTTCAGTTTTGTCTGCATCCACATGATGCAGATTCTTGGGTGGACCAGGGGGATCTATAAGTAAAAATATACAAATTAATTTAACAAACTGGTATAAAAAGTCAAGCATTTAAAAAATAATATTAAATGTAATACTTACAAAGAGGATCAACAGCCTTGATGGGCTTGTTGGTTTCAACAAATGCACTCCTACCAAACTGATTCTCAGCTGCAATTCTGAAGAGATACTGAATTCCCTCCATCAGATATTGAGCCATGAGGCTCAGCTTTTTGGATGCAGCACACACTGAAACCCAGTTCTCAGCTGCAACATCTTTCTTTTGCACAACATAGTGGGAGATCACAGCACCACCATCATCTTCTGGCTTTTGCCATGTCAGGTAAGCTGACTCACTTGTGATTTCAGAGATGGTAAGATTCCTTGGAGGTCCAGGTTTATCTAAATCAAAAAGAAAAAGAGTCATTGTGGCGCTACTATAGGTATCTATTTAATTGTACTATCTATCTATCTATCTATCTATCTATCTATCTATCTATCTATCTATCTATCTATCTATCTATCTATCTATCTATCTATCTATCTATCTATCTATCTATCTATCTATCTATCGTTAAGAGATGTTCTTAAAACATTCATACCAAGAGTAAGAACAGTGCAGGTAGCAGATTTCGATCCAGCTGCATTCTGAATAGTGATAGTATAATTGCCACTGTCAGCACGGGTACACTTCTTAATGTGAAGTTTGCTTCCGCTTGCTGTGACCTCTATAAGGCAATGAGCAGGAACTTCACCATCATTCTTTTTCCAAGAGACAGTGGGTATTGGCATGCCCTTAATTGTGGCACTGAGTGTGATGTCTGTCCCAACCATGGCAAGGTGATCACGAGCCATATTGCCATGTAACAGCAACTCTGGCTCCTCTGCATGAAAATTGAGATGAGAAAGATAGAAATATGAATTAATACAATTTTAAGTGATTACTTTCCAATATGTGAAAAACATACTTCAAATTACAGGGGGAGAGTAGTATTATAAAACAATACCTACTTTTCAATACTACTCTTATGTATTTTCTGAATATGTAAACAAATAGTAAGAAATTACCAAGTCTGTCATGAACTTTCACTGGTTCCTTGACATATGCAGGTTCAGATTTTCCAGCTGCATTCACAGCCATAATTCTGAATTGGAACTCTCCACCATCTGGTAGTTTTGTCACAACAAACTTGGTGTCTGTGCATGATTCAGGAGTTTCATTTGCCTGGATCCATTCGACTGCACCAGGCTTCTGATACTCAATCAAGTAACCAAAAATTTTGCCTTTACCATCATGACGAGGAACACGCCATGATAGACTCACAGAATCTTTAGTCTTGTCAACAGCTTCAGGCAAAACAGGTGGGCTTGGCAGAACTATTAAGAATAAGTTGAATAAGTTAATAAATAATGATCAAAAGATAAGCATTAAGAGAAGGAAACCATCATAACACTAGGACTTACCAATGGGATCCTTAGCAAGAATAGGTTTACTTGGAGGGCTAGGATCTCCAGTGCCAATTTCATTCTCTGCCATTACACGGAATTCATATTCACAGCCTTCAACAAGGTCTTGTACCCTATACTGTGTAGCAGGGTAAATTGGATCTCTGGTTGCACGAGACCATCTCTTAGCTGAAGGCTCCTTCCTCTCCAAGATATAGTTTGTGATGGGCTTTCCACCATCACGAGGACGGTTCCAAATCACCAGTGCTGAATCACGAAAAACGTCTTTTACAGTGGGTTGCTCAGGTGCCTCAGGTACCCCTGTAATTATGTGCAAGATATTAGGAACAAAACAAATTTTTACAGCTCAATTGTTCAATTGATTTTTTTGTGAGTGTTTTTACATACTGAATAGATCTTTAGCTTTCATCTCTTTTGACTCCAGTGGGTCACTTATGCCATACATGTTCTCAGCACTAATTCTCATGATGTATTCACGACCCTCTACAAGCTTAGGTACTTTGCAGTGGGTTTTTGTGGAGGCAGATGTTACAGTTGTCCACATGTCTCTGTTTACATCTCTCTTTTCAATTACGTAGTTAGAAATTTCACATCCACCATCATCAAGAGGGGGCTTCCAAGAAATAACCATGTGATCTTTGTGAACTTCCTCAAAGACAACTGGGCCCTCTGGAGGCAATGGTCGATCTAAAAAATGCACAGAATATTCATAGATAGATTGCTTGTTAGTTATAAGCCCAAAATATGTATTTTTACTCATCATATTATTTTAAAGTTAAGTAAACATTCTTTCTATCGTTTCACGAGACTTACCTGCAACTGTGATATTGCAAATGCCTTTACGAGCACCAGTACAGTTTTCAACAGTCACACAGTATTTGCCACTGTGCCCACGCTGAGCTTTCATAATACCCAGACACATTGTGGTAAGAGTATTTCTGAACTTGATATGGTTGTCTGCTTTCAGTTCATTGTCATCCCTTGACCAGGTGACAGATGGGGCTGGTTTTCCAGTGTAACGCCCCTGGAGTGCAAAGCTTTCACCAACACGCACAACAACCTTATCACGGAAGTCAAGCTCAATTGTAGGAGGTTCTAAAATTAAAAAAATTATAATAATCATATCATTGACGTCATTAATATTTAATAAATAGAATTAGAGGTTTATAATAATAATAGTGGTGTACATAACGAAAAACACTTGAAAAACAAAAACACTTCACTCACCAAGTTCGTCTTTACATTTAATTGGCTTAGTGGAGAAGGATGGTTTGCCAGGACCAACTTCATTCACTGCACTGACACGGAATTCATAGGTGTCGCCTTCTCTGAGACCATCATAAGTATATCTCCTATCCATCAGTTTCTCTTTGGTCAGTCTGACAAACTTGTCTTTGCCAATCATGCGAGCCTCAAGAATGTAAGATATCACCTCAGATCCTCCATCGTACTTAGGTGGCTTCCAAGTCAAACTGATATAGTCTTTAGTGATGGTAGTCACCTCAAGATCTTCTGGACGGTCTGGAACATCTAGTAAAAAGAGGCCAAATGATGATTAGCTACCATCCATGCTGAATACTATTTTACAGCTGCATTACTTGGTCAATAGTTTAAAGCTATTTTAAATCCAGGAAAAAAAAGAAAGAAAAATACTTACTGATGCGATCTTTAATCTCAATTTCGCATGATGTTTGACTGAAAGGTCCTACTCCAATTACATTTTCAGCTGCAACTCTGAAGAAATATGCCTTTTTTAGCACCAGATTATTTACTACAGCATTTTGTCTGCCAGCTGTGTAAGAGCAAGATGTCCAAGCCTTGCGCTCTGCTTCACGTTTCTCAATTATGTAGTTGGAGATGGCAGATCCACCATCATCATCAGGGAAAAACCAGTTCAGCTTGCATGAATCACTTGTTAAACTTTCTGCTGTGAATGGTGCCCCCACCGGACCAGGGACATCTGAAGAAGCAAAATAAGATAAGAAAATCTAAATTCTCTAATGTAGCTATTTCATAGTAATGTATAGACTATTTGTGTCTGATAATTCTCACTTACCAAGTACATCAACAATAACAGACCTCTTCACCTCTCCTCCATCATTATTGGCTGTTATTGTATAAACACCTCGTTGTGCCCTTGTGCAGTCTTTGATTACCATTGAGCAGCTGATTGAAGTGGTTTCAATAACAGCTTCTGGTGGGACTGGGAACCCATCTCTGCTCCATGTTATCACAGGTGGAGGTTGGCCTGACACATAAGCCAGGATACGAATAACACCTCCAGCATGAATAACCATCTTCTCCTTTACTGAAATGTCCAGCTCAAGGACTGGCAAAACTGAAATGACAAAAATTGTCATTAATTTCATATTACATGCATCATATTGCGGTTGAGTTATTTATCACAGGCTTTTTACATCCTCTTTAGGAGAGAGCAGTTCTCAGTGCCATTAAATTGGTGCATTTCTTCAGTAAAATATAGGTTTGTGTACATTTAATTTTATCTATAAAATCGTTACTGACGCCTGCATAAAATGGATGATTTTATTCATTAAAGGGTTAGTTCACCCAAAAATTATGTTTCTGTCATTAATTACTCTCCCTCATGTCGTTCCAAACCTGTAAGACCTTCGTTCATCTTCGGAACACAAATTAGGTTTATTGATGAAGTCTGATGGCGCGGGGGCTCTATTGACAGCTATTTAATTAACACTTTGAAGACCCAGAAAGGTAGGAAAGACATCGCTAAAACAGTCCATGTGACTACAGTGGTTCAACCTTAATTTTATGAAGTGATGAGAATACTTTTTGTGTGCCAAAAAAACTAAGTAACGACTTTATTCAACAATTTCTTCTCTTCCGTATCAGTCTCCGTGGTGCTCACGAGAGCATCACGACACATGCATGTGTGGTGATGACGCAGGAGCTGGCGTTCTGACATATGACCTGGAAACGCTGGGCTGTGTTTACAAGCAGAGGAAGACGCACGCTCAGATCATCAGTGCCAAGCGATGCCTACGGAACAGGAGAGTGTGTGCTGCATCTATTGTGATATTGTCATGCCACATCTTGAGAGTTTAGATAATTCAGACGATGAGATGAATCTCCTCGCTGTATAACAGAGGATCCCGGCTTTCCACACACATGCGTTGTGGCGCTCTCATGAACGCGTGTCGGAGACTGATACGGAAGAGAAGGAATTGTTGAATAAAGTCGTTATTTTGTTTTTTTGGCGTACAAAAAGTATTCTCGTCGCTTCATAAAATTAAGGTTGAACCAACGATGTTGTTCCTACCTTTCTGGGCCTTCAAAGTGTTAATTAAATAGCTGTCAATGGAGCCCCCCGTGAACCACCGGATTTCATCAAAAATATCTTCATTTGTATTCCAAAGATGAACGAAGGGCTTACGGGTTTGGAACGACATGAGGGAGAGTAATTCTCTCCCTCATGTCGTACTCTGCTGGTGTAGCACCACCCCAGCAGAGTACGTCCCTGGGCTAGAAGTCCAGTGGCACCGTAAACCGGCTCAATCTCTTCAATCTCAGATAGGGGTGGACCAGTATTACTTTATTTTATTTTTTTATTCTAAACTGTTTTAATTATTCTTATTTGTTTTGATTATTTTAATTTCTTCTATGTAAAGCACTTTGAATTGCCATTGTGTATGAAATGTGCTATATAAATATAATGCCTAGCCTAATTAATGACAATTTTTGGGTGAACTATCCCTTTAAGATGTTTTATTCATAAAGATGGTACTTTGGATGTTAAATGTGCCCTCAGAGCCCAACATGTGTTCTGTACTATATTTACTTGGCCCTTCTTTTTAGAGTGTATGAATTTTTATTTCGATTTTAGATCTTTTTGCACACAAGCAAAGAAAAACTTGTTTTTACATGTTGAATTACATGTTGAATCACTGAGACTTACTTATCCGGTCCTTCATTTCAATAGCATCAGCAACTTCGCCTGGTTCACTCAAGCCAGCAGCATTGAATGCCAAAACTCTGAACTTAAACAATGCATTCTCTTTCAGTCCAGTGACCACCAATTTAGTACCTCTAACTTCCTTGTCTTTGGCCTGGAACAGAAGGAAGATCTTTTTTGTAATCTATAAAAAGTATATGAACATTTGCTGAAATGTAAATACTCTGGTCTTAAACAAACCTTAACCCATGCTTCTGTGCCCTCCTCTTTGTATTCAACATAGTAGCCCATTATCTTTGAACCTCCATCCTTCAAGGGTGGAATCCATTCCAAGTCTGCTGTAGTCTTAGTCCAGTCAGTGACTTTTGGGGTTGGTGGAGAAGGAGGAGCTATAAGAAAACAGATTTATCATAGTGTGATTCTCTATTAATGAAAAATTATACCGTTGAATCTCAAACTTGTTCTCCTACCTATTGGATCTCTGGCAAATGTTGGATCAGATGGCTCACTTGGGGGTCCACATCCCGCTGCATTTATTGCAATCACACGGAACAAATACTGAGATCCCTCAATGAGTCCCACAACTTGGTGAGACACACCAAGTGGCATGGGCCTGACTGGATCACGAGTTACTCTGCTCCAGCGTTTAGATGTAGTTTCTTTACGCTCAAGCCAATAGCCTGTGATTGGAGTACCTCCATCTGTGTCTGGCTCTTCCCAGTTCAAAGTCATGGAGTCTATTGTGACGCTAGAGAGTGTTGGCTTCTCGCATCGACCAGGTGGCACTTAAAAAGCACATAAAATGTTCTCAATGTTACAAAGTGAAATTAATGTAATCTAAACATACAAAATGTCTCTAATTACATCAACATTAAACATGTGAATGAATACTTACCGAACACATCTCTGGCTACTTCAGGTTCGCTATCAAGAGGATCACCAACACCATATTTGTTTTGAGCCCTAATGCGGAAAATGTACTCATGGCCAGGCATTAGATTCTCGACTGTGTATATTCTCTCTTTGGGTTCACTAGTGACAGGAATCCAAGTCTTCCTGTTGGCAACACGTCTCTCAATAGTGTAGTTTGTAATTTTGGAGCCACCATCATCCTTAGGAGGCAACCACGACAGTGTTATTTGTTCAGCATGAATTTCCTCAAATTTAATGGGTGCAGATGGAGCCCCGGGACGGCCTGTTTAAAATAAGAGAATAATGTTAGTTATAAAAACAACACATAGGTCTTCATATAAAAAATGGTTGTTGCAATTTACCTAGAACATTAAGCCTCATTTCCTTGGAAACAGTACCAAGGCTGTTGCTAGCAGTAAGAGTGTAGAGGCTTGTATCTAAGCGTTTGCCCTGCTGGATCAGCAGTGTGCAGCTATCATCAGACACAAGCTTGTTGATGTGCTCATCATACTCAATGTCAACCTTGTTTTCACCCTTGTGAGGTGGAGCCTTCTGCCATGTGAGTGTTGGGAATGGACATCCCTTAATCTTGGCAACAATATGAATATCTGCACCCTGTTCAACCTCCATAAATTCTGGAAGCTCAATGGAAGGTGCCCCTAAAAGTGAAAGGAAGAAAGGTAAATTGGTTCATCAGGCAACTCTTAAATTCACTGAATTACTTTGTGTGTGTTGCTCTGTACATACTGTTCTGGTCCATAACAATGATAGGTCCTGCTGTAGAGGATGGTCTACTAGCACCAACCTCATTCACAGCCTTAACACGGAATTCATATTCAGCACCCTGGTGGAGATCCTCCACTTTGAAAGTGGTGATATCAATATCACGGCGGTTGCACTGTCTCCAGGACTCTTGCTGGTTTCCACTGCTATCCCACCACAGACGCTCAACATTGTAGTGAGTCACAGGTGCACCACCATCATTTTTTGGTGGCTTCCAAGTCAGAGTCACAATGCCCTTTGACACATCAACGATTTTAACTCTTGTGGGAGGATCCGGAGGATCTGCAATAATATAGTGTTTTGAATAGTCAGAATAAACTGTATTAAAGTATTTTTAATGACACTTGTTTACAAAATACACTTACGAATAGGATCCCTGGCTTTAGTCCCCTGAATGGTTGTGGTATGAGGCCCCAGACCAAAGCGATTCTCAGCTCTTATACGGAACAAGTATTCTTGTCCTTCAATGAGGTCTGGCACAACTAAGGACTGCGTTGCACAAGCTGGATTGACCTTTGTCCAAGCCTTTCCTTCAACAGACTTTTTCTCAATGAAGTAGCTTTTGATCCTGTCACCACCATCAGAGTCTGGAGGCATCCAGGTTAGTCTACATGTTCCACGTGTGATGTCACTGACTTTGATGTCTTTTGGAGCTCCAGGCAAATCTAGACAAAAGAGACAAGTTATGTGATATAATACATACTTCTAGACTTTCTGTATTCTAATGATACTACTATTATATCAGGTTTTGATGTTTTCATGATTTTAGGGATTTCGAATATGCTTACCAAGTACATTCACGCGCACTTTAACTATTTTAGTGCCAGCCTGGTTGTTGGCAGTGATGATATATCGCCCAGAGTGGTTTAATTTACATTCAGGGATTGTCACTACTGATGTTGTATCACTGGATGATACCTGCAGAGTTTAAATGTAAAATGTATTAGTTTGTTTGGACTAAACAAACTGAGTGTTTTGAAGAAATATGAATTATCCTACTTCGGAATCCTCTGGCAGAGTGTGACGCTCATTCTTTTTCTCTGTTGGAGCGGTTCCATTAAAGTCCCATGTCACATTCGGAACAGGTTTGCCGGAGATGGTGGCTGGAATCTTGATGGTTGTTCCAGCACGACAATTCAGAAGTTCATGAGTTGTGACCTCCAATGTAATGACAGGTTCCTCTGTGAACATGTTGGGTAACACATATATCTTTAATCATATATAACTTTCTACATGTATGTATTAAATATTATTCTATATTATTGTAACACATGTACACAAAAGTAAGACTTACCCAGAATATCCTGTACAATGATATCAGAAGTTCTTTGACTTGGCTCAGATTCACCAGCAGCATTTACAGCAACAATCCTGAACCTGCATTTCTTATTCTCTTTAAGCCCTGACACAGTGTATGAATTACTCAGGATCAGCTTCTCCGGTGTATTGATCCTTCTCCACTCATGTGAACCCTCATCCTGAACTTCAACAATGTAACCCTTTATTGGACTTCCTCCATCTTTTTCTGGTGGGGTCCAAGAAAGGGTCACGCTGCTTGTTGATTTGTCTGTTACTACAGGTGCTGGTGGTTGACCTGGTGGGTCTACAAGTAACATTTAAGAAAGTTTTATTCATCAGGAACTGGAATTCATAAACATATCAACACATTAATATCAATATTACTTACTTCTTGGATCAACCGCAAACACGCATTCTGTTGCTTCACTTGGAGGTCCAACGCCAGCTGCATTCTGAGCCATAACACGGAACTTGTACTCGGCACCCTCAATAAGGTGGAGCACATTGTATTCCAGGCCCTTGACTGCTGGTTTTGTTACTGGAGCTCTGTTAACACGACTCCAGTATACAGCACCTCTCTCTCTCTTTTCAAGCCAGTACCCTTGAATAGTTGAGCCACCATTGTCTTTTGGAGGCTCCCAAGTGACCACCATGGATGAGCAGGTGTGTTTAATAATCCTTGGCCTCTGGGGTGGCCCGGGAAGACCAAATGGATCTTTGAGTACAACCTTTTCTGATTCACAACCATCGCTGACCCCATATTTGTTCTCAGCTTTGATCTGGAACTGGTAATTACCATAGGCCTCCAACTTGTACACCTTCAGAATGGGATGAAAAAAAAACATTTAGAGCATTTATAAGCACATATCAGAGTTTCATTCTAGAACTGTCTCATAATAATATGTATTAACAACATGTATTAACCCCATAACGTCTGTCTATAATGCAGCATGTCAGCTGTTCCCAGTCAGACTTCTTTTTACTGGCATCTCTCTTCTCAATGATGTAGTTAGTGAGGTCACTTCCACCATTGTCCTCTGGAGCATCCCAGGTAAGGTAGCAAGACTCAGCTTTGATGTCAGACACCACAATGTTTCTTGGTGGCAAAGGGCGATCTAGGAAAAGAACACCACAGTTATCATAAAGATAATCTTGTAACAGAACTGTTGAAAATAAAGAGTTGTCCCCTACATAACTTAACTACAGGAAAAAGTACTGTGTCAATTTCAACACCCAATACTACTTCCCATGTGGTGGAAAATCAATGAGCTTAAGTAAAAGTATTGAATAACATTTAAAGGCTTACCCAAGATATCCACACGGATTGTGCGTTGACCTACTCCACGGGTATTTGTGGCAGTTAACTTGTATATGCCTGTGTCTTGTCTTACAGTTTCAGGAATACCAATTTTGGTGTTGATAGTTTGTCTGTTAATCTCCTCTGATTCCAACATCATTGTCTCAGTGGGTTGGTCAATAACTACTCCATTCTTTGTCCACTCAAATGTAGGCAAGGGTAGGCCAAAAATGTCAGCAGGAATTTCAATAGCTGCTCCTTTCTTGACAATAATGGCATCATTTTTAAAGAATTTCAACCACTTAACAGTTGGTGAATCTAAAATAGAGGAAAAAAATCAATGAAAATGTTAAGGCATGGTTTTTATTAGCAAACTACAACTACATGCGTTCAGAATTGGTCAATGATTTATATTATAAGGAGTGATACATACGTTCGTCATCCTGAATATTGACACTGATTGGTTTGGATGGTTCTCCATCACCAACCTCATTGACAGCTTTCACTCTGAAGTCGTACATCATGTTCTCAGACAAATTTTCCAGAGTGATGGTGAGGTCTTTGCAGAGTTGACGGTTGGCAACATCAAATTCATTGCTGTCTTGTCTCATCTTTTCAATATAGTAGCCTCGGATTGGAGAACCGCCATCACTACGAGGAGGTTCCCAAGTCAAAGTAATAGTGTTATTGGTCCTTTCCGTATAGTGCAATTTCTCTGGGGCAGATGGAACTCCTAAAATTTCAAGAAAGTCAAAAGTTCATAAAGTCAAAAATATAAAAATATGTTCAAATATATTTTCATATACAAGATATAAATTCACTATATATTCAGTTGTATTTACCTTTGGGATCCACTGCTAAAACAGGTCCAAGGTCAACAGGAGCCCCAAGGCCATACTTGTTCCTTGCAACTACACGGAACATGTATTCTTCTCCAACAAGCAGACCAACAATGTCACATTTGCAACTGGCGACTTCCAGGGGTTGTCTGTAAATGTGCATTTTGGCATCCTTTCTCTCAACAACATAGCCCATTATGTCACTTCCACCATTATCCAGAGGATCTGACCAGGTGAATGAAATCATCTTCTTGCTCACATGAACTGTCTTAAGATCCACCACTGGTCCGGGAACATCTTGTGTCCAAACACACACACACACACACACAGAACATATCCCACATTTCAGAATGAAAAAATTAAACAATTTTCTGAAACTTAAAAAAAAAAAATTTGTACTTACCCATCACATCCACCTTAACAGAGGCAGACTTGGTTCCACTGGGGTTGGTGCCTGTGATCTGGTATATGCCATGGTCAGTTCTCAAAGCATTTTTGATGCTTAAAGTGCTGTTCTTTACTTCTGTCTCAATAACTACATGCTCCTTGTCTGGCTCTGCATCATCCTTTGTCCACTTAACTTCTGGTACAGGTCGCCCAGTAACAACAGCAGGGAGACGCAATGTTTCTCCAGCTCTAATGATGACTCCATTCCTTACAGAGATATCAAACTCAACCCCTGGTGACTCTGTTAAATCAATGCAGATTTAAATATTTGATTATAATCGCTCAAATGTGTGTTAAATAATCTTGAGTAACAGCTTAATTTAGGTTGACTGCTTGAAAAAGATTTTTTAGAACTTCAGATCCTCTTTGCACTCTATTTGTAGAAAATGTCAAGTTTTCCGTAAGTTTTTCGACATACCTTCAGGTTCTTTGGCCTGAACAGGTTCAGTCATGCCTGGGGCTCCATGTCCTGCATCATTTACAGCATACACACGAAGGTAATAATCAGCTCCTTCAGTCAGTCCAGTCACGGTGTACTTGCGGTCTTTGCATCTAAACTCAGTGCAGCGGACCCAATCCTTCTCTCCAACCAGACAGCGCTCAATATGATATCCAAGGATTTCTCCACCACCGTTGTACAAGGGAGGTATCCAACTGATATCAATAGTAGTATTTGTGACATCAACAATTTTTGGTACAGGTGGACCAGGTGGCACTGCAAAAATAGTTAAATTTTCATCATTTAAATCCATTTAGTATAAATCATGAGTTTCAATGCAGGTTGACAAAGAATCTGCTATTTTTTGAGTAAAGCCCACTGTTGCATAAATTTACACAGTTAATATCATCTATACAAACTACCAAAACAAATAATTACAGCTTAAAACAAAGGGAATAAATGTGTTGATAATGCAAAGAATATTAAACTAATTACAATTAAATATTTAAATCAATTGACAGCCATACTTTTAATGTTTAGTTTTCATTTGCTACACTTACAGATTGCATCCATTGCAGTTTGAGGGTCAGTTGGTACACTGAATTCTCCTGGGCCAGCAAGATTTTCGGCACAGACCCTAAAGACGTAAACAAGGCCTTCCATAAGACCCTCAACCTTAACTGTCAGTGCACTAAGAAGATTGGCGTTTACTCTGATCCAATATTTGCTGTTGACTTCACGTCTCTCAACCCAATAGCCCAAGACAGGGCTACCATTGTCCTTTGGCTCATGCCAGCTGAGGGCAACTGTGCTGGAGGTGACCTCTCCAATTCTTGGCATGTTGGGAGCATCAGGTGGTTCTGAAAAACAATAATGAAAAAACTCAAATAAACTATAATATAAGCCAACTACTGTTCAAAGTATAGCTAAAATATAACTTTACCAAATTGATTCTTCGCAATAAGTGGTTCAGAGTAGCATGGATGTCCACAGCCAAACTTGTTTTCAGCTGTGACTCTGAAGATGTACTCCTTTCCTTCAATAAGCTTGGTCACAGGGTAACTGTATCCCTTGTGAGTCGAGGTCACAGTTACCCAACCAATTTCATCTGTTGTGTTGTCTTTCTTTTCCAGTATGTAGTTGATGATCTCACTGCCGCCATCATCAAGAGGTGCATCCCAAGTGCAAACAACAGAGATGTTCCTGATCTCATCAAACCTAAAGTTTACAGGGGGGCCAGGCTTATCTGTAAGTTATAAAAGGCAGAAATGTTAATACATCATTTTTGTTGTTAAATGCTTAAGGAGATACCCATAGTAGTTTCAAAAATAACATACCAAGAACATTGACGTCACAAGATGCTGTTGCAAAACCATGGGTATTCTCAACTCTAATAGTGAAATTTCCATGGTCAGATCTGATGGCATCACGCACCATCAGAGCAGTCTCACTGCTTTTGGTCTGGTCAAATGACAGGCGATCTAAAAGTGGTGGATGGAATTCTTCTTCAGGTTCAGGCTGCACAGACTTCTTCTTTTTCTTCTTCACAATTTCTGGTTTCTTCTTAGCTGGCGGCTGCTTGACATTCTCATCATTTCTGAGCCATGTTACAGTTGGGTAGGGAGATCCAGATATGTAAGCATCCAATCTAATCTCCTCTCCCTTTTTGATACTGAGGCCAGATGCAATACGGGCATGAAGTGATACCTTTGGTGGTTCTGAAGCAGAAAATGTAATAAAGATTTTTTTAAAATTGACATTTAATGTTTTATTTGACATAAAAAAAAGTTTTTATACTCAAAGTAGAGGTGTAACAGATTTTGATTTGTTTTTAACATACCAACAGGATCAGCAGCCTTAATCAGTGGTGTACTGCGAGATGGGTCACTTGCTCCTGCAATGTTCTCTGCACGGACACGGAACTGGTATTCTTTTCCTTCTGTCAAGCCAGTGACAGTGTAGGAGAAACCAGGTACCAGATTTGGAACGCATCTCTCAAATCTGTCACCATCTTTTTCAATCTTCTCAAGAATGTACCCTGTGATTGGGCATCCACCATCATATGGTGGTGCCATCCAAGTAACAGTAATTGAATTTGAGGTGGGATTGTGTCCCTCAACCTCAATTGGTGGGTCTGGATGTTCTGTAATATAATAATAATAGTAATAATAATGATAATAGAAAAAAGAACGACAAACATGACCAGAGAGAGAGTGTACATAAAATAAAAATTAATAAAAATAAAATGTATACTTACGTTTTTGTTCTTCTGTTAAAACAGGATTGCGGAGTTCAAGAAACTCGCCACACCCAATTTTGTTAACAGCCTTGACTCTGAAGTAATATTCACCATTGAGCATAAGATCTTTGACCAGAAAGCTTAAAACATTGTCACCCGACATCACAGGCAAAAATGTCTTCTTCTGAGCTTCCCTACGCTCTAGAACATAGTGCAAGATTGGGCTACCACCATCACTCTCTGGAGGTTCCCAGGAGATTTTGCAAGAGTTCTTGGTGACCTCACTCGGAGAGATGTCCTTACATTGTCCAGGCAGGCCTTTTAATGAAAAATATAATGAGCCATTAAGCTTTATTTTTAAGCAGAAGTATGATAAGTGTGAATCAGTTAAACCCAATTTATATAGTTACACAGTTTCTTACCGATTACGTTTACGTTGATTGTGCCAGTTACTGAACCCAGACCATTCACGAGAGTAACAGTGTACACGCCAGCATCTTCATGTTTACACTTGAGAAGCTCCAGGTGAACACGATTAAGTTCACATGTCAATGTCAGTCTGTCTTCAGTCTTTAATTCAGTGTCACCCTTTTTCCAGACCATTGATGGTTTCGGAATTGCTCTGTATGGGATTTTTATATTCATCTTCTCACCCTCAACAACTACAATATCTTGAGTCTCGAGATCCATGGTTGGTGCACCTTTAAAATATTGAAAAATGTATTAAATACCAGTATCAGACCAGTGGGGGAAAAAAATAAGTACCCCACACACACACTTTCATTCACAGTTAATAATTTAATAGTCCTTACTGTCAGGGTCTTTGGCAAAGACACCATCTGAAATTTTAGAGGGATCACTGACTCCAATAGCATTGATAGCCCGAACTCTCAAAACATATTTTTTCTCAGGAATGATGCCTTCCTCAGCCTTAAACCTAAGCTCTTTGACAGGACGGGCATTAATCCTCATCCACTTCTCAGTTCCAGCTTCAGACAGCTCAACATGGTAGCCTGTGACTGGACTTCCTCCATTCTTTTCTGGAGCTTTCCATGTAATGTTGATGTGCTCTCTGCTGGCATCAACAATCTGGACTTCAATTGGGGGAGAAGGTGGACCTAAAAAACAACAACACATAAATCAATACATATTATGTGGTGTACATAATCATCTATCACTACTTGAGCATGCTATGTAATTATGCATTAACTAAACATACTTATGGGATCCTCAATGACCATGAAAACAGTAGGTTCACTCGGGTGGCCAACTCCAGCTTCATTCTCAGCACGGACCTGGAACTGCACCTCACTGCCCTCATCAACATCAGTCACCCTGTACTTGCATTCAGGGTCAGATGTCTTTCCAGACTTTACCCAGCGTGTGCCTAACTTCTCTTTCCTCTCAATAACATACCTATTAAAAGAACGATTCATGAGACAATTGTTTTGCTTTGAACACCACGTGCAAACACATAATTTTGTTTGCATTTAACAAAACCAATGTAAAATTTGTCCATACTTGGTGATGGGTCTTCCACCATCACTGTTGGGTGGCTCCCATTTCAGGTCAACATGTCTCTTGGACACCTCTACAACAGTCAACGCGTAGGGTGGTCCAGGGGTTGCTAGAGAGGACATAAATGACACATTAAAAAAAATAATAATAATATGTGTGTATATATATATATATATATGTGTATGTATATATTGTATAATGTATATATTATTATATTAAAACATATTATATATGACATGTAGTTCAACTTACTGAAAGTATCCTTGGCCAAAACAGAGTCCTCTAGTTCACTGAACTCGCTTACTCCAACTGCATTCTCAGCAGCAACACGGAACACATAGAGAGAGCCTTCATTAAGTGGAGTGACAGTATACTTGGTATCTTTTACTGTGGTGTCCACGGCCTGCCAGGCCCTGCGTCTGACGTCTCTCTTCTCAACAACATAGTTGGTGATCGGAGAGCCACCATCACTATCTGGTTCAGTCCACTTCAGGTCACAGTTGATTTTAGTAATGTTAACCACCTCAAGCCAACGTGGGGCATTTGGAGGATCTGGTCAAATTAGAATGACAAAAATAATATTATTATCATCATTGCAGTTGAATATAAAAATAAGAGAATGCATCATTTGAAAACTGGGGTTTGAAAACTTGGTTCAATGCAATTAGACTTTTATATCTTTATATAAACAATAATATTTACATTGACAATGGACATTGATCAGGTTTACGATTAATATTCTGGTCATTATTTAGAAAAACATATTTACATGCTTCAACTCGTACTGTGCACAGTGCTGCTGTGCATTTTAAATCAACTCAAGTTATGGCATTGACATATACATATTTATACATAATTAGAATATGACTAAATTCTGATATTGGATTTTTAATGAGCATGTAACTTGGTCAATACTTTGTTACGCAGTCCAAAAATACAATTAAATGTCATGCTTATTGATATATCTAGATACTGATATCTAGATATATTCCTGATATGATATGATCTTGATATATAATTGTTGACTATAATGACCATAATGTTTAGACAAATCAGTTTTCAAACTGTCTGTCAACACTTACAAAGTCTCTCTTTGCATACAACAGGGTCACTTGGATCACTGGGTTCACTCTCTCCAGCAATATTGATGGCCTTGATTCTAAATGAATACTCTTGCTTCTCCATCAGACCCTTCAATAAATGCTCGGTTGTTGGTACATCCTCAGCTACACGAACCCATTCCTCAGTTCCACTCTTTTGAAGCTCAATTATGTAGGACTCAATCTTAGCACCGCCATCATGCTCAGGCCTGGTCCACTGCAGGTGTGCTGAAGTCTTGGCAATGTCTTTGATGAATGGTTTCCCAGGAGCCCAAGGAGGATCTAAAACAACAACATTTGAAATTCATGACTTTAAATTTTAATTATTTAATTGCCTCAACGTTGGAAAATAAAACTATAACTTACCAATTGGATCTTTAATCAAAACTGGGTCAGTCTCAGCACTTGGCTTTCCTGGTCCAGCAAGATTCTCAGCCAAAACACGGAACCTGTACTTCTTCTTTGTTGGCAAACCTTTCACCCTTAAAAGGTAACCTTATTTTGAGAATTTCTTTTACCCTTCCTTTACCTTTTAAATGCAGACACAATGAAAACAATTATCCTACCTGTATGTTGTGTCCTTAATTGGAAGCTTGTTACACCTGATCCATTTGTCAGTCTCAGGATCAAACCTCTCAACCCAGTAACCAGTGATGGGGCTTCCACCATCTTCATCAGGCTCATACCAAGTTAGAGTTACAGCATCCTTTGTGATATCAGAAGGCTGAACCCTGGTTGGTTCCCCAGGAGTATCTGAGTGACAAAGATAATTAATTTAGTAAATAAGGTGAGATAAAGAAACTTATGTGAAAATGTATAATATAGTGACATGTACACTTACCAAATGAATACTTTGCAACGATAGGCACATGCTCTGCAGGAGTCCCAATGCCATATTGGTTCTCAGCAGACACCCTGAAGACATATTCCTTCATAGATACCAGTTTGCAAGCTTTGAAAGCAGTTTGTTTTATTGTAGCAGACAGTTTCTGCCACTCTTCTTTATCTGTGGGTCTCATCTCAACAATGTAATTGGTTATTGGAGAGCCACCATCATCTCTGGGGGCATTCCAGGCCAGACAGCAGGATTCATTGGTGATTTCAGAGATATCAAAAGCAGCCGGAGGACCAGGTTTGTCTGTTTTTTAACACGATGAAAAGAAATTAATAAATACAATTACTACCAATTTTTTTCTATTGCATTATGCTGAAATTACAGATTATGTAAAGCAACACCCTACCAAGAATGTTGACATCAACCGTTGCAGTGGCACGGCCACTTGTATTGACAGCCTCAATGATATAGGTCGCTGTGTCAGATCTGGTTGTGTTTGCAATGGAAAGTGTTGAATGGCCAGGTTTTGTGTCAATGCTTATCCTATCCTCTGGTTTCAGGACAAGGTCAGCCTTTGTCCATTTTACTCTTGGCTCTGGCTTGCCAAGCACATCAGCAGGCAGGTCAATCTTAGTTCCAGCCCTGGCAGTCAAGCCTGCAAGAAGCTTCGCATCCAGCTGGATCTCTGGTGGCTCTGTAATAAAATAAAAATGTGAATATAGCGGATTCTAACTACTATTTAACTATTTTATCAGTGAATCTTGATCACTAACCTTTAGGATCCACAGCAAGGATCTCGTCTGTAGCCTTGCATGGTCGGCTGGCTCCAAGTCTGTTCACCGCTCTCACGCGATAGGCATACCATTGACCTTCAATAAGACCAGTCACCTGGAACCTGGGATATGTGTAATGAGACAGATTACAGATGTATCTGAATAATTATAAAAAACAATTATATGATTTAGTTACAGTATATTCCACTACGGGGATGCTCGTGAAGAATCATTACTCACTTAAGCTCAGGTATGGGATCTCCACAGGCTTCCCATTTGTCAGTGCCACGCTGACATTTATCAACAATGTAGCCCTTAACAGCAGCACCACCATCATATCTGGGAGTTTCCCAAAGCAGAAAGATGCTCTTTGCTGATTTGTCCCTCCATTTCAGGTTTTCAGGAGGATCAGGCACAGCTGTATTTCAAACAAGATTCATACACTGTCGTACTGTTCTTTATTTCATAACCCTCAAACTAATGGAATGATATTGTCAACACAGAATGATATTAAGTATTATAAAAACATTATGCCTGTGTGTTAAGACTTACTGGCTGGGGAGGACACATTCACAGGTTCATCAATGTATGCTGGCTCTCCTGGTCCACATTTGTTGCAAGCAATAACACTGAACAAGTACTCTTTGCCCTCAATGACATCTGTGACAGTGTACTCAAGGTCCTGTACGCCTGACATCACCTGAAGTGTAGATGTTGTTAGAACCTAAATGTTTCACTGAGTGTACAAATAGTGTTAACAAGTAACTGTTAAAAACACCTCACCTTGACCCAGGTCTTGCGGGAAACCTCTCTTTTCTCAATATTGTACCCACTTACAGGGCTGCCTCCATCATACTCTGGTGCTTCCCACATTAGATGCACATGATGTCTGGTCACCTCTGCAACTTTGAAGTCTTTGGGTGCACTTGGACATGCTGAAAGATGTAAAAATAGGATTGTACATAAATTGTTGTGCAAAACCAAAAACAAGATATTAAAATGAAAATTTGCATACCAATAACATTGACTTCGATCTCTCCAGATATGGTTGTCACATCATTCTCCAGTTGTAAGGTATATGTTCCCTTGTCTGGACGCACACTTGGCGCAACAACCAGTTCGGTGAATGTAGGCTTTGTGACCATGGAAACACGGTCACCTGTGGTGAGCTCTTTGTCATCAAATGTCCACTTGGGTTTAGGCATAGGATATCCCGTAATGGGAACTCGGATGGTAAGAGCATTGGGGACAATGACCTCCAGACCATTTTTAAAACCACTGAGGTCTATGGTGGGACCCACTAAGGACGGAAACATAAAATGAAAAAGCAGTTAAAATAATGTGTGTGTATTTCATCTGTGTTTTAGGGGATATGGCTAAAGTTGAAATAGTTTACCATGAGGGTCATCGGCTAAAAGTGGCCCAATTGCATCAGCTGGATCAGACACCCCGGCAGCATTTTCTGCACAAACTCTGTAGTGATATTTCTGACCAAACTTCAGACCAGAAACCTTAATATAGGATATTAGACACACAAATTAACACATTATAAAACAAAATAATCCTTTAATAAGATAATAAATTAGTCTTGTTAAATTCAAAATGAGTCAAGATGACATACCCTGTAGTAAAGGTCAGGGCAAAGTCTAGCGTTACATCTCAGCCACTTGTCAGTGCCATCTTCACACTTCTCAATGATGTAGCCTGTAATCATGCTGCCTCCATTGCTGATGGGCGTTTCCCATGACAGCTGCACTGAGTCTTTGGTCTGATTTGTGTAGTTGAAGTTCAGAGGTGGACTTGGCCTCTCTGTGATAGGAAACAAAATTGAAAGTTTGACTCTGGGTTTTGCAACAACTCAAGACATAATGAAAAAAAATATAAACCCTACGAACCAATGGGATCCATAATCTTCACCGGATCTGTGGCAGCGCTTGGCTGGCCAATTCCAGCTTTGTTCTCAGCTCTGACCCTGAAGATGTACTCCTTGTTTTCAACAACATCACTGAGTGTGGCTGTGCGATCCTCAGCTTTGACCACCATAGCAGGCTCCCATTTTAGAGAGGTTCTGTCACGGAGTTCAATGATATAAGATGTGATCTCAGATCCTCCATCAAAGAGTGGTGGTTCCCAAGACACAGTGGCACCTAACCTATTGACAACTCCAACCATAACCTTTTGAGGTGCATCAGGCACATCTGTTAGAAGCAGAAGAATGAATAAAAATATTTTAAAGAAAATCTTTGATTAGTTGTTACAGTCTCAACTCTTACCACACAATCCGCTTGTTAAGTCGTTATGTAAGGATGTACTGTTTCTGGGTCCAAGCTTCTACTCAGTTCAATTGAAAATATCATTTCAACAGCCATTCGTGAGCACCTTTTATTCATATCACACATTTAAGCTAAGATTTTAAAAACTCACAGTGTACACTACAGTCTCAAGGCTGACAGCATCCCGGACACCAATATTTCAACGATTTATAAAAAGATGAATCATTATCTGGTCATCTGAGATTTCGGCATGGAGATAAGGTTAGGAGCATGATTTTTCTGTGTTATTAATACACACTGTGAGTGTATATTAACACAGTTTGTTGTTGTAAACAGTGGTGCATAACAGACTTAAAAAGCAAATGAAGAAATAAACTAAAGCATAGCTCACCAAATTTGTTTTTGGCTTGAACTGCCTCGTCTGTGGTAACGGTCTCTCCATTCCCAACTCTATTGCGAGCACATACACGGAAGAAATACATGTTGTCCCTCTGCAATCCACCAACACAATACTCTGGAATGTCAGCACGGTCCGTGGCCATTGTCCAGGTCTTGCGTTTGACATCTCGTCTCTCAACCACATAAGCCAAGATCTTGCTTCCGCCATCACTTTCCGGTTCCTCCCAAGCAAGGCTGACCTCACCATCAGCAGTGTCAACAACATGCAGGTTCTTCACAGGTCCCGGAACATCTACAAACAACACTTTTATTAGACATCTACAACATTTAAAATTGTCTGTACATCATCTAATTGAATTTCCTACTCACCAATTACATCCAGATTAATAAACGCCTCTCCTGTTCCATGTTTATTCTTTATGACAATCTTGTAACGACCCTGGTCTGACTTCTTTGGGTCCTTGAGCCTATACTCAGTTCGTTCATTAGATGTGTCAATGTTTTGCCCTGGTAGGCTGATGTCATTGTAAAACCATTCTGCCTCAGCACGAGGATAAGCATCGTAGGGAACCGTCATCACAAATGGCTTTCCAGCATCTGTTACAAGGTTCTGATCCGTGGTCTTGATCTTTGGAATAGCTGTAAGGAAAAGTACAGGACATTAAAAAATATGTTCCCTTTTATGAAAAACCAAATTGCATTAACACTCACACTTCCTACCTGCAAGCTCAAGCTTGGCTCTGGCATCCTTCTCCTTGGCAACTATTCTGTATTCTCCCTGATCACGGGGTCTGATCTCACAGACCTGAAGTCTATGAACTTTGCCCTCACTAATCATCTGGTATTTGTCACCCTGGACAATGACCATGTTGTTCCTCATCCATCTGACCTCAACTCTGTCTTTATTTAGTTCAGCCTCAAACACAATATCGGATCCTGGGGGCTCAAATACATCTGTGGGTGGTCTGACGATTTCCACTGGAATCTCTGTTGATGAAAGAAAAGAAAGATGCCATGAGCACATCAAATCGTTGCGTAATACGAACATGGATACCAGAAATTAGCTGTGAAAAAAAATTACCTTCAACAAAGAGACGTGCCCTTGATCTTTTATCTTCCACTCCACAGGCATATTCACATTCATCATCTGGTCTGCACTCTTTGACTACAAGCTTGCATTCTTTTCCATCTTTCTCCATATGATATCTAAGAAAAATCATGATATTAGCTAAAGTTTTCACATTATCACAAAGTACTTTTTCATAGTTTCATGGTTCAAACCTAACCTGGGTCCTTCTCTGATTTCACGTCCGTTCCTGGACCATTTAACATGGGCTTTTTCCTTTGACAATTTGCAAGTGAACTCAGCATCCTCAAACTCTGTGATGGTTTGGTCTCTGAGCTGAGAAGCGAAATCAGTGGGCGCCTCACTGATGACCAGTTCTCCTGTGGACTTATCAGAGCCAGCAACTACAGTGTATTCACCTTCATCTGCAAGGCTGCAGTCCTTAATGGTCAGAGTGTGCTTGTCCTTGTCAACACGATACAGAATACGCTTGCTGAAAGTGATCTCTTGACCGGCCTTCATCCACTGGACTGTCACATTTGGTCTATTCACTTTGCAAGTGAAAGTAATGGTCTTCTTTTCCTCTATTTCACAGTCCTCTAGTGGCTCAATGATCTTGATGGCTTCCTCTGTGAATGCAAAAAAAAACAAGTATAAACATTTTGCATATACTGCAGTCAAAATACACATGGTATAAAAGGTAGACATTTAATAATGGCACACCTAGTACGTTGATGTTAGCAGAACACTTGGCCTGTTCTCCGCGCTGGTTTGTCAGTGTAATGGTGTAACTGGCTTCATCTGTCTTTTCTGCAGCTTTGATTCTCAGAGAGAACACAGTGTCTCTCTGAACCATAACAAACTTGCTACTCTCAAACATTGTCTCACTGTTCTTCAGCCATTTGGCTTTAGCTCCCTCTGAGTTCACCTCACAGTTAAGAACAATCTCTTGTCCTTCCTTTACTTGGGCATCCTTGAGGGGAGTGATTATCCTCAGTTTTTCTAAGGAGACAAGCAAAAGTACCAGTTTTAGTCCAATTTAATATGATAATTAAAAGTTGAACATTTGGACCTCTTTTACAAAAACACATTACAGAAAAATATACTAAAAAATAAAAACTTACCAATCACCAACAAGTCTGCTGAAGCCTTTACAGAGCCAATGTGGGCAGTGAATGCACCGTCATCTTTTAGCTCACAGTTTTTGACAATGAGCGCCCTCCTCTTGCCATCAATGACAATTTCATACTTGTCATCAGTTGTAAGTTCTTTGTCTCCTTTGAACCATTTAACTTCATAATTTTCCTTAGACACTGAGCAAACAAACTCAGCCTTTTCACCTTCAATGGCCTCTTGGTTTTGGGGCCTAGCAATGAATTCAGCTGCCAATTCTAAAGCAATACAGGGAGACAATTTCAAGTAAATCAATGCCTAATTAAATTATCAGTGAGATTATTAAATGCATCAGGATTTCCACACCTTTTAATTAGTAAACTTTGACTTTTCCAGTCATTTGAGATTACTGGATATGGATTTGAAAAATAATTTTAAACAGAGTGAACTCACAAAAAGCATAGAAAATATTCTATAGCTTAGCATAAAAACATATATTCATTATATACATTTCTGTGTCTTTTCAAGGCCTGGAAATCACAGTTTAAAAATTCCCTACTTTTCTAGGTTTTCCTGACCATGGGAACCTTGAGCTTGCAGGATCTTTTATTATAACAGTGAGTTTGAAATAATCGAAGCTTAAAACGTACCACTGATCTTTAGAGTTGCTTTTGTTTCTGAAGCAGGCAGTTTGCAGTGGTACTCTCCAGCATCATCCATACGGAGGTCCTGTATGATGAGAATTCTCTTTCTCCCATCTGCAACATGTTCATATCTACCACCCTCAGGGATCTCCTGGTCACCCTTGTACCATGTAACCTCTGAACTGGGTTTAGAGACCTCACAAATCATCTTAATGCTGTCGGTTTCTGTGCCCTCAACATTGGATAGGTTCTTTGTAAATCTAGCTTCCTCCTCTGCAAGGCAAAAGGAATTGTTATTAATGTCTGTATTGTGATTGAGTGTTTGTAGAATTGATTGATTGTAGAATAATGACTGAAATAAAACTCACCGACAACTGTTAGCATTCCAGAGGATTTGGATGTTCTTGCGTCACATTCATATTCTGCCTCATCATCAAACATGGCCTTACTGATGATGAGAATACGCTGTAATCCCTTGGCAATAATCTCATACTTTTTGCCTTTCCTGATCTCAGCGCCATCTTTGAACCAGCGGACCTGTGCAACACACAATATTGAATAAATATACTCTCAGCATCTGTGCATGTTGTTAAAGTAAAATTGCAAAACTAAAACTTTTCCGAATTTTTCAATTAAAGTTCTCACTCAAATTGCTATGCTAATAATATAATTTGTAATTAAAACAATTGTATTAAATATGGAAAAGTTAACCAGACACAGTTTCACTAGTAGTCCCAGACTTTTGGGCCCAGTCTACAGATTTTTTGTTAAAAAAATACCTTGGCACTTTCACGGGACACTTCGCATTCAAACTTAGCAGATTCCTTCTCCTTAACCTCAACATCGTGAAGAGGCTTAGCGAATTCAACAAATGGAGCTGAAAATAGATAAACATATTCATTATATGCACTGTGTTGTTTATTTTATTTCTTTACAATAGTTGGCTTTATTCAAGTTTCTGCATGTCAGATTTTTTTCTGAAAACTTACGTTCAACATTTAAGAAAGCAGACGTCTTGAACTCCTTTGCATCACAAGTATATGTCTTGGATTCATCAAGGCTACAGTCCTTGATAATCAGCCTCCTTATGCGTCCCTCAGCCACCATCTCATACTTCTTGGTTTTACGAATTTCCTGTCCGTCTTTGAACCACTTCACATCAGCCTTCTCCCTGGACAGTTCACACTCCAGAATGGCAGTGGCTTCCTCCTCAACAGTCTGGTCCTCCAAGGGCTTGGTGAACTCAACTGGTGGCTCTGTGATATGTAATGTGGTAACGTGAAACTCTAAGCAACCTCTATTTATGCCCCTCTTGACAACTACTGCAAAAAACAACCTCTAAAATTCATGTATATAGGAATACAAACATTACAGGTTTGCACAGGTGCATTTTACAGTTAGCTAAAACCATTAAAAAACATCTTATTTTATTTGAGCTAGTTGCCAAGGCAGCATTTCTCATTCTCTAAAATAATAATGGAAATAGAAATAAAAATTAATACAAACGATATAGATTTATATTTATATATTAGGGGTGTGACGAGATCTCGTGCCAAGAGATCTCGCGAGACTAAAATATGATGAGATTTCTCGTCGAGTGAAACGCTGTCTCGTGAAAAGCTGTCTCGCGAAATCGTCATGACGGAGCGTGAGGGTGAAATTAGATTTAGCATAGAATATGCCTCCACTGTCGTTTTGCTGTTTTCATAAAAACAAAAACCATTGTAATCTATTGTAAACGTCTGCTCTCCTCATCCAGGACGAGTTGCAGTTGCACACAGTGCAGCAGGATCACTGATTGCGTGATGATGGCGGAGGATTTGTTGCACAAGCCTAAGCGTCTGATAAATGCATAGACTGTAAAAAAAATCTTGTCTTGTAAAATGCGCGCTCAGCACCACAGAGTTACGAATACAGAGTACACAGAGTACGTGCGATTGCGAATCCAAAAGTGAAAATAAAACTGATGTTCGCAAATTATGCTGCATACAATAGCCTACCTCTGGACTGTGGTTGTAGTTGTGGCTCTGGTATCTGTTTTGGTCTCTGTTTGTACTTTGAATACTGAGAGACTACTTTGATTATGGTTCTTTGATATACTTACACTTATTGTTTGCAATTAAAAAGACTAAGAAAAAACTGGTATTTATTTTTGTTATTTATACTGATTTTATCTCTATGTTCAATTTGTGGAAGGGAGTTCAATTAGGAGGTCACACACAGCCTCAATCAGAAGTTCTGGAAGCTCATAAATCATGTACAGTAAGGTCTGAAGAGACTTGTGTGAAATCATACAGGAGAAAAGCCAGTCAGTTGAGTTTGTGGCAAAACCTTTTACAATGCTTGTATATTGTTGTATATTTGATAATATTATCATACTCATAAAGTAGAATTGAAATTACATTCATTACAAGATTATTAGTTAAAACATTTCAAAATGCTCCTGCAGACAATTTTTCCAGTCATGAATTTTGTCATTGAGAATTTCTATAAAATACTGTGCAAAAATCTCGTCTCGTCTCATTCTTGTGAACCCAATATCGTGTCTCCTCTCGTGAGATAAGGGTCTCGTCACACTCATATTATATGTATATTTTTATATAGTTTTATACAGAATAAAAATGACAAAACACAACAAAATTATTAAAACTTTACAATTAAAATGAAAAATATTAAAATAAAAACTAATTCAAAATAATAATAAAAAACTATAATAGTATCTAAATTATACTAAAATACAAATGTTATTGGTATATTTTGTTTAATTATTTATTTATTTAATTTACCGTTCACAGTGAGTTTGGCCTGGGTAACAAAGTCCTTTGCAGTCAGTTTCACTTCCCCAGCCTCTGTCATCTTGACATCTCTCAGAGTCAGGGAATGCAGTCTTCCTTCTACTCTCGTGACCACCTGCACACACCAATGTGGCATAGTTGTTGAGTGGGTTTATCAATTGCTCTTTTCCCATTTTTGCAACAACATTTCAAAAGCAAATATTAACTCTATCCCCGCCATTGACAGAATTTTCAGTCATTTATGACACAACGCTTCCCCGCCATTGACGGAATGTTACGGCAATCCATGATTTCACTGTTATATGGTAGGGGAAGCTATTACGCATCTTCTGAAAGAGTACAGAATCTCTGGATCAAAACTAGGGGCGAAGAAGAAGCAGAAACAAGCAAAAGAAGCATTGCGTATGCACATGTAAAATAACGCGATCATCAAACGTTAAACAACATATAAATCAAAACTGCCTAACGTTACAGATTGAAATGTTGACCAATGAAGAGATAGGTACAGAGCCCCTAAAGGGACATGGTGGTGGAAAAAAATATGAGATGGGAGGAAATAGAAAGTCAATGCTTTTGTGTTCTCACGCAAATATTTTACGTTCCCTGAGAAACTTTGCATTCGCTGAGTAAGGCAAAATATTTGCGAGAGAACGCAAAAGCATTGACGAATATTTTTATCCATCACCTTTCTTCCTTTTTTCTTTATGTCCCTTAAGGGACTCCATATATAGGACTCCATATTGATGGAAGCGGTCTACTCCATCTATGTTTTGATCATCATTCTGAATTCGATCCGGTCTTTGACAAAAATTAGATTTTCTCAGCTAATCTGACAATTAAACTTACCCACATTCAAGTGCTGATAAAAAAGAATGCATGAAGATAGACTAAAAGGTTGTTTTATAAAGCAGAGGCTCTGTTCTTTCTTTTGATATATTGCATGTTCAGATATTCATATAAAAAAAATATTCTGGGGCCCATGAACGTTTTGTGAAAATGATAAAAAATGCTGGCGCTGGCTGGCAACTTCTTAAAACCGCTGGGGAGGAAAGAGTTAAAGGTCCCCTGACATGAAATTTTCACTTTCTGAGGTTTTTTAACATTAATATGAGTTCCCCTAGCCTGTATATGGTCCCCCAGTGGCTAGACATTTCAATCGGTGTAAACCGAGCTTTGGCTATCTTTCTCTGCCTTTGAGAAAATGAAAGCTCAGACGGGCTGATCTTGAATCTCCTCCGTATGACGTCATACGGAGGAAAGGTAACCTCCCCTTTAGTCTAAAGGATTATGAAGTTCACTATACCAGCACTTCAACAACACTCTTGAAGCAGTTAAAAATAACCATAAGGGCGCCTGCAGGGCAAAATGGCCCAGTGTTATCTCGAAACCAGCAAGTACTGCTGGAAGTCCTTATATGCAGAACATATTTATGTAAAGACTTTTCACTTGGAATTGTCACCGGCCTAAAACAACAATATATACATACTATTTGTGTATATAGTTATATTATAGTATTATATAGTGTATATAGTTATGTCATAATTATACTAGTCTAAAACCATATACAATATATACATACTATTTGTGTATATAGTTATATTACTATATACTACAGTTAGTATATAATGTATATGGTTTTAGACTAGTATAATTATGACATAACTTCAGCTGGAATCACAATAAAATCTTGAAAGTTTTTAATTGGATAAAGCTACATTGAAAATGGTCCAATTAACGATTAAAGACTAAATTGCTGAAATCTAAAGAAAATAATCTTACCCTATCACTTGGCTCCATCTTTGTTGATCCAATAAACCATTCAACAGGAATATCTTCATATGAGAGCTCACAGTCAAAGGTGGCAGTCTCTCCAGCAGTGACAGTGACATCCCGAAGAGGTCGCAGAAGGCCAATTGTGCGTGCTTGACAGGAAGAAAAGGCCATCCTTAATAATGCCAAGAAACAATCCTACTACTACAAGTTGTCATTTTGATATGTCACTAAGCTACAATTTGCAAGCTTGAAGTACTATTCAGTTTTCCAGTTTATCACACAGGGCTCTGCATCATTAACATATTGAGATTCCTTGCACTGCCTGTGGTCCGATAAACTAGGAGGCATGTTTCGGCTCTGCCAATCACCCCCACCCACTCCTGATAAGGAATGGGGCTTCTAAAATAGTTTTGTTGGCTGCTGACTTATCTCCAATAAGTTATCTGTTACTGTCACTCAACCTTTTCTTTTTTAGTAAAACAAGAATGTAGGCTGGTTTGTTCCCCAATGTAAAAAAAAAAGGTTGCTAAAACATGTTATTTTTGTTGTGAATAAATAATCTAACACAAGCCTAACACAAGTCATAAAGAATTTAAAACCAATAGTTACAGAGTATAATGTTGGCCAAATGCTTATTTTTTTGCACACTTAAGAGGATTCTTACCTTTAACTCTTAGCTGAGCACTTGATTTAGCATTAGCAGCACTAAAATCTACACCACCAGCCATATCCATGCGGACATTGTAAAGGATAAGCATGTGCTTGGTGCCTTCCTCCTTAATTTCACAGTCCTGAGTGGAACAAACATTTAATTTATTGTTAAAAATATCAAAATAATATGTAAATGATATTTAAAAAAGAATTGTACAACAACATGCATTGCAGGAAACCCTTACAGCAGACTGGTGCAGGGCATCTCCTTTGAGTTTCCAGTTTCCATGAACATCCTCCTCAGAGATTTCTGTCTCAAAGCGAGCAGTCTCTGTCTCTGTGACCTCCACACTGTACAGTGGACGGGTAATCTTAATATCACGTTCTGCAGAGAACAGGAGAGGGGTAGAGACTGGGTTATAGTAGTTCATTTTAATTAAAATCTATCAATCTTTATATGGATGAATTTAAAAAAATACATTAAAAAGATACATACCTTCAATGTTAAGCTTGGCTGTTGTTTTGTCAGAGCCACAGTCACAAGCGTAATCACCAATGTTGGCCTTCTCTGCCTTCTTTACTATCAGGATACGTTTCTTTCCATCAGCCTTGATGAGGACATTCTTAGAGGGAGTGATCTCATTGCCGTCTTTGAACCATTTCACCTGAGCAGATGATTTGCTCATTTCGCACATTAGGACAACCTCATCCTTCTCAACTGCAGTGTAGTCCTGCAACTTGGTGGTAAAGTAGGCTTCTCCTTCTGTTGATATAGAAAAGAACATGATATGTTCAACATGTTTTACCAATATACAAAAATGTCTACGTAAGGGATGTAAAGCAAAATGAACCTATATAGAGTGATGAAGACCCCCTTTTTTTCTATGGACTAGTTTGCCAACATCTTTAGCTTCCTCTATTTTAAGATCTCTGTTATCCACCTCATATTTCTTGTTGCTTGTTCTTTTGAGCGAGGTTTTCATTTTTATTGCTTTAGATGAGCATTCCTGAGCTTCTAATCATCTATGAAATTGTTTATGCGTACCATAAAATTAATACTGAAAACCTCAGATGGCAATTTTCACTGAAGTTTGAAGTAGAAGTTTTGAGAGAAAAAAAATCACAAGATGGCACTAGTTAGCTATTTTACCTTGTACTGGTAAAAATGTAAAAGAGACTGCAGAGTGACACAATAGCTATTGAAGCAGCACCAGTTTACTGTCATGAATGATAGCCAAATATGCTGTTTAGTGATGATTATACAAAAGTGCTTGACCTCTTAATGCCACAACTGACCCATTAGAATCAAGTTTCCAGAGATGCATCTATTTGAAAACATTATAAACACTTACTTACCAAGTACAGTGAGCATTGCTTCAGAGCTTTTCCCAAGAGCCTCAACTTTAATGAGAGATGTGTCATCAATAGACACCTCTTTGAAGGACAGAGTATGGATCTTGCCATCCTCGGACATGTGCACCACTTTGCTTGGATGCAAACGCACGTCATTCTTGTACCAGGTGACTTGAACCTTCTCATGAGAGAGTTCAATGCTGAATTCTGCAGTCTCACGCTCCTTAACGGTGACATCTTTAATGGGTCTGACAAACTCAAGACGGATGCCTGAGAGGAACAATAAATGCAGATCAGAAAAGGTTTGAAAGGAAATGAGAATACTGTGCATCATATATTGATTCTCATAACAAAAATCTTTTTATTACCCTGAATAACAAGTTTGGCAGATGTTCTCTTGTCCTCAGCCTCAAACATGTACTTAGCCTCATCCTCGTACGCAACAGACTTGACCACTAGAATATGCCTTTTCCCCTCTGCGAGCATTTCAAACTTTTCATCAGCCTTCAACTCCTGAGATCCCTTAAGCCAACGGATGACCTTAGCCTCTCTTGACAATTCAATTTCAAATCTTGCATCATCTTTCTCATAGACTTGTACATCGCTCAAAGGCATGACAAAGGAAATGGGCAAATCTATGATGGAGGTGCACAGAAAGATTAAATAGTACAGAAAGAATTTACACTAAATACATTTTCAATAATATATATATAACCTAAAACACTATATTTTACACTACCTTTCACTTTAAGATTTGCAGAACACTTTGCATTCGCTCCCTGGAAGGTAACCTCTCCAGACTGAGAAACTTTGCAGTTGTAGAGTGTTAATGTATGTTTTGCACCATCCTCAATAATCTCAACATCCTGTTAACAAAAAGGAAAGATATATTTAGTATTTTGCAAGATGTCTGTTAGAAAGATGATTTCATTTATTTGTTAATTTATTTATTAATTATGCAACTTTGCTTACAGGTGAAGAAGATAATACTTCGCCCTTCAGTTTCCATTGGCCATGGACATCATCTTCAGAGATTTCCACCTCAAAACGAGCTGTCTCACCATCAAAGAGCTCAACGCCATATATGGGTCGCACCACTTTGATGTCACGAGCTGGAATTCCATCATTTTTTTAGAGCAAAATCATCAAATAAAACCCCCATCACGCCCCTGAAAAGTTGCAATGTTTTTGCATTTTAGGAATATAACCTTAATTACTGACCTTCAATGTTCAAGTTTGCTGAAGACTTGTCTGTTCCACAGTCGCAAACATATAATCCTTTTTCTTTGTTCTCAACTTTCTTAAGATTGAGGATTCTTCGTTTGCCTTCAACTTTCATGGTAACCATCTTGGAGGCTTTAATTTCAATTTCATTGTGGAACCATTTCACAGGAACATCTCTACTGAGCTCGCAGTCAAATGTGACTTCATCTTTCTCGACTGCAGTGAAATCTTGTAACTTGACAGTGAAATATGCATCACCCTCTGTAAAAACAGGTTGCTGTGTTAATAATATTCAGGAACTAAAATATAATGAGTAACACTTTACACAAAAGGTTTTGTTGTGGTGCAAAAATGAGACGATGAGGGGGGGAACAAGATTAGTTGATCAAATAAATGTAGGGTAAAATAAAGGTAAAATTACCTATTACCAGCAGCTTAGCCATTGTGGATATCCCTTTAGCCTCTGCTTTTATTAGGCAAGTATCATCTAGTGATACTTCCTTAATTTCTAGTGTATGCTTCACTCCCACCACGCTGGTGAACACGGTTCTGCTCGGATGCACTTTTATTTCATTTTTGTACCATGTCACGTCGACATTCTCATGAGAAAGCTCAAACTGAAATACAGCCGTTTTACCTTCCTTCACAGTTAGGTCCTTTAATGTTGAGGTGAAGTTCAGCCTCATACCTATGACATTTGTTCAGTGCATAACAAATTAACTATGGGTGCAAAAAATAAATATACTATAAACTTGTATTACTATAAACTTGTGAATTTATTAGTGTATTTATTAGATTATTATGAAAGGTTTGTGTTTACTATTTACTATTTGTTAGACTACTCGTTAATAAACACCCTTGTTAAATTTTGTCACAAAGAATTTTGACCAACACTTCACTAACCAAGATAATAACTAAGACTTACCCTCTACCATCAGATTTGCTTTTGATGATTTGCCCAAGACCTCAATACTGTATTCACCCTCATCCTCAAAGCCACAGTTATTAACAATAAGTATGTGTTTCTTTCCGTCATCAATGATTTCATACTTATTTCCTTGTGTAACAATATCAGAACCCTTAAACCAAATCACTTTAGGCACATCCTTATTGATGGAGCATTCAAACTTTGCCTGTTTCTTTTCATGCACAGTAACGTCCTTCAATGGGACTGTGAATTCCATTTCCAACTCTGGTAGGTAAGAATGTACATTGTCCATATCGTCACTCATCTGCATTTGTAAATGTTCATGTTTATTTTTTTATGCCGTGGAAAAACATCCATTGTTCTCTTACCTTTGATTGTGAGCATAGCACTTGTCACAGCATTCAGAGCTTGGTATGTAACTTCACCAGCCTGATCAAGCTGAACATTTTTGATAGTAAGGAATCGTTTGGTTCCCTCAGATCTGATGTCACATGTCTAAAATAGAAGAAAATTGTGAATCAGAAAATTTGCTGAACAATGTGCTTTAAAAAAAGCAGAACACTATATACTTTTAGTAGTATTTTGTGTAATATAATTGAATAGTCACCCTAATTGACAGATGAAGAATGCTTTTTTTATTATAAATCGACTTAATTCATCTGATAGTTAACTAAAAAGATATCACCCCCTTAAATAGCTTTAAGTGGGTTTTTTTCTTAGTATCTTGTATTGTAGCTAACTACATCTCAAAATGGGGAGCTTGGCAATTTATAGCTTTTAGCCTGGGAAGCCAAGCCACAGTTTCAAAGTAGTTTCCCCAGAACTGGGAATGATTCATTTTGTAGCACTCTTGAATAAGGTCTTACCGGTGATCTTGTCAGAACCTGGCCTCCAAGTTTCCATTCTCCAGGCACATCATCTTCTGAAATTTCAGTGTCAAAGTTGGCCTCCGTTTTCTCAACCACCTCCACACTAGCAAGAGGCTTCAAGATCTCAGCTTCACGTTCTGAATAGAGATTAAAAGGTTTATATACAACATTTTAAGATGGTAAAATAAGCAGAAATCAACACTTCTCCTCAGTGGTTGTTTTGTTTGTTTTTACATACCTCCAAGTGTTAGTTTTGCTACGTATCTGTGGCCTTCAACCTCCACAGCATATTCAGCAACGTCATCAGGCTGGGCATTTTTGACCGTAAGAGTGATCTCTTTACCCTCCTTCTTCACCTCAATCTTATCAGTAGGCTCATTTGGGATTTCATCATTACCCTTGTACCACTTCCAGTTAGGTGTGTCTTTGAAGAGCTCGCCCTTAAATGTAGCAGTGGCTTTGGGTTTCACATGCTGGTCCCGCAAAGGTTTCACTAACCAGTCTCTTACAATTTCTGTTGAATACAGACATTGGTTAATTCATACCGGCTCTAAATTTAACAAAGACATTAAAGTAAAAAAATAAAAAAAAATAAAAAAATCAAATACATACCAATAACCTTGACATTAGTTTGAGTTTGAATGTTTTCACACTCGCATGTGTAAGCACCAGCATCATCATCGTTCACGTCCTGAATTGTGATGGCACGCTGTAGTCCAATAACGTTGATTTGAAGTTTGCCCGGAATTTCCTTGATCTCTTTTCCATTCTTCTTCCAGACCACATCTTTGTCCTTGCTCAACTCACAGGTCAAATACATTGGCTGCCCCTTAAGCACGGAGGTCTCTTCTTCCAGATTCTTTGTGAATTTCACAGGTAATTCTATATGAGATGAAAGAAGAAATGCTACTTTAACAATCACACATGATTAGTTCCAACATATTAACAACCAATATTGACTTTAATTTTTAGATGAATAGAAATGCTTTGAGGGATAGCAGTCACAAATACCTTCTACCACAAGTTTAGCTGTTGAGGTCTTCTCTTTGTTGCCCAGCTTTGCAACACATGTGTACTCTCCAGTGTCTGAAAGCTGTACATCAATGATTTGCAGTTTGCGGTCTTTGCCATCAGATGTGAATTTGTGTTTTGGACTCTCCCTTAGATTGCTTCCATCTTTCATCCAGGTGGTGATAGCAGTAGATGGAGAGATCTGGCACTCAAATACAGCCGAGGAGCCGATTGACTCAGCCTCCTGCAACACAATGTCCTGGAGCTCCTTCACAAATTTCAAGGGGACCGCTTTGAGCTGGAAACCAAATGGTGAATCTCCAGGAGGCTTGTCACCTCCACCACCAGGTTTCCCTCTACCCCTTCCACCATCACCAGGAGAAGGAGTTTGTCTTGCTACAATAAAAATATATATTTTTAAATAGTTAGTTATGTCATTATGGGCAAGTTTAATTTCAAATTATACTTACATGACTTCAAAATTAACAAAAACAAACACTTGCAATGTAAAATGATAAAAGCATATTATGAATGTACAGTATATTATGAACGTACGTCTTAGTCCTCTGCCTCTGCCTAGAGCTGGCTCCTCCTTTGGTTTTCCATCTGTTTGAAATATTGTTATACTAAGCAAGGCTTGAAATAGTAAAACACAGAGGTCTGAAATGTTTGGTTGATAAATTATATATACCTTATAAAATATATGTGATCGGATTAATTCGACAATAAAACACAGTTTGACAAATTTGAACAAAGTTTGAAAAACACAGCCCAGGACAATTGACACCCACAGCAAAAATTACAAATGAAGACGAAGGAATGAAAATGATACTGACAAACAGTTTTAAGACAGAACAGACACACAACATTTTATCAAGAGGGTTTGATCAATCAAGAACGAAAGAACGAATGAATCAATGGAAGGACAAACATCAAACATCAAAGACAATTGTACACTTGAAAAAAGAAGACACTTGTTAAAGGGTTATAATGAAGGTTGGGTTGAGTGGATATTATTTGGAACGACTGTAGGGAGCCATGAGATACCAATGGTAAGCTTTTGGTGATACCATCTCACCTTTCTTGTCACCCATTCCTGGGGTTTCAACGGCCCCATCCTCCAAAACGTCATCAAAGGTTTCAGATCCATAACTGTCCCTAGGAGCAAGTTCCCATCCCCAGGCTTCTTCTTCTTCTTCTTCTTCATCATCCACCACCTCATGAACTACCTCTTCTTGCTGTGTAGGAATCTTTTGTAGATGCAGAACGCTTGGAGACAACTCCTTCACAACTGGCACTTTGTCTTCACTTGTTTTCAAAGGAGGATCCCGAGTAGTCTTTTCTTCTTTGGGGGAAACTGTCTTTGAGACCTTCTTCAGAATTACAGACTCAAGTGAATCTTTTGGTGAAATCTTCTTGGGTGATTTTGCACTAGACTTTCTTTCCATTGGAATGGATTCAGTGGGTTTAGATTTTGGTATCTCTGCTTTTGGTGAAGGTGTCTTTTTCAGCTCTTCAGGCTTTTTTCCCTCCATTTCCTTTGGTGGACCAACAATCTTTTTTGACATTGCTGGCTTATTATCATCATCTTTTGGACTCTTTTTTGTCAGTGAAGTGACTTGAGGACTAGGTTTATCTACCTTTGGTGAAGTCATTTTCTCTGCAATTATTTTTCCTTTTACGGGTTTCAATGATATCTCTTCTTTTTTTGCTTCATCCTTTGGAATAATTCCACGCTTTTTAGTTATTGCCTTCTCTTCCTTGGGACCTTCCAGTGTTGTCTTTTCTGGAGTAGTAGTACTCATCATGGGGAGATGCTCATGAGGTGACTTTAGCTTTTTTATCTTTTCTGGCTCTTCATATGTTTTTTCACTTTTTCCGGGTTCTTTTACCGGGATGTGAGGTTCCTTCAGGATATGATGTGTTTCCGGCCTCTCTGGATGCTTAATATCTACAGGCTTTTTCTCTTTTCGTTCTTGAGTAACCTTTTCAGGGGTTACATCAGCATGAGATTCTTTGGAAAAAGGTTTCAGTGTCACAGTTTCTGGCTCCTCGTCCTGTGGTAGAATTCTGTTTGATTTCTTTGGAAATTTCTCATGTTCTTTGGAGATTTCATCTTTAGCCACAACAGGTTTTGGCATTACGGATTCTTTAGCTGTTTGATCTGTAAGAGTCACTTCTATCTTCTTCTTTGAAACAGGTTCATCCTTTATGAGTCTTTCATGTTTCTGGACACCAATACTCTCTTCACTCTTCTCTATGTTGCTGTCTTTCTGTGGACCTACAACAGCTTTATCTGATTTCTCGACAGGTTTTAATTTTACAGTTTCCTGTTCTTTCTCAGTAGATATTGATTTGGTTACCCTTTTCAGACTTGGCTGTGGTATCAAGGGTTCCCCTTCCATTGGAATTTTAGTTTCTTGTTCACCCGTATTTTCTACACCTCTTCCTCCTATTTCAGGAGTAATCACTTTCTGCTCCCACACATTCTTGTACTGTTCTATCTTCTTTCCCTCCCCCTTTGATATTTTCTCTGTTTTTGTGGCAGTTTCATATGACCAAGTATCTGTTGTGACTTCATGACTGCTAGTGAGTTTGACTTCACTAACAGCCTTTGAATTCACCATCTCCTCTCCAACTATTTCAGCTTTCTCAACTTTCTGGAGAAGTTGTCCTGCTTCTTTTGGTAGTTCTTCATGCTGAATCTTGTTGACTTCCTTAAGTGATATAACTTCCTGATCTTCCTGATGTTCTTTTGATCTTCTGGTTACTTTCTTTATGGTTGGAATTTCCAATTTTTCCTCTTCCTTGACGTGAATTTTACTCTTTCGTTTAAGAAGTGCTTGTGTAGTGCTAGTTGTTTCTGAGGCGATAAATGTCACAATATCACATGACATGGACAGTACAATCAGCATGACATAAGACACCTGTACACATATCACACAGAAGGGTTGAAGCTAAAGTCATCAGTGTTACCTTCATGGAAAACGATTAACTTTATTTATGAGAAATGTAGGAATTAAGATTAAATTAACATCAACCCTACTAAATAGCACTGAGCCAAACTGTACAGCATAAAAATATAGGGGGAAAAAAACAGCAAAAAAAACACAAAAACAAAGACACAAAACAAACATAACAAGCAGACATTTAAAATGTGATGCCTGAATAACTGGTTTTAATATGTTTGATAATTAAACCTTGGAAGATTCATTTATGCCATTTAAGTCACACAGTAACATACCTTTGGGAGCAGGTCCAGGAGCTGTAACAGGGCCCTTGACTGCATCTGTTTCAGAGATCATTTCAGATTAAACAGATACCAACACACATACAAGTCAGAATGAGAATGCACTCAAAATATTTAATTCCGTCATCATTTACTCTCATTGGGCCTCATTTATGAAATGAACATACAACAGAAAACTGGGCGTATGGCCATTTCAACACAAAACTTGGCATTTATCAATATGGACGCGAGCGGTGGCTACAATCAAATCTCACGTCAGGTCTCAGCTCGTGTGGGCAAGTATTTGTGGAGAACTGTATTTTATTTATAGAGAGCATTTTCTTCATTTAAATTATTTTCCTGAAGCTCATTAATCGATCATTAACCGTTAAAGACTAGATTATGTCAAATTAAAATTATAGATGGGTGTCTGTGACCCATTACAAAAATACCACGGGCCCTATTTTAACGATCTAAAACGCAAATGTCAAGCGCAAAGCGCAAGTAACTTTGTGGGCGGGTCTTGGGCGCTGTTGCTATTTTCCCGGCGGGATAAATGACTCTTGTGCCAGGCGCAAATCTAAAAGGGGTAGGTCTGAAGTAGCTTCATTATTCATAGGTGTGGTTTGGGCGTAACGTGAAATAAACCAATCAGAGCGTCATCTCACATTCCCTTTAAGAGCAGGCACGCTTGTTCTAAAGCGTATTCCTATTATAACGGCGGATTTGCCAGGCGCGCGCCAGGAGCGGTTCACAGCCGAGGAGAGCAACGTTCTCGTCAGGGCCGTAAAACACAGAGAAGTCACATTGGGGATGGAGAAACCCACCCAAATTAACTTCTGTTAAACAGGCGTATGATAATTTGGGTAAATGTGTAAGCTACATGTATGCTTTTATAATAAATTGTCTATCTATCTATCTATCTATCTATCTATCTATCTATCTATCTATCTATCTATCTATCTATCGTAATAATGTATGATTTGCAAAAATGAAAACTGCTGCTTAGATGAGAGAATCAAAGTGTATGCGCGTTGTGCATACGCTACATTGATTATGGTCAAGCATGCGCCCTTAAAATAGCATAATGAACAACGCGCAATGCGCCACTGCCTTTAGACTAGGTTTTTTCTGGTCAGTGGCCAATTGTTTTATAGAACAGCAAAATAGCATGAGGGAAAGTTTGCGCCGGAACACGCCTCCTCTTTGCGCTGAACCGCCCCGGGGAGCGCAAGTGTATTTCTTAGTTAACCGACGTGTGTCTGTGGAGGGAAAAGTCCGCTGTGCGTCGGGTGCAAAATAGTAATGATACATGCGTCAGTGTACAAAGTCATTTGCGCCGGGTGCAAGATAGGGCCCAGGGCCCCTATAGTCTAAAGTCAGTGGCGCGTTATTCAGATGTTATTTTAAGGGCGCATGCTTGGCCATAATGTAGCGTGTGCACAACGCGCATACACTTTGCTTCTCTCATCTACACAGACGCAGCAGTTCCCATTTTTGCAAACCATACATTATTACAAGGAAAAATATCAACACACGAGGGAAATCATTGTGGTGTCCATGAAGATGTGAAAACATAGGCATAAATCTAGCTTACACATTTATCCTAATTATTATACGCCTGTTTAACCAAAGCTAATTTGGGTGGGTTTTACGCCCTGACGAGAACGTTTGTCTCCTCGGTAGTGATGTTACATACACATTCAAAGCGCGTATCGAGTACGGAGTGAAATTTCTCATGAAGCTCTGTGCCGGAGCGCGTATTGTTTTCAGAGAAACACGTGATCAACGAAAAACGAAGCCTCACTTTCTTTCCAGTCACGTGAATGCTTCACTTTGCGTGTCGGAATGTTTGAACCCATCACTCTACTCTACAGGTTTTTGGAAGTTTAAGTCCATTTACTAATTTTTATAAATAAGCCTATAGCCTATGTTACATGATCATATATTCTGCCATATAAAAAGCATAGAAACCATAAAATAATTAGACCACCATTTACTTGCATAAAGCAACTCTTGTTGGTATTTTTATAAAAGTATTAATATAATTGTTACATTTAATTTATTGCCACACTTTAATATGTGAATTATATTATAAGAAAACTGAACATTTAGCATTGTCAGGCTTTTATATGTGCTTAATAGATAAAACAATGGCGCTGCGCACTCAGGTTTATGGCTGCTATAAATTTGAGCTGCCACAAGATGGCGCTGTTTTCGACACTCTTGATGCTTCGAATCTTTTCCTTGAACAGTCAGGGGAAAGCCTCAGTGCTTCATGAGCCTTCGTTTGCCCATCCCTACTCCTCGGCTGTGAACCACTCCTGGCGTGCGCCTGGCAAATCCGCCATAAATATAGCAATCTGTCATGGAAAGCGCGCCTGCTCTTAAAGGGAATGTGAGAAGACGCTCTGATTGGTTTATTGCACGTTACGCCCAAACCACACCTATGAGTAATGTAGCTACTTCAGACCAACCCATTTTAGATTTGCGTCGAGATTCGCCCACAAAGTTACTTGCGTTTCCTGTTTGATACTTGCGTTTCAGATCGTTAAAATAGGGCCCATAGACTACTTAAATGAGGCAATTTTGTTGTCAGTATTTTCTGGAACTTGACCGTCCCTGGTCCCTATCCACTATAATGGTATAGAATACAATAGCTCAGACATTCTACTAAACATCTCCATTGGAGTTTCATGGAAGAAAGAATGTCATGCAGGTTTGAAAAGGTCGTGAAAATGAGTAAATAGGTGAATACTTGCTTTAATTTTACCATTATGAATGTGCATACTACCCTAAGGTACAATATATATATGTTTAAACAAATTGAAATACAAAAGTAGACAACTCACATCCATAATTAATTAAGAAAAATAAAAAACAATGTCAAAGTTAGTATTTTAAGACAAACATGTAAAAACACGACAAGATTTAAAAGATACTTTAAAAAGTAGAATGCACAAACTAAAGACCACAAAGACACATTAAAAACACAAGGGAACACCAACAACAATAACAATTGATACAGAAGACATGAAAACAGAGACTCTACCTGTGGGTGGAGAGACTTTCTGTTCAATTGGAGTTGCTGTTGGCTTTGGTGCCACAGGAGATGGTTCCTTTTCAATAGTTGGCTCTTTAAATAAAATAATACCACAATCACAACCAAAAATAGTGAAGACAAATATGAAATAAGATGTTATTTAAATGGACAAGGAACATTTAAAGTTAAACACAAATAAGAGCAATCACACAACAAAGACTATAGGACCAGCAAAAATGTTTGCCAGTTTTGCTTTAAATACCTTTTGGAGGATATATTGTTTTATGTTCTACTGGATCCACAGTTCGCTTTGGTACTTCAGGAACTGGTTTCTTTTCAACAATTGGCTCTTTAAATAAAACAATTCCATAATCACAAGCAATAAAAACAAAGATAAGATAAAAGACAAGGACCATGTAAAGATCATTAGACTAACAAAACAAGCAAACACATACCACAGACTGACAAACACACCAGAAAAGAGTTCTACCACAATGAGACTTTGAATAACTTTTAAAAAGAGGCATTTTCTGTTTAACTGGAGCCACACTTGGCTTCGGTGCCTCAGGTTTGCTTTCAACAGCTGGCTCTTTAATTAAAACAATAATAATAAAATCCAAAGTAATAAAGGCACATGTGGAAAAATGTGTAACTGGACTGGTCAAAGAACATTTAAACATGACGACAAAAGAATATATGAAACAAACATTATCAAAGAAGTGTTTCTTCCAGTTTTGCTGTATACCTTTTGATGGAGGACATATTTTCTGTTCAACTGGAGCCACAGTTGGCTTTGGGACTTCCGGTTCAGGTTTCTTTACTAATTCCGGTTCTTAAAATAAAAGTAAGCCATGATCAAAATCAAGAAATAGACCCTGAACATTTACAGATGATCATACAGACACATGTTCACACACTGAACCAAGAACTGAAGAGTAATAGCACCAAATCCCCCAGCCTTTTAAGTACTATTTGTAGGTGAAACAACTTTTGACACAGGAGTTGTAACAGCCTGGGTCTTCTAGTCTAATTAAGAATTACAAACATATTCAAGATACAAGAAGCTAAAGAGGAACTTTTGCAAAAAAGACTTTTAAGACAGAAAAGAAAACCACAATTGCCTTTTCGGCAAATAATTCAAGTAAAGATTGCAATTTACCAGTTGAGGCATTTGCTGAAGATTATAAGGTTTACCTCTTTCAAGTACTTTACGCACTTCCTTCAACTTAGTTCCATTTTCTTTTGGTTTTACTAATGGTGTTATCTCTGGTGATATCTGAGGGGTTTCCTCCTGTGATCTGCTGTTTTCATGAACAGACTGTTGTAAGTGAATATACTCTTTCTTGTGAACTTCTATTTTTCTCTGAATGGCCATCTCTTTTCTGGGGGTGTCTTCTCTCTTTTGTCGAGGCATATCTTCCGTTTTTTTCTTTTCATCTGGCATTATATCTTGACTTCTCAGTGACGACTCAATGCTAAATATAACCACAGCTTCTGGCGGAGTTTCTTGCTTTGATGAGGTTGTTTCGGGTATCTCCTTTATTTGTATCAGGGAAACCTCTGTTTCAACTATTTTCAAATCTTCAGGAGCCAATTCTCTACTGTGATGACTCATATCCATCCTTACAATATGTTCTTGAAGAGACAAAATTTCCTCAGGTTGATGAGGCATGCTTTCACTCTCTTCCGTAATTTCCTCCTTCAAAAACATTTCCTCCATGTAAATCTTCTGAGTTGCTTCCACTGTGTAGGGAATTTGGTCAATTTTCTCTTCAGATGCTGCAAAGACTTTAAAGATGAAAGATTTTCAAGATTGCACCATGCAACGGTGGTAGAAGAGTTTTCAACAAAACATGCATACCAACATGAAACATCAAAGGGTATGTTAACACATTTCCCTACTTTAATCTAGAAAGGATAATTTGTTATAAAAGAGAAAGGATCTTAAAATATCATTAGTTTAGGGATAATCTTTATTTTGGCAGTACAGTCAAAATGCAACTCTTTTCTGTGGCTTGGGTTATTGAAGGTTCTTTAAACTTATTTACCTCATAGCAGATTAATATATATTAATAATATTAAAAATTATTTTCCAGCTAACTATGATTAAAATGTTAATAGTGGTTACCCTGTAAATAGTGGGACATCTGTTTTTTGTACCACAAACAGATCTAGTAATGCAGAGATACAAATTTGATTTGTATCTCCCACGACCAATCAAGCATACCTTTGGCTAGGGGCATCTCAGTCTCCATTTTAGATTTAGTCACAGGCTTTTTCTCAGATGGTAGTTCAGCAGCCTTTACTTCAACCGCTTTGTAGATATAACATTTTTACCAGACAAAGAACAACACATTAAGAAGAGTAAATAAGATCAGCAACACTTTTAAGAGAGTTTGTACTGCTACCCCATTATTGCAGGGCATATTAAAGAGCTTAATATGAAGATTTAATAATACCTTTCTCTGGATGACCCTCCTTTTTGTGGGCAAGTGCTGGCTCACTGATTTTAGGGGTTGGTTCACTCTTTGGTGGCACTTGCTTTTTAGCTTGATCTGCTTGCAGTAACTCTGAAGGCTTAGGGGAAGGTTCAACGTTTCTGACTGATTCTGCTTGGGAAACTTCTCGGGAAGGTGGCTTTCTTGGTTCAACTATAACCTCTGGTGGAGCTGATGTGACTTCTTGTTTTCTAACTGGCTCAGGAGGCTGGCTTTGTGTAGGTTTAAACTGCCTAGCTGGCTCTACACTTGATGGCTCGGAGAGGACAGGCAAATGATCTTTGATAGATTCATCTTGTAGTAGTGTAGAGGCTTCTTTCTTTGGTGGCTCAGCAGCAACAAGTGCAGGCTCTGGTTTTCTATCTAGCTTTACTTTTGGTGCTTCTATTTCCTTCATCTCCACAAGAGCTTCAAAAGAACACATATGTGTTATACAGTGTATTATCATAAAAAGATATGCATTCAAAGTAGAATGCAGAAGCTCATATAATGAAAAGAATCAATTAGTAGATCAAGAGAAGAGTTACACATGCATTCCAAGAGCACCATTTTTGGTGACAAAGCTTTTAACAGACAACAAACACAAAGTGAAACCGTGGTTTGCGGTTTGCAAGAATTATTATACTCAATAATTGTGCTTCTTAACTATTGAGATTTAAGAGTTACCTTTTATTTGAGTAGTGTCTGGCTTTAGAGGTAAAGCCTCATCTTTTTTAATAGCTAAGGGTGGTTGAGGTGCAGCTTCTGGCTTTGGAGCTTCGGGTGCTTTTAAAAAACAAAAAACAAAGTAGCATACAGTAAACCCAAAAATATATAGCAGATGAAACTTTATATTCTTAAGTTGAACAAGAGGTGAATTCTAAGAGTTGAGGACTGCACATACAACAAATTTATGAAAATATTTGTACATATCTTACTTGACACATACAGACATGCTCACAAAACAAACACAAAGAAAAAACTGCAGCACAGACAACGAATCACACACAATACCTTTGACAGAAGGTGTCTCAACTTTCTTTGCAACTGCAGGCTTAGGTTCAGCCTCAGGTTTTGGTGTAGCTTTTGGCTCAGGCTTGGGCTCAGGTTTCGGTGTAGCTTTTGGCTCAGGCTTGGGCTCAGGTTTTGGTGTAGCTTTTGGCTCAGGCTTGTGCTCAGGTTTCGGTGTAGCTTTTGGCTCAGGCTTGGGCTCAGGTTTTGGTGTAGCTTTTGGCTCAGGCTTGGGCTCAGGTTTTGGTGTAGCTTTTGGCTCAGGCTTGGGCTCAGGTTTTGGTGTAGCTTTTGGCTCAGGCTTGGGCTCAGGTTTAGGTAGAGCTTTTGGCTCAGACTTAGGTTCAGGCTTTGGTTCAGCCACTGGAGCTTTTGGCTCAGACTTAGGTTCAGGCTTTGGTTCAGCCACTGGAGCTTTTGGTTCTGCTGGCACCTGAGGTTTAGGCTCTGAGGGTGTAGGTTTTAGAATATATATAATTAACACTGATATTGCTATTAATTCTCAAATGAAACTGACAACACAAACACAAAGACAGGAATTACACAGCAGAGGCTTTAGACATTTCTGTGTACATCACAGATAAACAATATGTGAAGAATTATAGAATCCCAAGATATTAAGAAAATGACACAAGAAAAAACTGCAAATTACAGTTACACAAATATCAACATTTACACATAATATACATACATTTGAACTGGATAAAGAAAACATTTAGACATACAATCAATACAGAACGTATATAACAGTATACACACTGAAAACACACAGCTGATAATACCTTTGCGTGTGGGTTGTTCTTTTTGCCCTGTCACCTTGACAGATGGGACTTTTTCCTCAACAGGCTTCTTGTCTTCAGATTCTTTAAAATATCATGGCGTCACAGGAATTTCACACAAATTTGATATGGTAACATACCAATCTCACAAAACAGATTTGGTTGAAATATTTTGGTGGAAAACAATGAACACACAGAGGAAGAAACACATGAACAATGTAAAAAGTCAAGCAAAGACATAATAATACCTTTCTCAGGAACTGAAGGCTGTACAAAAGTTGTTCCAGGTTTCTCTTCTGGTTGCTTCATAACTTCAGGTACATAAAAGATATCAGCTTTATTAAAATACAGCTGCAAAGCTTAAGCAGAGTTTAAGTAGTCAAAGTGTCCATGCTTTTAGCATGATTGCACACGCATTAGAAGAAAACATTTATGGACATACGATCAAGGACAATCATAAAAAGTACATAAAAACCGCAGAATGACATAATACACAAACAGAACTCCCACACAAGGAAGGAACCAAAAATGTTTTTGATTCAGCACAGACATGTTGTAAGTGTTTAACTGGAGGGAAAAAAATAAAGCAGTTGGCTAGGCATACATAAATGTTAAGAGATAATCTGGGACAGCCATAAGCAAAGTCTGGTGCAAGCATTTTGCCTTCATCCAATACCTTTCTTAGGCGCCTCCTCTGTCCTTTCCACTAGACGTTTTGTTACAGACTCCTCAACAGGTTTCTTCAATTCTAATGAGAACATGAAACAAGAACTTAGGCATGAACATAGACACACAAATTCAGTTTCAAACACACACACACAAAGTTTACAGCACAATACCTGTGGATTAAAAATGTTAATGATGCTGAACTGAAAATGATGGAGGACCTGGTTATTGAAGGATGGGAGTGATGATGTTTAACAGTCAGTTATATTAAAAAGCAAAGGAATACACATTAAAGCTTTGACAAAATATATGTAAAAAAAAGAGAGAATTAAAAGAAGATGAAATGAAGAATCATTAAAATGAAGATGAGTGAAGAAACTCGTCACATACAAACAAGACGAGCAAAATGTTATGCTCTTAGTTAAAGACTCTAAGACTGCTAATCAGTATACCTTGCAGTGAAGAGAATTCATGAGTTACACTCTCCTCTTGAACTGTCGATTTCTGACACTCTACCATACAACAATATTTTTTGTTATACAAAAAGTTGTGTAACAGCAATTTTTTTAAAAATAATAATAATAATGTTAATGCAAATTCAAAGATTAGAAAGAAAGAAAGAAAGAAAGAAAGAAAGAAAGAAAGAAAGAAAGAAAGAAAGAAAGAAAGAAAGAAAGAAAGAAAGAAAGAAAGAAAGAAAGAAAGAAAGAAAGAAAGAAAGAAAGAAAGAAAGAATACCAATTCTAGGATCTGATTGTATTACATTAGTTGTATTTTATTAAACACCCACTTTAGATGTTGTGAGTGTGAGATTAATGTGGGATTACATGGTGAGGTGCTGATGGTAATATGGTAATGTTAGTTTATCAATCCATTCACGAGATGAGATGATGGAAGCTTAGTGTATTTTAGTGAACGTACTCATCAAGTTCAAATATTAAGGTTTAAGATTAGCGATTATTTCTAATTTGAAGCAGTACCTGTTATTTCAAATTTTTCTTCATAATGAAATTCTGAGGATTCATCTTTTCAAAACAAAAGGTAACAATTGCATCATTGTTAGGTGAAGTGAAACTTCATGGTCTTCTATTTATATATTTGTTTATTTATTTATACCTTACCTTTAAAACTAATCACAGATGACACATCTGGTACATATATCGATGTATCAGGAAAATCTGGATAGGTTGAGATAAATTTTATATTTTTATTTCTTTATTTTTTGCTTATACATTTTGCAGATTTTGTAAAGAAATTAGTTGGTGTTTTTGAGGAGTAAATAAGAGACGATTAATCCTCAGAAACAATTTAGTGCATAACAAACCACTTACCAAAAGAACGTGTTCTTATTTCAAATTCTGCAAAAGAAGATGAAATGTAATTGCTGTTGACTAAACTCTAGTAAACAAGCCATAATGTGATGTTGCTGTGGATTTTACCTTTTCCTGACAAATAAAGCTCAGCTGTACTTTTAGTTTCACCAACGGGCTCCAGGCGAGCAATCACAGAGTACACGCCTAAAAGATTTTCAGTGAAGTTAATTTTGTTTAAATCTGTTTAATTCTACATTTGTAGTGAGCCACTAGGACGATTAATGTACACACCTTCATCGTCAGAGGTTACATTGCGGATGATCATAAAGTGCCTTCGTCCCTCACACCTGAAGGTATATTTCAGGCTCTCTTTAAGCTCCCATGCATCTTTAAACCAGGTGACGACCGCGTTGTCAAAAGACAACTCGCACTCAAAAGTGGCAGACTGATGCTCATTCACCACAATATTTTGAATGCGCTTGGTGAACTGAATTTGATCAGCTAAAAATAACATAAAAGGATTTGAATGGTTAATTGTCTCAAAATGCATTTCATTTGTCATTTCACTGTTTTCAAAAAAAGAGCAAAGAAATCAGAAGAAATGTAAATGTGCTTGGTTCATAATCAACACCACTATAGCCGAGTAATTTTAAAGCACAAGGGGGAAAAATGAAGAATGCTTAGCAATTGCTAGTAAGTAGCAGAACGAGAAGAGGTTAGTAATTTCCTTACATGAATAGACAATCTATGTGGCCCTTTCTTACCATTCTGATAATTAAATTTCTTATACAAAGCAATTCTACCCTCTTACCAGGGGATGGTTCCTGCACATGACCTTTACTCTCTGTAGAATATTGACGAAAATGTGCCTCAATTCGTAATATGTTCATCAATGTTGTTTTAATGCAAAGTACAATGTCTTTAAAATGGACTTACCCAACACTGTCAGTCTGGCACTGGATATATGTGGCCCACAAACGACCCGGTAATTTCCCTGGTCGCTGGTCTGACAGTTCTTGATCTTCAATATTTGGCGGTCACCCATGAGTTTAATGTCGTATTTATCACTAGTTTCTAGCTTTTGTGCATCTTTATACCAAGACAGTGTAATTTCTGGATAGTTGATTTTGATTTCACACTCAAACACAGCCTCTTTGTTAACTTGTGTTGACTGATCTGTGATGTCTTTAAGCAGGGTAACAGGCTGCAAAAACAAAATGTTCATACATTTAGGTCATCAACATGCATCTGATAAGCATATGCATGAATATGCAAATATGTTTAGACTGAAAATTGAAGCGGTGTTACTTAAACTTCCCAAAGAAGGAACATACTTCACTGTGTTCCATTCTCCTCTGCAAATCAGCCACAAGCTTAGTCAAATCCTCATCACTTTCTCTTCCATGTTCACTTTCCTGATTCAAAAAACAAGGGCACCTATTAAAGCTATTTGTTGCAGATTTCAATCTCAACAAGGTGTAAGAAAACATAAGATTTGTAACATCTGTTAAGACAAAACAATTTAGATTTATCTACCGGTCTTCCACTTTCTTCACCCTTCTCCTTCTTCAGAAACTCAATAGCTTGAAGAAGACCCCGGAAGTCTGTGATTCCATACATACGAGCGTATTTCTCATACTCTTTTGGATCTACATTTCTTAGCAACTCAACAATGTCAATGTCTTTATCTTCCTTTGGACTTTTCTGCTTTGATGGAGTCCTGAACGTAACAAAACAGAGTGCAAGTTTATAATCATTACAGAATTGTGATTTTGAGCTTTGCTGACAAAGAAAATCCCAATTTCAGACTCACTTCTTCAGTTTGACCATCTCTGGCCCAGAATCTTTTTTCTCATCAACATTCAAGTCTGTGCTGCACTCAATTTCTCCATGTTTGTTTGAGGCAACACATCTGTACTGACCAGAGTCAGATTTGGTCACCTCTTTAATCTCCAGTTTAGACTCTTGGCCTTTTTGATGAATGTTGATGCGACCACCATGAGTCATCTGCCTCCATTTGCCCTTCATCCACTTCACATTGGGAATGGGATCACCACCAACTTTAGCAATGAAGGAAGCTGTACCCTCTGTAATCCAGAATATGATGTGATTTCCATTGTGTACATTTAATTCTAATCTAAAAATGACATCTACACTGTTTAACAAAAAGCATAAACTTACTCTCAACAACATGAATGCTCTTGGGCTCCTCAATGAAGAACAAGTTATCCAGTTTTTTAACTGTCTGAGGTGCTGTGGGGGCTGCCGGTGCTGTTGCAAGTGCTGCACCTGTTTTATCTGAGTGATACCGGCAATGGAACAACACATTAAGCAAATAATAAAAATGGACTGAAATCTACAAAAGGATGCTTGGCATATTTCAGCATTTTAACAAGTTCAGTAAATATGCATTAAACGTTTACACAAAATCTAAACTAATAAAAATCAACTCGTAAGCACCTTATATTTAGCAAGATATGTCACTTTGCTATTTAGACAATATGCATGTATAAAAAGATCCTTGGTTATTGAAGAATAAATATGCATGTGAAAGCAAATCTTTTGAAAACATTATCAAGATCACTGCAGCTTAGTTGTGCACTATGAAGAAAAAGGTAAAACTATTTAAGAAACAGCAAGATCAGGTGGATCCAAAGCACTTAAGGAGTGGAACAAAACAAGATGTGGGTATTATTAAGATGAGGATACCAAAATGCATGATGATGAAATAAGAAATTTAGATATTGGCTTTTATCTACTTGGTACTATAAGAAAGGTTGAGAATATTAGACCCAGAAGTAGAAAATGAAGCAAAGAAACTAATTACATGTGAAGAGTTCAAAGCAAGAATATGTAAGGTTAATAATAATACTACATATTTAATTTAGCTGCATTGAAATGCACATTTTGATTATTACAGAAAAGTTAGATAGTTCTAATTACCTTTGAATGTGACTTTGGCCTTGGAGAATTCACTACCAGCATTGTTGGTTGCCTTGCACAGATAATCTCCTGCATCAGATTTGGATGTCTGGTTTATCTCCAGGGTGGCTGTGCCATCCACAAATACCATCCTGGTGGTAGCAGAGGGTGTGACCTCCCTTCTGTCCTTCATCCACTGAATCTTCATTGGGGGAGACCCGCAGACATGGCAGCTAAGGTTTAGCCTTTCGCCCTCACTAACTGTTACTGGTTTTAGGGGAATGTCAAAAGTCGGTGGCCTTTTTTGCTCTAGGTATTAAAAAAAGTGAAGAATTTCAGCATTTTCATCTGTTCTTTTTAGTGAAAAGTAGGGGAGTACATGTTTATGCAGTACAACAGAAAGCAGCATCACAGTAACACACAAAATCACATAAATAGAATTAACATGCAAAGAGGAAAAGGGAATACAGCAATAAGTGAGAAACAAGAAATCATGCAGTAAGACCATATTGACTACCTGTGATGTTAACCACCACCTGGAAGGAGGCAGTGCCAGCTTCATTAGAAGCTCTGCATGTATAAACTCCACTCTCTTTGACACTGGCCTTCTTGAGACATATCAAAGCAGTGTTGCTCTTGAAGGAAATGTCATAGATGTCAGAAGTGTTGAGTTCACTGTTATCTTTGTACCAGCTTACAGATAGAGGTTGTGACCCAGATACTCGACCCTCAAGCTTCACCAATTTGCCCTCAGCATCCTCAATGTGCTCTGAGGGCTTCTTAGTGAAAGTTGGTGGAATTTTGCGCTCTAAAAAACAAAACACATTTCACACAAGGTCACTAATATTAAAAGCAAAATACATATCATAAAGAGTTTAATGGAACACGTGTCTTGCTTTTGTTGATGTTGTTGTTGTTTTCTTTTTTTAAATCAAGTTCTTCACTTGCATGGCAAGACAGGCATCTGTCTTTTCTGCTTTCAGAATAGCTAGACTTGCAGTTTTATCCACACTTGAAATTTTGCAATCTCTCTAATTTTTGTTTTGCTGATCGTTTAACCAAATTATTCATATTTGGAATGCCCCTGTCTACTCTAACCTTCCAATTTGACTTCTAGAAAAAAAAAGCTTTCAGTCCAAGACTAAATCCCTCTTAAATGTGAACCAGATTAAGGGATTATATAGTAGAAAAGCATAATTAAATTTGCTTATTAGACTACTCGCAGTGTTTTAAATGTGATATTATAGTGAAATGTATTACATTTAAGCCTGAAGTGTAAGCTGTGGACTCCATGAAGCAGTTTGTATTTAATGCTCTATTCAATGCATTTTTGCTACAGTGTTTTAGTTTGCATTAGTGTTGTTATTTTTATGATAATTTAAGTAAATCTGGGATAAAATAAAGCATAAACATTAGATAAACTCTGTTGCCTTAGCAACAAACTGAAACACAGTACAAAAGTTTAATATGAAGTACTAAATTATTAAACCTAAAACTAAGTTAAATTTAAACAAACAAAAAACAAATAAAAAATGGCACCTAAAATTATAAAAAGTAGAAAAATCAAAGCTAAGTCAAAATATTAATAAATATAATATATTATATAATATATAATATTATATAAATGATACTAAAATAACACTAGTTTGCATTTGGCTATTGTGCACCAGTGCCGTTGTTAGTCACTAAATAGTTTACTTTATAAAATCGTTTTATAAAATACTCAAATTGCTATTTTTGTTTCATTTGGGACGATAGTCATTTCCGTTTTTTCATGTTAAAATGCTAGTAATTAATCCAGAGAAAGGTGATCTCTTTGAGACAAAAAAAAAAAGTATTTGGGGAAAAAAGAAGCATACTGAAAAGTATTGTAAAGAATGGAAAAGTTGGAACTTGATCTGCAAATTCATTCAAATAAGCTGACTGCAGTTAACTAACCTGTCGCAAGGATGACCAGCGAATGACAAATATCTGAACCATCTTCATTTGTAACCTCACAAGAATATTTTCCAGGAGTATTGACATCACACTCGTGAAGATATTCCAAAGCGCAAGTGTTTCCAATTACTTTTGTGTTGCATCTGTATGACGCATAGACCTGTTTGCCATCCTTGTACCATGTGACAAACATTTTTTCAATTCCTGTGAAGGAACATTCGAGCCTCAACTTTTGCCCCCATTGAAGATTCTGGTTTGTGAGCTTCTTCACAAAACGAGCAGGTCCTAAGAGGAATCACATTGGATGAGCATCATGAATATCATGAGCACCATGCTTGCAAATCACTGGCTCCCGCTACAGAATCAACTTGAATTCCAACCAACATTAATGTAAAGGGCCTTTAAACGTGTACTAACCAGATACTGTGGCCACTTCCGCATGACAGATATCACTTCCATAGAAATTGGACACCTCACAGGAGTATTTTCCAGGAGTGTCTTTGGTGCATTCATGTAAACATTCTAGAGTGCAGGTGTTTCCAACAACTTGAGTATTATATCTGTAAGAGGCATATATTTGTTTGCCATCCTTGTACCAAGTGACAAAGATTTTAGGAGCTCCGGTAAATGTGCACTCAAGCTTCAGTTTTTTGCTCATGGCAACTTTTTTGTCCTTAAGCTTCTGTTCAAATCGGGCAGGTTCTGAGAACAAGAAATTAGCGAATTTATCTTTATCCTATGTCTGCCTAAACATGAAATAAATTTGTAAATAAGTAAACTAGGATGGTATACAAACCTGTAACTGTAGTTATATTGGCATGACAGATATCAGTGCCAAAGGAATTTGAAACTTCACAAGAGTATTTTCCAGGAGTGTCATTGTTACATTCATGGAGGCATTCCAAGACGCACGTGTTCTCAATGATCCTTGTGTTGTATCTGTATGAGGCATACAGTTGTTTTCCATCTTTGTACCATGTGACAAACATCTTCGGTGCTCCAGTGAATGTACACTGAAGTCTCAGTGTCTGACTGAGTGGGATAGCCATGTCTGTCAACCTCTTCACAAAGCGGGCAGGCTCTACGAAGGACAGCATCAGATCCATTTAAATGACTTCCTTAACAACGACAAGAACTATACAAACAGGCAACATATCAACCTTTACAACATGCGGATTGTTCTTTAAAAACATTAAACTCCTCAAATTTGCTGAAGTATGCAATATATTTTAAGCATGGAAACTTGCAGATGCAATCACAAGTTGATCAATATCCCGCAACAACAAGCACTCAAAAAACATGCCAGCCCTCACTGTAGCCTTGATACAGGATAAAACAGATTTGAATTAAGACGCATGGGCCACTTCAATGAACGTGCAAAATGTCACAGCAGCACACCATATTGTTGCCAACCGAAAAAAAAAAAAAAAAAACATGAGGAACAAAAATTACACCATTCCAGGTGACATGCGGTCCAACGCTGCAATATCAAACTATTCCTTTTATATCCATGGGCAAAATCCATGGGTATGGAACTTTGGAAGATGGGCAGGCAAGGGTCCAGTACAAATTACAAACCTGCAACTGCCACTACTTCAGCATGACATATATCCGTTCCATAAACGTTTGAAACTTCACATGAGTATTTTCCTGTAGTCTCATTATTGCACTCATGCAGACACTCCAGGATACAGGAGTCTGATGTAACTTTGGTGTTGTATCGATATGAAGCATACAGCTGTTTGCCATCCTTGTACCAAGTGACAAACATTTTTGGAGCTCCGGTGAATGTGCATTCAAGTCTTAGCTTTTTACTCGTTGGAATGGATTGATCTGTCAACTTCTTCACAAAACGGGCAGGTTCTGAGGTGAAGAGGATTGGAAACCTTTAGTCCAGAAAATTATATATAGGCCTATATATTAGAGAAGTGTCATTTCTAGTTCAGTGCTGATAATTACTGGTATCTTTTATTTAAATTGAGAAGCCCAAAATTAATAACGTAATTTAATAGTAAATGCGTAGATCATTACTGAAATCCATAGTATACAAACCCGCCACTGCAGTCACATTAGCATGGCAAATATCTCTTCCAAAGGCATTGGAGACTTCACAAGAGTATTTTCCTGTGGTGTTCTTGTCACATTCATGAAGACATTCCAAAATGCAGGAGTTATCTGTGACTTTTGTATTGTATCTGTACGATGCATAGAGTTGTCTGCCATCTTTGAACCAGGTCACAAACAATTTCTGGGCTCCATTGAATGTGCACTCAAGTCTCAACTTTTGGCTCATTGGGATGGAAATGTTGCTCAGTGTCTTCACAAAGTGGGCAGGTGCTGATGCTGTGAGGAACAGTATAGCTAGAGTTACATCTCTACAAACGGGAGTTGCATAAAAAAAATATGATTGTAGCATTCAAATGTTTTTCTGGCGGAAATTTTGCAAGAACACTGACATCGACATTCAAAGACGGTTGAATTGTCTGTTTTCCATTCCTCAGCCATTTCATAATTATATAATTCTGCATTCCATGTAAGAGGTAAAACATTGAGGAACAACAAGAGCCTGTGTCATTTTGGCATGTGACTGGTTATTTCATAAGAGTGGTCATTTCATTGCAAAATCCAAGAATAAGAAGGAATTTCAGTGTTCCAGTAAAGGTACCAAGAGCCACCATTTGTGTGCCATCCTTCAAGTCAAGATATCTGAACTGACAATTAACCAGCTTGTGACAAAAGAAAAGACTGAAGATTTTTCTTCAAATATAAAATAATATTTTTCAATATTAATGGCTTGACATGAAATGGAAAGCGTCCATTTTGAAGAATGTTGCAGTTGCTCTTCCATTTCGGTTTCTTCCAAACACAAGACGTCTCTTGAACCTCTTCCATTTCACCACCTTTTCAAAGAAATTAGGTAGATTGTGTCTTCAGAAAGACATGAAGTTCTGATTCAAATAAGAACATTTTAAGAAGATAAAGAGTTTGTACATGGTGCGTTGTTTGATGTTTTGCGGTCAATTTGACCAACAACCACTGTCAAGATATCTAATATTAATTTACCAGTAAAACCAATCATAGTTTCTGACATCCACAACCAGATGAAACTAGGCAAGTACATTCAGTTAAAGAGAAAACTAAACCTAAACCAAACAACCTTAGCAACAATTACATACCAAACATGGGATATGTGAAGGCACTGCATCACCTGACGAAAGCAATATGAACTGTGATTTTCAAATACAGAGAATGAAATACTAAAGATCGATTTTAATCCAATATAGAAAAGGTATGCCAAACACAATCCAGTCTAAAAGAACACCAAACAATGTTCAAATATCTTAAGATACTCCATCCTTTTGCCAACCTTTAACTACAAGAGAACCAGAACAACTAATTATTCCAGCATAATTCTATACAAATGCACTCGATGATATCCTCAATGGTTAAAGAGTGGCTTCTAGGACAAAGACTCAGTGTATGGAAACCCATGGATCTAGGAAATTCAAAGATCAATCAAAAAGTGAAGAAGAAAAAATCAAGTGAAAAAAGTCACAATGCAGTCAGTCCTTGACCAACGATTTTATGAGCATAGACAAAAAGGTTTTATAGAGTAAAAGGAATTAGAATTAATTATATTTTTCAGTGTGTTTGTGTTCTAAAGCATGAACTTATGAGTTGTATTAGTGATCGACATCTCCTGTTGTAATGCCAAATGAAAAGTTGCAAAATATAAAATGTCAAAGTTGTACTGTACTTTTATGCTTAATTGTATCGCACTGGTGCTTTTATATTTTTATGGTTGATGTTGAAAAATGTTGATATTGCAGGTCAACCGTATTTAAAAAAATAAATAAATCAGATAATTCATGGCAACAGCAACTGCTTAATTGTCTGAAAGCTTTGTTAACAGTTTTAGCTTGCCATTGTAGCCCGCGCTGCCTGTTAGTAACACACCTGTTAGTGCTGGGAACCTGCAGGGATTATTCTTCTTGTCTTTCTCAAGCATACTAACCTCTTATTATCGCAACTGATTTTGAGGCGATTTTTCCAACTTCGTTTGATAGGCAACATTGGTACTCCCCAAATTCTGAACTTTCAAAGGGACGTGTCTCCAAATATTTAATTAAATCTTCAAAAATAATTTTGTCAGAATTGATAAATCTCTTATTCTTCAACAAGTTTATTTCAACCGGGGCAGTACCAATGAGCTCACTCCCAAATAAAGCACTGGTCACCTTCACTACATCCAGCATTGGTAATTCTTTTGTGATGGAGGGGGTTTCTGAGAATAAAAATTAAACGGATTTCAGCAAAAACCATAGTCAAAAACTCGTATTGCTATTATTAATAGTACTGATCATCTTGGTAACAATAAAAATAACTATAACAACTACACTAGCAACCAGCTCAGTTTTTTTGTTTTTTTTTGTTTTTTTTCTGCATCCCTAAACCTCATTTTATGTAGTATATAAAATGATCCATATATATTCTAAGCATTCAATAAGTTACCAGTCAAAGACAATGTCACACAAGGCTCGAGAGCCCCAAAACTTTGCAGTGCAGTTGTATAGATATGCCTGCTTTAACAAGTCATAAACCATTTAGACTCTAAAAACGCATGGAAATGGAAATGGAAACGTGTGGAAATACTTTGGTGGGTAGGTGGTGAGTTGCTGGATAACCAGCATTTTCATCATCTTTACCTTTACACACTTACACAACATAGATATGTACACTAAAGCACATCACAAATCAAATAACACAACATGTATCACTCGGGACATTTTCTGCACAGGACTTAAAACGTCACAAAAGAAGAGCAATTTTGTCCCTACTCTACAAGCAAAGCAATAAGTTCTACATTGGTCTTGCATTTTTTGAAAGCCAACTGTGTTATGAATCTTCCTTCCATTCTTAATCATAATGATCCTATTCATCCATTTTAGTCATGTGACTTTTTCTGCTCATCCGCCATATTTATGACCATCAGCAGGAATGAGTTTTGGCAGTGAATACAAAAACACATGAACAGAAATACCAAGAAAACATCAATCACTGGATCCATACCCAGTTCCCAGGAAACATTTTCACAGATCATGTTTTCTGGGACCTGGTGTGGATCAAATTCATTGATCAATATTTTTTCTTAGTATCTCTGTTCATGTGTTTTTGTATTCATCACCTTTGCTTTACCCCACTGATGGTCATAAATATGGTGGATAAAGTAACATGGCTGAAACTGATGAATTCCCAAAATTATGATCCAATATGCACTCAAGAGACAATGGAATATCCATTGCTAAATTTAAGTCAAAAGTATTAATAAATCTGAATATCAGTTACCTCTACCACATACGGCCATCAAAATATTTGATAACCTGTATCATAGATGTATTGCAAATATATAATGTTAGTTCACATACCAGAAAAGAAAATATATTTACTTATCAGAAGAGATTCTAAAATGAATATATACAATGTATTTAAAAAAAATAATTGGGATAGATCTTAAAACATCACATTTACACATGTCTGGTTCAGACATGGTTATAGAGATAGGTGGAAATATTGATCCCAGGTGGATTAATTGTATTAATCAAAAAAGATTGTATTAATTAAAAGCAAAAAAAGAATAATATTGAGAGGAAGACATTGAAAGATTTGGACATATATTCAGTGATTTAAAAGTCACTTTGAAAGAATTTAAGACAAATCATATATTGCTTATATATGATTACAAAACATACACAACTCTGTCATACACAAGAGTGCAGATTGGATTTCAAGGACAGAAAAAAAGCTGAACCCTTAAAAATAAGTAACCTTTGTTAAAGATTTGTCAGCAGCAAAAGCAAAGAATATAACGTCAGTTCACTCACCAGTGATGTTCAGGTTAGCAGAGCAGGTGTCACTACCGTGCTTGTTTGAGGCACAACAGCTGTATTCACCAATGTCGGCCTTTGTTGGGTTGAGGAGCTCCAGAGATGATGTGCTTTGCCTGCTGATGATCCTGAACTTGTCACTCTGTCTAATTTCTGAGCCAGACTTGAACCACTTGAAGGTCACATTAGGTGTCTCTTCAATCTCGCATTCAAACTTCACTGGGCTGCCGACGTTGCTCTCCATGTCATAAAACTTCTTCTTGAAAACTGGAGGCACTGAAATTTGCAAGGAAATAAAATACAAAAAATGAATACATTGACAATAATAGGACTACTGAGTTGTGTGATATATCAGGATGCATAAGAAATGGAAAGGTAGGAATGATGGTAATCCTGGGATGACATGGAAAAAATAATGATGTGAACGTTAGAAAATAGGTGATGAAGAGCCACACATGACATGGCCATGCTTGAAGAACTCAGAAGATGAAAAATGTGCCATTATATTGAAAGAGGGTGAAAAGATATTTAGCACACATAATGTATGCTTAAAAATGATTCTTAAAGAAATGGTGAAGTAATGGAAAGATGATGTAGCGGTGCCAGCTAGTTAATTAGTGATGATCTGAGTTGAATTGTTAAGAATTATCTCTCATCTAAGATGACAAAATCCACACAATCCAACCTCTTGAGACAACAGTGAGCCTTGATGACGATGATGATATCTTGCCAGCTTCACTCACAGCTTCACAGGTATATTCCCCTTCATGTTTCACCTTGATAACTTTGTTGATTACTAGTGTGTAAGAATCACTGTCCCTTAAACATCTGAACTCTTTGCCAGGTTTGATCGATACTCCATTCAAAAGCCAGTTTACACTTTTTACACCTTTTATTCTCACAGACAATGTAACTTTGGAATTCTCTTCAGCAGTAATGTCTTTTAATAGTATTTCAAAAAGGAGCTCTTCAGTCAAATGCTTAATTAAAATGTCCTCTGTTACAACCTCCTCTCTTTTGTCTGCTTGAATAAGAACATCCATAGACTCTTCCACAGTGATCTGTCTCGGAGGTGCATCAACTGTAATATCTGAAACACACACCTCTCTCTTATAATGTTCAGATGAAATGGATTTAATTTCCCTACGTTCGGTCTCACTGAAACTGTGGATCTCCATTTTGGATTCTGCAGCCTTCTGGGTCACATGGTGCTCTGACTCCTGGATAGCAGTTTGCCTTTGAGTCATTTCAGAATGCAAAAAGACTTGAGCTTCTGTTTGCAGAGCTGCAGACTGCTTTTTAGGTGTTGTAAACATTTCAACATTTTCTGTTAAAATTGCTGAGGATAATGGATATGAAGAAGCTTTGCTATCCAGCGATCTCTCAGGTCTGTCAAGTTTTAAGATGTTTGACTGTTCAGAGCTCAAGACGAGTTTCTCAAGATTAAGCATAGAGTAGAAAGCAGCAGGAAGTTCGTCTTTAAGAGCCGCTCTCTGAGGGTATACACCCTCGAAGACAATTGTAATTTCTATAGGTGGACCAGCTGTTGTAATAAGGTAAGTGAACAGCATGTAGTTTGGTTCCATACGCACATTGACCTCCTTTACTTCCACAACTTCTAAACTTTGCACTACATCTGCCAAAATCAAAGGCTGATCACAAGCCACAGCAGACTGAAGTGTCATTTTCAACTGTTGTTTGATATCCAAGCTGTGTGATTTTGGTACAGGAATTACAAAGGTAAGTTCCTTTGGAAGAGTTTTGCTTTCTTGTGATTCACTTACTAAAAGCGGTTCTAATGGCTGTGTTGTAATGTTTATTTTAGTCGCTTCTGATCTGGTAAATCCTTCAGACATTTCACCTGTCAGAGAATGTTTTTCCTCTATAAGTACTGACTGTCTTACAGACTGACCTTCTTGAATCTGAACTGCAAAGTCTTGCTCAGCAGCCTCAAGAGCAACACAACTTTCTGTTGATATGGATTTTTCCTCTACATGCAAATACTGAACAGGTACTTTAGGCTCTACATCTGTCTTACAAGTGAATTTCTCAACTGCTTTGAAACTGTCTGTGAGGCCCTCTTCTATAGAATGAGATTCAGACACTGACGCCGCATGCATGTTATTCCACCAGTCCTCTTTCTGCAAAATTGCACTTTGTGGCTTGACCTCACTTGCAATAGGGCTTTCCTTTGAAAGTGGAACATGCTGTGAGACTACCTGAAGAACACTCAAAGGTCTGGCTTCTGTTTTGAGCTCAATTTTAAGACCTTCTACTTTCACATCAAGACCTTCAACATAATCTGATGTTAGTTCTACTCGTTCTTCTTTAGTGGCTACAAATTTACGGTATTTTTCTTGTCTCTGGGTGGCTTTCTGTTCATCTGGTTTTTCAACTGAAACTAACCCTTCTTTACATAAAGAGGTTTTCGACTGCACCGAGTGGAGATGTAATTGGCCAGGAACCTCTAAACTAGGCTTTACAACCATTGTGGTATACTTGGATGCACACTGTGTTGCTTTTTCATCTAAAACTGTTTTCTGGTCATCAGAAGAAACTGTGTGTAAAATAACTGGCATTTTTCTGACATCTGCCAGCTCCAAATCTGGCTTCTCACAAGTAAATCTGACTTCAGACAGAAGAGTGTCTTGGTCACTGATAAGCTGTAAATTAAGCACCTGATCCTTTTCCTTCTGGGAATGGACTGAAAAAGGATGCTCCAGGACAGGTATTCCAGTGGTTTTGTCAGCTTGAAGCTTGTTCTTTTCTTCAGTAACTAGGGCTGATTTTAATATTGGATCTTTAGAGAGCTGAGCAGTTTCCTCAACTGGTCTATGCATTCCAAGGGGTTTTTCTTTTAAAAGAGTGTGCTCAGTTTCACAAACTGACGTAAGCACTGGTTTGGCTCGTTCCTCTTCTGCTAAACATTCAATGGACTCAATAGTTGCTAGCTCTGAAGCATGACATTCTGTAAGTGCTACATTCTCTGATGATGTTGCAGTATACAATAACTTAACCCCTTCGGTAACTTTGTAGCTTTTCACCTCTTCAGGGCTTTTAATTGTTGTGCATTCCTCTCGTAGAATTGGCAGCTTCATTTCAACTTGATGACCACTAACAATAACCTTTGGTGTTAAAGTTGTGTGCATCTTTTCTGTTTCACTTTTTATCAAATCCTCAGCTTTCACTATGCTAAGAGGTATAGTACTTTCTGAAATGGCAGACATAAGTTTGGAGGGCACCTCAAAACTCAATTCAAGCTCTCTGACTTCTGGACTAACAATTTGATCACAGTGCTGCTCACTAAAGCCTTGATTTTCTTGTACAGTAGAGATCATTGCAGCCATATGCTGCTGTTTCAGAGGAGTTGCCACCACTGGGTTTGCCTGGGCAGGGGCAACTTTTACTGTCTCCTGCACATCATGGGACTGCAATAATGCAGCTTGGTGAGTTACCTGCTCCATTTGAACAGTGGCAGTAGATACATCTAAAACATGCAAAGTATCTATCTGCTCACTTGTAACAGTTTGTCTGTCTTTTGTGGCAATGGTGCAAGCCATCTGGTGTCCCTGCTGAAGGCTAGTTCTTACTTGTTCCGGAAGGCTGACACTATGTGACTCGGTGGCTTCAGATGCTGAAACAGTCCTCAAGAATACAATGAGTTCTGCGCTGCAAGAGGTTTCTCCAAAAGGATTAGATGCCTTACAAGAGTAAAGACTACTGTCGCTTTGTTGAATGCCCAATATCTTTAAATATCCAGACCCATCTTTGTTGTTCACAATGATGCAGTATTTGCTAGGCTGCAGATGATTGCTACCTCTGTACCACTGAACAACAGGAAGTGGAACTCCTGTTACAGTGTATTCAAGGAGAGCATGGCTCCCAACTTCGCACTGCACAGGCTCAATTGCTTTGACAAAATATGGAGGCTGCCCAATGGTCTCTTCTTGTTTCTTTGTGTCCTTCACCTTAACATGAAGATAGGAAGTACATGTTGACTTGCCAAATCGGTTGCTCGCTGTGCAAGAATACTCTCCCTCCAACTCTTTGGTAATTTTAGTTATGACAAGAGTGTGTTCTTCCTTCTCTTGTACTAATGTATAAAAAGATGAGGACTTTAATAATTGGTCATTGTGGTACCACTGAATAACTGGCTTAGGAAATCCAGACACAATCACAGTAAACTTAGCTGTGTTTCCAACAGTTGCAATTGCTGATGAGAATTTGGTTACAAAAACTGGCTTTTCTGGCTTTTTCACTAATGATTCTGAAAGTAATTTAGACTCTGGCTGGAGTTCAAACGTTTTTCTTTTTTCTTTTAAATGAAGACTTGTTGCGCAAGAGTCCTCTTCAGTTGATATAGTCGAGGTAGAAAACACTGAATAAAAAATGATAATGGTATTTGTCATAATAGATATCATAATATCTACAAAATACATAAATAAAACACTGAAGGGAAAAAACAGCAGATTCATTATAAATGTTAAATTTACATTTAAAAAAAAGATTTACAAAATTATATAGAGCAAAAATAAATAAAAGCCTCACAACAAAATTAAATGAAGTAAACAAAAGATAACAAGTCACCATAATTTGTATTTATTCATTTACCTTTTGCTTCTTCTTTATAACTGGCCTCCTCATCCACTTTAGACACTGTGAAAACACAAACAAATATTACATATGTGACAGCAAAGTTTCTGTGCAGTGTTTTAGTGTCTGTGTTTTCTTATTATTAAAAAAACAAACATTTTCTCCTTCAAACATAATGAAAATGGACCACATCTCCCTTGTATAACACCCATGACAGGTGTCCACTGCAGTATCTGTCAGACTCCTTTAGAAACAACATTTGCATGTTGTGATTTTTTTTCCCTTTTTTTAAGACATGTCACATTCTCTTTTTTCTGTCTTTCTACTTATAAGAGTGGACATATGAGTAAATAAAAAGTGTGCCCAGGGCTAACATAAAAGGTGGTAAAGACCAAAGCATGCAAATGCCAACCTGTCTTCACTCTGAGATGAGTGCTGCATGTTTTGTCTCCTGCAGCATTGATAACTTTGCAAGAATGTGTGCCCCCTTGCTCAGAACCGATATTCTTTACATTTAAGTAGCACAAGGGCCCATCATGTTTCAAGGAGTATGACCTTGGCTCTTCAACATTCAACTGGTTGTGTAGCCATACAACGAATGGAGAGGGGCTTCCTTTGATTACATTATAAAGAGAAACACTCTCCCTTTGTTTGGCAAGGAATTCTGGGGACAGTTTCACAAGGAACTCTGGCTGAATTGCATCATATATGTCACGCTCCAACAAAGGGATAACATCAGGATTGTAATGTCGGTTTATCTGCCACTTTGTTGTCAGGGCTCCAACATTCTGCAGGGACTCCTGATTTTCTTGGTCAGTGGCCTTTTTACTTGACTCATTTTCAGTTTTAGAAGATTTACTGATAGAATCGGAGGGTATGGGGGTTTCTTTGGGGTTCGCTTCTTTAGCTAAATGAGAATAAAGTTAGGGAAATTATTAGGGATTATTCAGTAATTCAGCAAGATATTTTAGCATTGATAAGAACAAAAAAGGTTAGTAAGATGGAGGATGATGTTAGGCCAGGCATGTGAAGGATCAAAATATTTAAAGTATTAAAATAGATTACGTGGGATATTACATTGTAAATTCAATTAAAAATTAAAGTTGGTTATAGCCACATGAAACATATTATAGATTAACAAAACACCAGCAGGAAGCAGATGAGAGGAAATGAGCATCAAAGACAAAAAAACTATAACCACCTTCGACTGTGAGCTGTGCAGACGTTCGATTCTCGCCATTTCTATTTTTAACAGTACAGCAGTAATGTCCCTGGTCCCCAAGATGGACATTGAGTATCATGAGAGAAATGAGCTTGCCTTGATGTACACACTGCACCCTTTCTGTATTTGTGATTGTCCTTCCGTTATGATCCCATACAATTTCAGTAAATGGCTGTCCACTGAAGGAACAGTTGAACTGAGCCACATCACCCAGGCCGACAATTACATCACTCATTTTCTGAGTCAAAACGGGGCTTGTAGAATATTCTTCCACAGAGGTAACTTGTTGGACCTCTATGCTTTTAACAGATGTTGTGGACATCATCACCGTAGAGATGCTTTCAAAAGTTTGCATAGTGGAACAATGAGTCTCACTCATGGTCTGGGAGGTGACCATCTCCGAATGAGTCATTCCGGTGCTCGAAACACTTTGCCTACCTACTGTTCTCACACTGAGATCTGAGCGATAAAAAGAATAACATTAGACATTTGAAAATGTCAAATTGCCATTTAAAGTTTAAAAATAATAGATCATCATCACTGTAGGGTAAAGGTAGTGAGAGATGGCAGAGTTCCATAGATGAGTTCTCAAAATCTATGAGGATGATGACAAGCAAAAATGTGCTGTTTTTTTTTTGAAAAAAAAAACTATTCATTGAAAATAAAGTTATTAATGGTCTGTGGTTAGGTTTCTTAATAATGAGAAAGAGGTGATGCAATTTGTATCTTTTAATGTTTCTTCTATATTGTGCCTGATGGATCAATGAATTTAGTAGGAAAACAGTGCTTTTCACATGCACAGTAAAGAATAATGGGGCCTGGTCTTGGTAAGGTCATAGAAATCCATTATGCCAAGATTGTTCAGTGTATTTAAAGTTAATGATCTGACCATCATGCATGACATTTAAAACCTGTATTAAGCAATGGAGCATGCTAAAAAAGACAAACCAAAAACAAAGGTCAGGTTGCTCAACAAGAAAAGGATGGCATAGTCTTGAGAGAAGACAAGGAACCTAAAAAGTTTGCACATACCATTGACCGTCAAAACGGCAGAGCAAGAGACCATTCCTCCAGAATTGCGTGCAACACATGTGTATTCTCCTGCATCTGGAGCATATGCTCTGGAGATCTCGAGCTGACAGATATCATCAAACTGAGACACTATGAAGTTGTCAGACTTCACAATTTCCTTATCTCTACAGTACCAGGTAATCTTCAGATCTGCACACATCAAATGCATGCTTGTTAACTCCACAAAGGAAATTATATATGCTTATTAAAAATGTAAAACATATTCTATGTTCCACAATTGTTTAATGCACAGGGTTGATCCTTACCATCTCCAGCGACACGGCACTGGAATCTGGCTGATTCTCCCTCTTCAGCAGAGGTACCTTGCAGCGAGGTAATAATTACCGGTGGAGACAATGGGGCCACAGTCTCTGGAGAAACCACTTCTGAAACTGTTCACAGAAGTTATGTTCGTGTTAAAAATATTGGTTATATGAAAGAGTTTTAAACCAGTATCTAATATTGGTTTTAAACAACAGTCTCAAAATAAGCTTACCTTCCACATTAAGGGATGCAGAACTTGTGGCTACTCCATAGTCATTCTTAGCTTCACAGTTGTACTGAGCTGCATCCTCTGGGAAGACTTCAATGAGCAACAATGTGTGCTCATTTCCCTCCCTCAGGAACTTACACTTGAACCCAGAAGACAGGGCCTGAGAGTTCTTATACCAGGACACCTGAGGCTGAGGAATTCCTGTCACCTCCACAGAGAAGCGTGCAGGTTTGCCAGCCTCAACAGACAGGGGCTGCATGTGCCTGATGATCTGAGGAGGCTCAGGGACTGAATTAAATCAAGACACATGTTAGACCAAGACAATCAGCTTCACAAATCACACTTTAATGTAGTGGTTCAATGCACTTGGAATATACTGGTATGCAATGGACAGAAAGAGTTGAAGACATATATTCCGATTAAGAGTTTGCGTATACCCACTACCGTCCAATAGTTTGGGTCACAATGCATTAAATTGATGAAAAGTGACAGTAAAGACTTTTCCATTGTTACAAAAAAAAATCTATTTCAGATGTTTATTACCAAAAAAGCCAGAAAAAAAAACACATTAGCCTACATAAAGGTTATAAATTGATAAGCATTTGATCGATTACAAAAAGGGTTACATCTGAATATTTTCTGTAAAAAGCTAGGATATGTTACAGTATGTTCACGCTATCATTCATCCAAGGGCGATAAAACGCAAAAATAAGAACTTGACAAATCTGAACTGGCGCACGTCTGTGAATCTAGTGTCTGTGTGACAGACACACACACACGGACAGCGCGCTGCCACATTGAGTTCTATTTCGCGCTTGAACGGGCAAAACCCATAGACTGTCAAAAAAGAAAAAAACAACAAAACACGCACAAAAGTAAGCCAAAAATCCGCTTTGTCGAGTGTCCTCATATGCACAGTCTTACATAGGTTAAATAAAGTCTTAAATGGCCATAACAAGTTGTGAGGACATCGGAGGTGTGTCAGACTCAGATCCGCGTGATGTGCGGCAGTTCTTAAAGAAGCCATTCATGTTATAATCAAAGAACAAGACAAAGAGAAAATCCCTCACTGCTCTTGACTGAACTTTTGTAGCATTAATAAGGATTATTCTGTATTTAATTTATACTTTATGCAGTGAAGACTGTGAAGTGTTTGGTCAATTTATTCAATTTCTGTATATTTCCTACCTGTTAAAATATTTTTATATATATAGGCTACAGTCTTTATGTTGTTTCTACATTAATTTGGAGATTAAATATAAACATATATTAAAATGTTTGCCAACTATTAAAATACTATAGAATATTTCTTGATATGAACAATCTCAACGTAAAAAGAGGTGCCAAAGTCTGATTTTGTGGTGGCTGTGCTTTAAAATTAAATTATTATAATCTTAATTCAAGTGATGAAGGATTTTGAAAGACTGACAATACTCATTATTGAGCTACTATTGTAAGTTTAACCCTGCCTGGTTTAAATGTTTGAAAATGATTAACAGTTGAAAACATTCATTAGAAATTTAGAAAAGTAATCAAATGTAATCAGTTACATTATTTTAATAAAGTAATTGAAATAGTTACACTACTATTACATTTTAAACAGGGTAAATTGTAATCTGTAACCTATTACATTTCCAAAGTAACCTTCCCAAGTAAACAAAAAGTGGCTCAAGAAGAAGCCCATTAGGGTCATGGAGCCTAAAAAGAGTAACCCTTTAACCCTTGACGCACAACGTAATGACGAACGCGGTTGGCCAGCCCTGTTTGTTTGAACCGCGAGAGGCGTCAAAGCTTACACTACTCCTACGTCATACATCGTCACCGTGAAGTGTTACTCTTTTGGCGTAAGTCGACTTGCGTACGGCCGTCTGCCAGAAGCTAGTTATTTTAGTCGATAAAGTTTTAAATATGGATAATTTTCTTACACGAACGCATTGCTTCACTTTAGAAAACCTTTATTAACCCCCCAGAGCCATTTCGAGCACTTCTATCACGGATGGATGCGCTTTGATGGACTTCCAAAAAAATATACCCATTGACTCCCATTATAAAACTTGGTTTCTCCATCAAGTACTAAGTCATGTTTTGCTTGGGGATCAAATACTTATTTCAACTTACTGAAATGCAAATAAATGTATAACCTTTATATAATGGGGTTTTTTTCCTGGATTTTTTGGTTGATATTCTGTATCTATCTGTTAAAATAAACCTACCATAAAAAATGATAGACCCTTAATTTCTTTGTAAGTGGACAAACTTACAAATATACACTACCGTTCAAAAGTTTGGGGTCAGTGAGAATTTTATTTTTATTTTTTGGAGGAAAGAAATCAATACTTTTATTTATCAAGGAATAATTAATTTGATCGAAAGTGACAGTAAAGACATTTATAATGTTACAAAAGTCTTTTGAACTTCCTATTCATCAAAGAATCCTAAAAAAAAAAAAAACTGTACAACTGACAGACCAACAACTGTTTCAACATTGATAATAATAATAAATGTTTCTTGAGCATCAAATCCTCATATTATACTGATTTGTGAAGGATCATTTGACACTGAAGACACTGACACTGGTGATGCTGAAAATTCAGCTTTGATCACAGGAATAAATTACACTTTACTATATATTCACACAGAAAACAGCTGATTTACACTGGAATAATATTTAATACTATAACTGATTTTTGTTGTATTTTTTATCAAATAAGCGCAGCCATGGTTAGCAGAAGAGAATTCTTTTAAAAGTATTTAAAATCGTACCGACCCCAAACTTTTGAACGGTAGTGTATATATGTTTTCAACTGTGATAATAATAATAATAAGAAATGTTAAATGTAATAACTATGTGACGGAAGACTGGAGTAATGGCTGCTGAAAATTCAGCTTTGCCATCACAGGAATACATTACATTTTACAATATATTAAGATATAAAATATGTTAAGAAAACGTATAACTTAAATTGTAATAAAATTTCACAATATCACTGTTTTACTGTATTTTTAATCAAATAAATGCAACTTGGTCGGCAAAAGACACTTATTTAAAAATAATTTATAGAATCTTACCAACCTCAAACTTTTGAATGGCAGTGTAAAATTTGTAAGCAAAATAAACTGAACATTTATTTAAATATATTTATAGATATCGGAACTGTACACTCACTCTGGACATGTAGATTGACTGTGCTCCTGTTCTTTCCTGCTATAAATGTATATTCTCCAGCATCACTTCTGTAAGTCTCAGTGATTGTCAAGCGATGTGTCTTTCTAACTGTCACATAGTTAAAGCGCTCCTCAAAAGATTGAATTTCAACACCATTTTTCAGCCAGCGACCTTCAATTTCATCCTCATTAACTTCAAACTCAAATGTAGCCCTCTGTTTCTCAACCACCTGAAAAGCATGAAAAAGAGTAAAAAAAGTGATCTCACCATGACACACAGGTAATGTTTTAGCATGTGACTGTAATAAGACAAAAGATAGTTACAGTGATGTCCTTCTCAGCAGGCTCAGAGATGCGGACATCCTTGCCCTCCACTATGAGGTTTGCCTTGGAAACACTTGCACCAGCAACCACAGAGAACTCTCCGGCATCAGACATGCGAACTGACTGGATCATCAAACGCTGCAGGAATTTGTCAGTGGTGGCTTTGAACCTAAAACAACGAGGAAGTTACATATTATGGACACAGTAGAGATCTTTAGGCTGCAAAAAATAAAAAATAAATTGTTGTCTTGTTTGGGCATAAAAAATATTTAAACATCCTTAGAACAAGAAAAAGGTACTTAAGAAGCAAAAGTGCATAATATATTTAGACTTGTATTATTATACATCCTTTGTTTTAAGCATTAATCTATCAAAAAGAAATTATATTTATTATGTACAAAAGTCTTAATGTCTTACACAGATATAATATGATTAATGATATTAAGAAATGTTTTTGTTTTGACACTGTTGTTTTTTTATTGTTTTTGTAGTTGATTTATCTGTAGTGTAAATTGCATTAAAACTGAAGCCATACCTGTCAGACAACTCAAACTCCTGCCCATCCTTCATCCACATCACAGGGATGTTGGGTTCAGAGAGCTCACATTCAAATATAGTCTTCTTCTTCTCAGTTACCTTTATATCTTTAATGTGCTTGGTGAATTCAATCACACGAGCTGGAGAACACAGATTTTTGTTAGCCAATCTACTAGATTAAATAAAGGCAGCTGTCAATAGAAAAACAAAACTAACCATCAACAAAGAGTTTTGCAGATGTTTCAGCAGATCCAGCCACAAACTTGTACTCTCCACCATCCCCGAAGTGAACATTTCGGATAGTGAGAGAGTGGGTGAACTGTTTGCAGCGAGTTTGGCATCTATCACTGGATCTTATTTCTACTTCATTCTTCAGCCATTTGTAGGTGATGCCTTCATAGTTGACGGTCACCTCAAATGTAACAGTGTCTTTTTCTTTAGCATTGATGTCCTGAAGCATGGATGTGATCAGAATTGCTGAAAGATTTGAAATTGCATTTGTGAATATGGTGTTTATAGTAACTTTATATTTATTTTAAGTTTAAAGACAGCATACAAATTACTCACGTTTTACAGTCAGGGTAGCAGAGACTTTGTCATTTCCACACACAAATGTGTATTCTGAAATGTCCTCCTGGCTGGCATTCATGACTTTCAGCTGATGAAGTTTGCCCTGCACCACAAGTCCAAACTTCTCGCTCATCTCAATCTCAACTCCATTTTTCAGCCAGGTGGATGGAACATTGAAATGTGAAACTTCACACTCGAACGTGGCCACATGGGTTTCTGGAACCTCAATGTTCTTCAGAGGTTTTGTGACTCTCAAATCTGAATATACGCAATATATGAAAGTTAAAATATATTTAGAATGCCAAATCTGCACATTTAAGGTGAACACTATTGAAAAAAAAGTTTCAGATACTTACATTCAACATGAAGATGAGCACTGCAGTGCAGATGCCCGACCACAGCAATGTATTCTCCTGCCAAGTGACCTTCAACACTCTGAATGACAAGTTTGTGGGCTTTCCGCTCAGACAGTATTTGAATATTTGAAGTCGGCTCGAGCTCCTGGTTGTTGAACATCCACTTAACTGGAATGTCATCATGGGACAAACTCAGCTCAAATGAGGCAGTTGCCCCCAGCAGTGATGTCACATCCTTTGGTTTTTTCACAATTTTGATAGCTACAAAAGATATTTAAAGGTATTGAAATGCATCTAATAACAGCAGACAGATTTAAATAACTGTATACTTGACAGATAATTAAAAACATAAAAACATACTTTCAACATTTAGTCTGGCATTAGCAGACAGTTTTCCAAGTTTGAAACCATAGACTGATTCATCTTGGGAGTTGCAGTTCTTGATTTTCAAGGTGTGAACCATGCCATCAACTGTTATCTCAAATTTATCACTTGGATGAATCTCAACACCATTCTTGATCCACTGGGATCCTTTCACATCTAAATGGGTGAGTTCAAGACTGAATACTGCCTCCTGGGTCTCAGTAACGGTTTGGTTCTTCATTGTCTTCCTGATTTTAACAGCTTGGATAAAAAAAAGTAAGAAAATACATATAAATAACTTCTAACAGATGGGATAACATAATTTGCAGTAAACTAATCTAGCAACACAAAATTTACCTTCAACCTTCAAGTTGCCAGATGTCTTGGAGTTTGCCACCTGGTAGGTGTACTCTCCAACATCCTGTGGCCTGGTGATGCCGATGACAAGGCGTCTAACAGCGCCGTTATTTTCACTTATGATATTATCGCTGAAGTCAACAGGGTGGCCATCTTTGAGCCATTTGCCTTCTGTAGTAGGGTTAGCAACTTCACACTCCAGCTCAGCAGTTTGGGATTCTGCTACAGTCACATCATGGAGTGGCCTGTTTATAGCACCACCTAGTGGAGAAATAAAAAGAATGCAACAACTCAGACACATGACATGATTCCCACGTTGTGCATGGCAAAACAGTAGGTACTTATATTTTAAAAACAATTTGAATGTCTACGTACCTGATACAATAAGCCTTGCTCTAGATTCCTTCTCACCAGCCATAAACATGTACTCTCCTTCCTCATCCTTCATGGCATTCAAAACAGTGAGGCTATAGTGTGTACCTTTGCCCTCAATCTTGTACTTTGGACCTGCTTTTAAAGGTTGACCCTTGAAAGTCCAGAGAGCATCAATGCCAGGATGAGATACCTCCACTTTAAAGGTGACATTCTGGGTCTCTGTGCAAACGCAGTCCTCCATGTGCTTAACAATAGATACAGCTATAAAACACAATGAACAATGCCATCATTATCGACTCTTTTAAAACAATTAAAACAGGAAAGAAATATATTGGAACAATTTTGAGTGACACTCACGCTGGATAGAAAGTTTACAGGTTGAGTCTACTTTGCCAGCAATCAGTTTATATTGTCCTTCATCTGATGCATAGGTCCTGTTAATTGCCAGTCTCTGTTTGGATCCTTTGACAACCATCTGGACTCTATCACTTGCTGTCACCAGCTTGTCATTTTGGAACCATTTTACTGAAGTTATATCAGGAGCCGAGATTTTAGCCTCAAGGACAGCTTTAGTGCCTTCTACTGTGGAAACGTCTTTTAATGGTGTCAAGAAGCCAATAGCTGGAAAAGAAACAAAATGATTAATAAAACAGCCTCTTTCCTCATGAAAATAGATTCAATATTTGAGAACTCATTGGACATTAATTTATGGTTTATGGTTAATGACTTACTTTGAACTGTTAGCTTTCCCTTTGTAGAAATGTCCTGAACAGGAACAACAAAGGAGTACATTCCTGCATCACCCTTACTGGCGTCCTCAATGAGAAGCTTATGGGTGACTTTGTCAATGACCATGTGAATCTTATTGGAAGCAGAGATGGCTTGACCATTCATCATCCATGAGCCCTCCACATTCTCCTGAGAGAATCGCACCTCAAGTTGGGCAATATCACCCTCACAGATTGTCAGGTCAGAAAGACCTTGCATCAGAGTCACAGGACGCACTAGAGTGAACCAGAAATAGTTAAATATGATTTAAATGACTTTTAATTATAGCAGACAACTAAAATGAATTTTAATAGAAAAGTCCACAGCTTATAAAAAGCACTTTTAAATAATTTAATCCTAGTTCACTCATTCTCACCTGTCATCTTAAGGGAGGCACTTGTCTTAAGATCTCCCACTTTGAAAGTGTATTTTCCTTGGTCCTGCTTCTTAACATCTTTCACAGAAAGACTATGACGACCACGACGTGCAGACACAACATATTTAAGGCTAGGAGTGATTTCTTTGTTCTCAAAATACCAGGTGCCTTCAGCATCCTCACGGGACAAGATACACTCAAACTCTCCAGAGTATGTCTCAGGTACTTCTGTATTCTCAAGGTTCTTTACAATTCCAAGTGGTGCACCTGTGTAAGACATCAAATTGTACATTTCACCAAATAATTAAATGCTCAAAACTATTAAACACAGTTGGATGAGAAGATAAAACTGTTACAAGTGTTGTACTAACCTTCAACATAAAGTGAGGCGCTGGTTCTTATGTGGTCATCGTCAACAACCACACAACTGTACTCGGCTTCGTCCTTCATAGAAATAATCAGCACTGACAGGAAGTGCACCTTTCTGTCAGAGTGCATTCTGTATTTGTCACCTGAGAAAATTTCTGCATTGTTCTTCATCCACTTGACCTTAACAAATGGCTCATTCGTCTCACATTCAAAGGTCATCATGGTGTCCTTTTCTTTAGCATTCTGATCTTCTAGAAGTTGTGTAAAAGAGACAACTTGTTTGCCTGAAAGAAAAGTGAAAAAACAATGACTCGAGATAACTTTTACCATTTATGGTACTGATAATATGCAAACAGCAACTAGTAGGATTTTATTTTTACCTTGAACCAGCAGGAAAGCATGGCTTGAGGTCTCTCCAGCAATGTTCATGGCTTTGACCATTACACTTGCTGAGTCCTCAGCTAAGACATTTTTTATCACTAATTCACACACATGGTCTTCTGGCCAATACCAGTAAACCCGGTCTGACTTCTCCAACAAGATACCATTCTTGAACCACTGACATTCTGGATCTGGTTTACCGGTGACTCTACAACGGAAGTGTACTTCATCTCCCAGGGCAACTGTCTGGCTCTGGATCCGTTCGATGATCTTTGGAGCCTCCATGCTTGGAGAGAGCACAATTTTATCTGGCTTGACTTTGGGAATGGTGAGTTTACCCTCCTCTTCTTTTTTCTTCTCAGCTTCAAGCCCTAGTTCTTTGTTGCGATGAAGAAGCTCTTCTTTCCTCTTCTTTAGCATACCCTCATAAGACTCATCCTTCTTGCGGGACTTCAGATCTACGGCAGTTATTGCTTCATAGTAGCCTTCCTGGGTCCTACGCTTGAATTTGCTTCTCAGTTCTTCTGTTTCTTCTGTTGATTTCTCATGGAACACTCTCTCGGTTTTCCTCAGCTTGACCACCTCCTTTGGTTCTTTAGAGGTTACAGATGGTTTCTCTGCTTTGACAACCTCAAATGAGACTCTACCATGCTCTTGTGATGGTGCAGGAGCAGGAGCCTTGATCTCAGGAGCACGGCGCAGGATTGACCTGAAGTCCTCCTTTTGCTGAATCTCAAATTTCACAAGATGCTCGGTAACACCTTCAGGGTTTTCAGCCACAACTTTGACATCACCTGAATCATATGACTTGGTGTCTACGATTTCCAAGTAGTGAATACCATCAAACTGAATTCTAAATCTTTTACTCTTGCGGATGAGCAGTCCATTGAGGTACCAGTTGACTTTTGGGGTAGGGTAGCCTGTCACCCTACAGCGGAATTTGGCTGATTCTCCCTCCATAACTCTTACTGGCTCTGGAAGTAGCACAATCTCTGGCTTAGTCTTCTCAAAGTTATCATCTCCACTAACTCCAGAGGGGCCACCCTCATGGGCAATACGCTCTATTTCATCTATTATTTGACCTCGCCTTCCCTCTGGCAACTGTGTTTCCTCAACAAGGCTTTTCTCATCTTTAACAATTAGTGTAGCAGATGTCTGGTCAACTCCAAACTTGTTGGTGGCTCTGCATGTAATGACACCACTATCTCTGGAATAAGCAGCTTCATAGTCAAGACTGCAGTAGCCAAACTCATTGACCATGCGTAGTCTGTTAGCAGCTTCCAATGGTTTGCCATCATGCAGCCACTCAACATTCATGGTCGGGTCACCAATAGGGGTCAGTCTGCACTCAAAGTGTGCAGGTCCAAATCGCTTCAGCCTGACTGAGGTAAGCTTCTTTTTGAAGTGAGGCTTCTGTTGCTTCTCCTTATCATAGAGGTCACCATCTTCCCATTGTTCCTGACCATAGCGAAGATGCAGTGGCTCTAACTCTGGTGCAGCAATTTCTTTGGCCTTGTAGGTTCCCTTGGGAATTACAAGCTTTTTCTCAGGCTGAGGCCGTACTGCATCCACCTCAATATTAACTCTGCAACGTGTGGTATCTCTGCCAGCTTTGTTGATAGCTGTAGCAGTGTACCATGCGCTATCAGATCCTGTACTTGATGGAATCTTGAAATGAGCTTCTCCTTTACCCCCCTCAATCCTAATAAACAAATAAATTCAGTTAACTGAAATATAGAAATGCTTTATATATATATATATACACACACATACACATCATCACAGGGACCAACATTATGATCATTTACTTGAATTTACTTAAACCAATAGGCTATATTTTCATGACTGAAAACTTACCTGATATGTGGGTGTTTATGTGGGGAGATTATGTCACTGTTCTTCAGCCAAACAATGTCAGGAAGGGGGTTGCCAATAGCTTTAACAGCTAGCTCAACCAAAGTACCCTCTTTAACGCTGATGTTTCTTAGCTTCTCAACAAACTGTGGTCTCACCAAGTTTTCCTTGGCTGAAAATGATAACAATGTAAACCGAATATTTCATTACAAATAATTAATGCAGTTGGCCTGAAGTCATACAGAAAGTTATTTTATACATTAATTATTAGTGTATATAATGCCATACCTTCAACAGTGAGAGTCATAGATACAGTTGTTTTTCCAGCTCTGTTCTGAGCAATAACCGTCCACTCTCCAGAGTCCTGAGGCATGGCAGGAACCACAATCATTGATTGAGTTCCATCCTCCTTTACCACAATCTTGTGGGTGTAGTCATTGACTACCTGTTGTCCTGTAATGAAAAAAGTATAGATGTCATGGTATGGTAATAAAATAATTGTCACTGTTATAAAATCTCCAGTGGATGCAGATCACTAACCATTGTGGAACCAGTAAGTTTCAGGCATGGGTCTTCCAACAACTTTCAGATCAAATCTTGCAGTCTGTCCCTCAGAGCACTTAAAGGAAGAGGGCTTCTGTACAAACACAGGCTTGTAGAGTCTTTCTAGCTGGGCCTCATCTGTCTCATCAAGTCTTCGGGAAGGTGATCGACCTGGAGAACGACTTGTGGAGCGTGGTGATGTGGACCTGAAAATTGCAATATTTTTAATATCTCAATCCAATAACAATTTTATTATAATATCATGTAATTTGCTATGGCGATATTACAAACTATGTAAATTTCTTAGATTGATTAGTCAAAACCTACCTAATTCTTTGAACTCCTCCTGGCTGAGGAAGCGTTGTTTGTGTTACACCAGTTGGCTCCACATACATCTTTCCAGAGCTGACAGCATTACCCTTTATGTTACTGATCAAAGCAGTGTAGACACCCTCATCTTCTGCCAGCACCGTAGGAAGACGTAGACTGGCTCTACCATCCAGCAGAACCTCTATCTGATAACGGCCTCCATGTATGATGCGCTTGCCATCTTTGTACCAGGTTATCTATAGTTCAAATAATAATTAAAAAATCCGGTCCTCTAATTTGATTGGACAAGCACTGAAGATTTTCAGTACAATAGTGCTTGTTTGTAATTGTTTAAAAAAATCATACTAGCTTAGTTGATTGAATGTTGAATGTATGTAAACATAACGATTTAATCTTACCTTAGGGAGAGGGGTTCCTGTCATTCTGCAATGGAAAGTTGCACTCATTCCCTCCCTGAGTCTGTAACTTTTAACTGGAGTATTAAAGACAGGAGAAATAGCATCATGTTCAGAAACACTCATATCCAACTGCTCCCCATCCTCAGTCACCAACTCCTGGTAGGTAATCTTGAGTAGGTGGAACTCAATTTCTTGGATGAATCTCTGCTCCAAGTTAGATATTTGGAACTCCTGTAAAATATCATTGTAAGGTTCATACTCACACTTTGTAAATTCAGAAGTTGATTTTTAGGATTTATAATGTTAAAATAGTATTTAAAAACAAATCGTTTCATACCTGCTCTGAAATGAAGGACTGCATCATCTGGGTTTGTTGAGCCATCCTCCTTTGTATGAGCATCTGCTCTTTCTCAGTTACAGTCTCAACAACAGCAGGTATGTCAGCCACTTTTGGCTCCTCTATAATAGTAGTTACTTCTGTCTTGAATGTCTCTTCTTGTTTCTTCACATACAGCTCATATGCCTCTGTAAAATGCCAAAAAACACTATAAACAATTGATCTGAAATGCTATTGCAATTTATAATATAGTCACCCCAAAAACCAACCTTCATCAAGCAGCATGGCTGATGCAGAGATCTCTCCAAGTGGGTTCCTAGCAAAGATGGTGTACTCTCCTGCATCATCAGCAAATGTCATGGAGATCTCAAGCTTGCATGCTCCTGTGTCCTTATTATAGGCTACTCTGTACCTAGAGGATATATGAGTTTGAGTTTATTTCCTATTAATATATTTGCATCATAGTTCACATGAAACTGAACTCAAGCAGAAGACAATACATAAAAAGACTTTGAAAACTAAGTCGCAATAGACATAAAACCAGCACAAAAAAAAATAATTTGCTAATTCATTATTAACCAGTCTAAATACTTTTTATTCACATAAATGAAAAAGTATGGCAATATATTACAAACAATTCAGATCAGAACGTGTATATTTGTACAGTATAAAACATACCTGTATCCAGTAGTAAGTGGAATTCCACTTTTCTTCCAGTAAATATGAGGCTTGGGGCTTCCTCCAACCTGGCAATCAAAGATTATGCTGTCGCCCTCCACAAGCTTCTGCACTGTGGGTTTCTTCACAAAGAAAGGGGCAACACCTGCTCCAGCTTCCATATGCTCAGAGACTGCACTTATTTCAGACATTGTCTCCTCTTTTGCTTCAACTGTAACCCTGTTTGTGAAACACCAAGGACTCAGATTGCAAATTCTTATATTATTTAATATAGTTTTATACCACAAAGGATTCTATCAACTCACTGTCTTTCCTGAGCAGACATTTCAATGTGTTCAGCAACAGTAGAGAAATCCTCCCGGCTTTCAATGTCTTCTGAGACTGAAAATGAAAAATGAACTCTAAAAATTAGTCTGTAATCGCACAGATCATTTTGTTTCAAGCCAAGTCATATTTAGTGGTCAATTTCATGATTCATGATCTTACCTTTGACAAGCAGGTAGCAGGAGGTGCTGATAGTTCCAGCCTCACTGGTAGCAGTGCAAGTGAAGCGGCCACTGTCTTCAGCAAAGGCCTCACGGATCACCAAGCGGGCATAGCTGCTTTCATAAGTGATCTGGAAGTCAATGGAGTTCTCGATTCTGTAATCTTCTCTGAACCACATAATAGCTGGGGTGGGGTGGCCTGAAATCTGGCACTCCAGAGACACAGACTCTCCTTCGGTAACAGTCACATTCTTTAAACCCTGGGCAAAGTAAAAACAGAATTTCAAAATCTAAGTAAATAGTTGAACCTTGCAAGAGATCTTACCCTTTTTAAAAATTAAGAAAATTAAATGTTCACTCTGTGTTGTACACTTTCATGTGTACATAAGTGCTCATTTACTCACAGCCACAATAGTTGGCGGCATCACTTGCTCTTTTGTTAGGGATGGGATTGCTGCAGTCTCAACAATCTAAATTGCAAAAAAGAAACAATAAAATGAAAATGTATTATTAAATAATTATTATTATTTTATAATCTTTCTGCTGCTTTTTCATGAGTGGTTGAGATGGAAAACCAAATACAAATCAGAAGATTGTAACAGTAAAATATAAATGGTTTGAGATCAATGATTAATGGGTAAAAGAGAAAAAATGGTAAAAGAGAGTAATTCCTCAGTGAAGCAAGTGAGATCTGTACAGGACTGGTTGTGTTCATAACGGTCAAAAGGCAGGGGGCGATATTGTAACTGGATTAATTCGAGATGATTTCAGTCAGATTAACAAAATGAATCTACACAACAAACCTGTGTGTCCCAAGTTACCACCACAAGATTGTGTGATGCCCCCTGTAAATAATTTTTTTTTTTTGCAGCTATCATAAACTGTATTATTATAACAAAATATAAATTCAACCTGAATTGCAATTAATTAAAATGTAGTATCTTACATAAGAGATATACTAATGATCAATGTGAGGTTGAATCCTAATATTAAAGTCAAAGAATATTTAGTTTGTTCACTGGTAAAATAGATTCATGGCAAGCAGTGTCCAATTCTTGGCACACTTTTTTTTTATCATTCTATTATAAGACCATCACATGGCACAAGCTATCTTTAGAGCTCAGCAACTGTGTACATCCATCACAGTCAGCTTATATACATAGCTTATAGCTTATAGCTTATAACTGTTTGGTCAAACGCTCAATTACATTTACCTACTATTGCCTTACTGACAAAGCAGGACATTTTAGTTATCTGATCCACATTTATGCACATATAGTTTGTGTTTATATTATATTTTTATATTTTACATTTTTGCTGGCTAAAAAGGTTGGTGCTATAATATATTTATTGAGGGATTCACTGTGCATGCTTACCTCTATTCAAGAGATTCAAAACAAAGATGATTAATAAATTGTTGTGAGTACTAAACCTTTTAAAAATACAACTGATCAACTTCTAGAAACAATTAGGCCTGTAGGCATATGCACTTTTCTCACTTTAAGAGCAAGAAGCAGAAAATATTGTGCACATAGAATGAACACAAACTTTGGCAATGGACAGACAAAAAACATTAGATTTACTATCTTTCTAATAAAAGTAATGTAATTTCAGTAATGTGGTTTAATAGTGTGGAGCAAATGTATTCAGATGGAAGAAAAACTTTATCAACATGTGTATGTCCAGTTGATATATATCAGTTAAATTACATTAAAACAGTTAAACTTCAAAATTGCAAGTTAGTAAGACTTGCTGGGCTAGTTTGCAAAATGAAGTGTGATTTTTTAAGGTGTGACAACTGAAAAATGGTGGGAAAACAATCACCCCTTCCCCCACTGCCTCTGAGGTAACAGTAGTCTGAATAATGTGTGTGGTCTCCTTTTCAACTCAGTCTGTTTGCAGTAGACAATGAATTATCTTAAATACCTCCAAATGACCTTTTGTCAGTTACCACACACATGTTGTTACACTTTTATTGTTTATTTCAAATGATATTTTAAGCACTTCTTTATTTTTCATTAAAATGTTTTGATTATTCATTACTTTAAAATAAATTCCAAGTAATGAAGAGTTTTTCTTTCATATTATCACAAAGACAGAATGTTACATTTTACCCACTAGAGGTCATAGTAGCAAAAATAGACCTACTTCTTTGACAGCGACTCCACTGGCTTGTTGCTGCATAGCAAAAGAACCTTCCCATTGCTGCTCCTTATGGACAAATGTGGAGGAGGTCTGAACATATGAAGCCCCAGTAGTCATGCTGGTATAGCTGGACTCTCCCACATAACCCTCCTGCTTCCAAGGAGGCAGAATATCTGCAGCCTGTGCGACTTGTTTGTGTATAGTCATTGGAGACTTCACTGGTCTGATAGGGGACACAGACAGTCTTGAAGGGGAAGCAGGCCTAAAATAAAACGAGAAAGAAAGATGTTTAATGTATCATAAAAATAAACAGAACACGGATTCATCTTTACACTTACATTTTCATAAGTGTGGGTGAGGGAACAAATGACTTTCCATTATATAGCAATCATTTTCACTATTGATTTTAGTTCAGTTATCTGCAATATGTGCACTCTAAAAAGGTGTTTGTAAAGGTATTTCTACTGAGTAGTAATGATGTTGAAAATATACTTCACCTGTGAGGTGTGTGAATGGGGGCTTTAACAGGCCTCACAGGAGAGGGTGACTGATGGCGCGTAGCTGCAACCTTTGACACCCCTGTTGGTGGGGTTGGGGACTTGGAAGTCGGCTTTGGAGGCACACGAGGTGGTGTCTTGTGAGCCAAATCACCATCCTCTATTTCCATTTCCATCATGGCTGTGGACTCAAAGGAGGCCTCCATTCTCTGTGAAGGACAAATAACACCGAGTTAACATGGTCTTTTGCTGTCAGCCTCATGTGTAATTTTGTCCAAATGTTAACTACCTTTTCAACTCTAGCCTGGCGAGTCTGTGAAATCTGAGAAGTTGAAACAAAAGTCTTGGTCTTCTTTGCAGGCACTGCAACCTCCTCACCTGACATTAAAAAGGAAATATTTAAAGAACACACTATATTACAAAAATGTCAAGTTATTTCATTACGAAATAAAAATCAAACCTTGAACCAGAAGTTCAGCTGTAGAAGTAGTACGCCCACTGCTGTTAGAAGCACTGACAGAATAAGTTCCAGAATCTTCAGGGAAGGCCTCGGCAATCAACAAACTGTAAAGGTCTCCATCTTGAACAATCTGAAAGTCAGCAGAGCTCTGAATCTCAGCTCCCTCTCTGTAGAACTTCACCACAGGTGCAGGGATTCCTGTAACTCGAACATCCAGTCTCACTTGGCTCCCTTGTCTCACAGTCATACTCTGTAGTCTTTGAATGATGTTTGGTGGCGCAGTTTCCGCTTTGAGGCAAGCAAAGAAATAGTTTTATGTTTGTTTGACATAAAAAGTCACTGGCAGAAAAGTACAAAAGTTGTTTCAAAAGTGATGGCTTACCTGTAACCAGCAGTTCAGCTGTGCTAGTGGCTTGTCCAGCGCCATTGGTGGCTCTCACAGAAAATCTTCCACTGTGTGCGGCTGTCACGGCGGGGATCATCAGAACAGCGCGGCCATCGCTGAACGAGATCTGAGCGCCGGGCAGAGCGGCAGCAGTAAGAACCTGGCCATCACGAAACCAGCTCACCTCTGGAACTGGATTACCTATAGAAAAATATTGGAGGAAATTATTAATAAGCTATTCTAGAATAGTATTTCTCAATCTTTTTGTCTTATATCACACCATAGCCTCATCAGTAAAGCTCAAGTACCCCTTCATCAATACCAAAAGAGAAATGTGATAATTTTTAACTCATATTATACTGGATGTAATTTCTTTTTCGCAGCCATAATATTTTTATTTAAAATTTGGGTTAACAAAGTTTGGGTTAAAATAGTAATTTTGGGTCAAAATCTTTCCAGTTAATAATGACCTGACCAGTCCTTACCACTAACTTGAGCTTCGAATGTTGCAGCACTACCCTCAAGTGCCACAACGCTCTGAAGCGGCTGTGTAAATGTTGGAGCTTGTGTTGACATGGTGGAAGGCACCCTAGAAAAGAACAGAATAGAGTAGTGAATACCATATTACAGCCAGATAATTGTTTAATGCCCAATGAATCAATCAGAAATACAACAGCATTACTGTCTGTTACATGACAAACTGGAAGGGCTATTTTTAGCTGTAAAAGAAATGAACTGACTAATCACCAACACCCCCACCGACACCTGGCCATCAGCAGTCTGTCATTTGTGAGAACTGTGAACGGCGAAGCTGTTGAGTGTCAGGTCAAGCACCCAATTGAATATGTTAGAAATGTGTTAAACAGCAACTGTGAGCTGTAAGATAAGGCTAATAAAAATAAAACATAACTAAAAAGTCATAATCGACTAAACTATTTCAACATTAAAATATCTGGCATAATAGGATCTAGGTGTATCCAATGTTTCAAATTATCGTTGGCTTACAAAAGAAAATAGGACTCAATTTGGGAGCTTTAGGTGACCTTTTTCTTGTAACATCTGACATGCAATGTTAAAAAACGAAATCATATAAGCAGCAAAATAGTTTGCATTCTTATTGTTTCTATACACAAATTAAGTCAATGTATGTGGACATATTTCATTTAAAATATCAAACAAGTATAGTTTGTAAATGTTTAAGTAAAATAGCCAAGTATGAAGAAATTTTAATATATATCTTTATGTGGTGTGCAAATAAGATATTTAAGATAAAATATATCTTAAAAATTAATTTTCAAGCTTCTGAAAGTTGGTCATCAAACAGCCATGAGGATTTAGTGCTTTAAATGAAAAACTTCACCTCTAAATATTTCTGCTTCAAATAGCTTCACATGTGTATTGTACAGATATTTCCCGTACATAATACAATATTATTTATCTTTAGTCTGTGTGATCTTGTATAAAACTAAAACAATAAGATATTTGATTGGATTATATTAAACCATACTTGATATGGTCTTTGTTAAATGACTCGGCTCAAATGGAAATGGACTCAGTTGAAATGGAATATTGTTAACTACTTAACAGGAGAAAGAAAGAAAGAGAGAAAGAAAGAGAGAAAGAAAGAAAGAAAGAAAGAAAGAAAGAAAGAAAGAAAGAAAGAAAGAAAGAAAGAAAGAAAGAAAGAAAGAAAGAAAGAAAGAAAGAAAGAAAGAAAGAAAGAAAGAAAGAAAGAAAGAAAGAAAGAAAGAAAGAAAGAAAGAAAGAAAGAAAGAAAGAAAGAAAGAAAAATAATTTTTACTTGCAGTTAAGCCATCTGCATCATAAGCCTAATGCAGGAAACCAACAGGTAAGTGCAGACACACATTGTCCATAATATGACTCACAATCACAGTCAAAAGATTTGTGTAATAATAAATATCAATAATAGACAGAAAATGCCAATACAATTTTAATTCAGACTAAATGGCATCATGTATGAAGACTGATATTCAGTATGACAGAAATGGCAGTCTCCAAAAATAATCTGTCCCTTGTTTGATTGACAGTCACCATGTGGCACATAGCTGGAGGTGCAACTGATATCTCTGCTGCTGATTCCCTTAAAAAGACATCATGGCCCAGCTAGGTCACCACTCTAATGCTATCACAGGCTATTCTTGGCTATTCCGAAATCAACATTTAATAACCTTGAGAGTAATTATGTTTTAGAATATTCTTGAGAAGTAACACATATTGGCTACACTATCTCGTCACCCTTCTAAAACCTCAAACAAATAGCACATTGTAAGCCACAGCACTTTTATTTTGCTTTAAAAGGGTGTCCAAGCATGTATCATTGTAGCTTATAGAAAGACTTGCTTTAATGGAGCCATTCTACAGAGTAAATGCCACTTACTTGTATCACAAGGCTGCCTATATTTGATGGGACTGTGCCCAGGTGGCTAGTGCCTCAGCAACAATCCTCTTATCCAAAATGTTTCCAGAAAATCCAAGGTGAGAACGGTTGGGCCCCGTTATAACCCAAAAAACAAAACTACACAAGGTCTAGACCGTGTAGTTTTGCTTTTCCCTTGCAATCCCTACACCCGAGGCAAGGCTGGGAATGCTCCAACTGCTCAGAACTGCTAATATAGTTGTTTTAGTTTATATACCTCAAGCCTAGACTGCATCATCACATTCAAGCCACTCCCAATTGGTCAAAGCATCATGGGAAAGCGATGCATTTTATGCAACTTCACACCTGTTACTCAGTGGCCCCCTCTCTCAAGTTAATGCAAGCTTGATATGCCTTAGCCTCACGATGGAGTTTATTTACTACATTGGGTTTGTGGATTCATTGTTGCAAGTAAATGGTTATGTTCATGCCCGATTCAATGACATGCAATGCTGAAAACCCTTATGGCAGTCATTAACCTGTTGATGACCAAAAGGAGAGACTGGCTGTCCCTGTCACTCAAAGGAAGAGCAAGGCAAGGCAACCCCCATTGCAAGGGACGGATATACTGGTTACAGAATGCTTGCTAACTGTGCCTATTTTTGAAATGTGTTACAATCATCCAAAGTCTTGATGAACAAAACATTACATTTCACAACTTTGTTTCAATGGCTCTGTTAATAGAAAAAAATGCACTCCTTTTGCAACAAGAGTTTGTGGTCACTGTTTGGGATGTAAAATTCAACACCACTAAAAGCTAATGTACTTCTCATATTTACTCATTATACTGTAAAAGTTTTTTTTTTTTTTTTGTCTGTGTCCAAATCAGCTTTTTTTGTCTGTGTCCAAGATCGATTTTTGATCTTAAAAGCAACATCACTTTCCCATTCTCCTGGCCTGGCCTCATTTATCCATGATATTGAAATGCTGACACACACCTGATGATTAAACCTTATTATGATACCTGATTATATTATAAAGCTGGGTGACAAGACATGTACTACAATGGAAATTGAAAGCATTAGCCTAAAGCTAACATTAGCTTGCAGTTTAAGGAGCAAAATAATTGATAAATCATGCCAAGGAGTAGGGTATGATGGTCATTTCACCCTAAACACATTACAAGCTAAACTAAAAGTTTAAAGAACATCCCTGGAACATGTTTTACTGTTTACCAGATTATCACAGAAGGTGAGCCTTCTCACAATTCAGATCAGCATTCTTCTCCTTCAGCTTCACAAGCGGTGTTGGCACTTTGTGGAAAGGTGATGGCTCTAAAATGCTTTTAAAATACAAAATAAATAGTTTTGAATTAATTATTACCAAATAATAATTATGAACCAAATTTTACTAGATATTAACAACAATCATCAAAAAATCATTGATAATCAATAAATAAAATATTCTTAGCATTGTCCATGATGATACCTAATCAGAATAAATTAAAGACAATATAAGATCAATTTACTGTTTGACTTTTGACTGAGAAGGTGGTCTGACTCTGGGGTACAGCCACTGATCTATATAATGACATTATATCTAGATCAGTGGGTACAGTTCATGTGGGCTTGAGTACAGTATTGGTATGAGATTGGTATAGTTATCCAGTAACTGGTATACCAGTTATCCAGTAACTGGTATAGCTATCTGCACAAACTATAATTTACATTACTCCCTGTCACCCTTTTTATAGTAGGCTATGATGCATTTTTCAAAGCTGCTCATGCTCATCTCTTTATTTATTTTATGTTCCACATCTCTTGCAATGTATCTGCAGTAGACAAAGCAGCCTGGTCTCATTGTAGGTACTAATACGTTATTTTCAAAGATAGAAAACGTACTTTTTTGTACGTTTGGATAGATGCTGAAACGTATAATATGGACGTATCTGCAACATTTAAACGTAACATTATTACGATTTTACAGCTACAAAACGTTAACTATTTACGTATGTTTCATCTCATAAAGATATCTGTATAATTTCCCTTTTACCATTTTATAGATAAATGTTAGATACCTTAACCCTATTCCCAAAACTAAACATACCCATTTTATACAGAATATTTAAAGGATAAAAACGTAATGAACATTGATGTGAAATGGCAGTTTTATTAACAATAGAGCATTAAAATATATTTTGAGCCACTAATCTTACTCCTCCCCATAACCATTCCTTAAACCTACGTAGGCTACACTTATGAAGAAAAACATAACAGACAGACAAGTAGCCTATAATCACAATAATGTATTTATTGCGAAAATGTCAAAACCGGTACCAAAAGTCGTTCATGATGATGTGTTGCAGTCGCAGTCCTCTCTGGCAGTATTATAATAGTTTTGCATGAGGTACAGAGCAGAATTTAAGTTAGTAATCCATGAAAATGTTAATCCGGCTTCGGTTCCCTCTGTGAAGGCGCGCGTGCCCTTAAATGTACTACACCGACTGTAAAATACGGCATGTCGCAATCTGTGACGAAGCAGACAAGAGCCAATGAGCGTTTGGTATCACGGCCGTAAAACATGACGTAACGCCTTCTTGAGGGCGCATAAACAGTAACGGAAGGCCCTGTCCCAAATGGCACACTTCATGTGCACTTTCGGTCTTGTGGACTTACAATGGCTGCCGCGTGCGCGTGTCCGTTAAGTCCGTGAGACCGCAGTGTGTCCCATTTGTCATTTTTAGATCTCAGAAGGGTGCTCTGCGGTCGATTTGCGCCCTTGATGCGCACTTTTGCCAAGCCCGCGCTGATGCGGACTCCACAGCAGACTTCTTCCCGAATGTGGTGTATTGGCATAATGCTTATATATGCAGGATGTGTATTCATTGGCTCTCATGCTTGGGAGCGGGTATTTAAGTCACGTGATGTGAGTTGCACGTGTGGGGAATGTGATGTAATCAACCTGTGATCTGAACACCAGTAAAGTATGTTTGGTAGCATTTGGTGGTTTTGTCTCATGAATACATAACATAAATTGGCAACGAGGATAAAACTGAGAGGACATGGCGCAAATCGGAAGACTGGATGAGTATAAACCAGAAGACGAGTCCTGGTCCGCGTATATGGAACGCGCAGAATTGTTTATGGTTGCAAATGACGTGGATGATGCGAAGCAAGTAGCGACTTTGCTTAGTGCTTTGGGAGCGTCCACATATGGATTACTGCGGAATTTGGTTCAGCCTGAAAAGCCAAAGGATAAAACGTTGGAAGAAATTGTGAATATTCTTAAGGATCATTTTGAACCAAAGCCATTGATAATAGCTGAACGTTTCCGATTTCAGCGTTGCCGTTGTGTTCAAAAGCCCCATGAAACTGTGTCCCAGTATGTTGCTGAACTGAAACAATGTGCATCTAAATGTGACTTCGGTGCAAGTTTGGATGAGTCTCTACGTGATCGCTTTGTTAGCGGAATCCAAAGTGAAGCATGTCAACGAAGATTGCTTTCGGAGGACACACTCACTTTTGCACGAGCACTTGAAATTGCGCAGAGCATGGAAACTGCACATCGTGATACCCAGCAACTGAGGAAAACAGAGGATTCAGCGGCAGCAGTGCATAAGGTAAATGCAAAGACTGTGTATAATCAGAGACAAGTATGCTATCGTTGTAAAGGGAAAAACCATAATGCTCAGGAATGTTATTTTAAAAATTCGAAGTGTCACAATTGTGGGAAGATTGGACAAGAGAGCTTGTAAAGTTAAAGAGAAAGTACATCTCAACAGTAAAGCTACTGAAAAACAAAACAAGCACAAAGTAACTGCTTATATGTATGCTGAAGAGCCAGAGCTGGAAATGTTTTCCATGTTAAGTGAAACTGAGAAACAGCCTTTCCGAGTGAATTTTACTGTGAATCAGCAAGATTTGTTGATGGACATTGATACAGGAGCAGCTGTAAGCATAATTTCGCAACAAGTGTATAAACAATCGTTTGCCCATTTGCCACTGGAGGGAGCTAAAGTAAAGTTAAAGACCTACACTGGTGAATGCATTCCAGTATTGGGTCGATTCACAACTACTGTACAATATGAGGATCAAGTGAATGAGTTACCACTAATTGTAGTGGAAGGGAATGGTCCAAACCTGTGTGGTAGGAACTGGCTCCAGAAAGTAAATTGAATTGGAAAATAATTCGATATGTGAGTCAAGCTAAGCAGCCTGGGTCTATCAAAGAAGTGCTGGATAAGTATCGTGAAGTCTTTAAGGATGAGCTGGGCACTCTAAAGGACATTAAAGCTACTATTTCAGTGAAACCAGATGTTCCACCCAAGTTTTTTAAAAATCGTCCTCTTCCCTTTGCTATGAAGGAACGGGTGGAGAAGGAAATTGATAGGCTGGAGAAAGCCAATGTGATATCTCCAGTAAAGTATAGTGAGTGGGCGGCTCCAGTTGTGCCTGTTATTAAAAAAGATTACACAATCCGCTTATGCGGCGACTACAAAGTCACTGTCAATCAAGCGTCCAATACTGAAGTGTATCCCCTGCCACGGATTGAGGACGTTTTGGCCACTTTGAGTGGAGGAAAGTTGTTTTCCAAGATTGACTTGGCACATCAACAGGTTTTACTGGATGATGATTCCAAGAAGTATACGACAATCAACACCCACAAGGGATTGTACGTGTATAATCGTCTAGTTTTTGGCATCAGTTCAGCCCCTTCCATTTTTCAACGTATAATGGAAACTTTGATGAAAGATCTGAAAGTGATTGTGTATCTGGATGATTTGTTGATTACAGGTCATGATGAACAAGAACATCTAACAAACCTTTGTAAAGTCCTACAGCGTCTTCAAGACTCAGGCTTAAGAGTGAAGGAATGTAAGTGTGAGTGGGGACAAACACGAATTGAATACCTGGGCTATGTGATTGATGAAAAAGGGGTGTATCCAAGGAAAGACAAGGTAAAAGCCATTCAAGATGCACCAGCACCTTCAAACGTAAAGGAACTGCGAGCTTTTTTAGGCTTGGTAAATTATTATGGACGTTTTGTACCAAATCAGAGCACAGTGTTGGCACCACTGAATAGACTGTTGAAAGAACAAACTACTTGGTGTTGGGGGAAAAAGGAACAAGATGCTTTCAAAAAGTGTAAAGAATTGCTCACAAGTGACAAAGTGTTGGTACATTATGATCCACAACTGCCTTTGACTTTAGCATGTGATGCTTCGGCTTACGG